GAGGGTGGGGGACCTAGGGAAAGTGGGGGACCTAGGGAGGGTGGGGAACCTAGGGAGGGGAGGGGACCTAGGGAGGGTGGGGGATCTATGGAGGGTGGGGGACCTAGGGAGGGTGGGGAACCTAGGGAGGGTGGGGGACGTAGGGAGAGTGGGGGACCTAGGGAGGGTGGGGGACCTAGGGAGGGTGGGGACCTAATAGAGTGGGGGACCAAGGGAGGGTGGGGGAACTAGGGAAAGTGGGGGACCTAGGGAGGGTGGGGGACCTAGGGAGGGTGGGGGACCTAGGGGGGGAACCTAGGGAGGGTGGGGGATCTGGCCTGCACCCAGTGTTAGGGAGGGTGAGGGACCTAGGGGTTTGGAACCTAGGGAGGGTGGGTGATCTGGCCTGCTCAAAGTGTTGGGGAAGGTAGGGGGGAACCTAGCCTACCCCCAGTGTTAGAAGGGTGGGGGACCAAGGGAGGGTGGGGGATCTGGCCTGCCCTCTTATTCCGCCCATTAAAAAAACCTTATCTTGGCGGTTGCCAAAAGTTTTTTTGGCCGAGTTTTCTAGCCTAAACCTTTTAATTTCTCCTAGATTCTAGTAGACGCTCTGGGTACATGTGTAGGTTTATAAAACCTCCTGGTACAAGATGTGTAGATTTATAAAACCTCTGGGTACATGGGTAGGTTTATAAAACCTCTTCATATGCTGTCGTCACATGTGAACTTTACACCTACCCAACACTACTTCACCTGCCCAGTGTTCCGCCTAGTCTCAGACAACATGTTTTATCTTTAAAAAAAAAAAAGATTCCGGCCGAGCATGGCTCTGACGACACTATCCACGTTATATACTGAGGACAAAGAAACAGGTGAACTCTACTTCACCTGCCCTGTATCCCGCTAAGTTCCAATAGGCAAAGGCAACATTATCATTCACAAATAAAAACAACAACAAAATTAAAATAAAACAAAAAAAAACACCGACAAGTCTAGAACCCATACCACCCGCATGGTAACCTAATGTGCTAACTTCTTAGATATCTAGGCTCGTACTCTGGAGAAGTTAATAACTTATATATTTTACTTCTAAGCGGCGTAAGAATCTAGACATATTTATGTAGATCTAGTGAAATGTATTGTATAATAAAATAAAAAGAACAGCAAACATACGTATTGTTAAAGTCATAGCCGACAGAAAATTAGCTTTAGAACGCGTTAAACTTTTGAATGGGCCACAAAGTCTATGATGGAAGCCGCCATTTTATTGTACTAAAAAGTAAACAAATCATGTGACGTCACTATTCGGTCAAAGTAAAGCCATTGTTTGAAAATTTTAAAATTAATGTGGTTAATCTACCTATGAATAAATCAATAAATTAATTAACGTCTTTAAATAAATTTGTGATTAACAGTCTCTCTGAAAAGAAAAATTGTTTTCTACCTAATTACTATTTTACAGCTCTACACATAGCGCAGATTTTCTACAGTAGTCAATCGGACAAACAAACAAATAATTATTCAAACATGTAAACAAACTTGAGTTTTAGTAGTATACTAGACTACCCGTTATCTAGTTAGATAACTGTGGGTTTCGGGGGTCATCCATAAATGACATCACGTCTGCCAGCACTTTTCATCCCAAAATAACCAGACCCCACATTCAAAAAGACGTTTTTTATATTTTAAAAACTCTACTAAACTCTACTTCACCTGCCCAGTGCCCCGCCAAGTCTCAGACATGTTTGTATTTTTATAAAAACGATTACGGCCGAGCATGGCTCTGACCACACTATCCATTCATATGCTGAGAACATAGAAACAGGTGAACTCTACTTCACCTACCCTGTGCCCCGCGAGGTCCTGATAGTCAACCTTATCATTCACATATAGGCCTTAAGAAAAAATAATTGAAAACATTATTGTAAAAAAAAAGGTCATTGTTCTAAACTTTTATAATTAATGTGGTTAATCTACCAATGAATATACCAATAAATTAATTAACGGCTTTAAATTAGTTTGTAATTAACAGTGTTTTTATGAAAGAACAATATTTTCCACCCAAAATCCCATTTTACAGCTCTACACATAATGCAGATTCTCCCCAATAACAAATAAAAAAAAAAAAAAAGAGTTATCAAACGTCACTATTAAGTCAAAGTTTAGCCAACGTTCAAAAATTTTAAAATTCATGTGGTTAATCTACCTATGAATAAATCAATAAATTAATTAACGTCTTTAAATAAATGTGTGATTAACAGTCTGTCTGAAAACAAAAATTGTTCTCTACCTACATAATATTTTACAGCTCTCCACATAGAGTAGAACCATTTACAATAGTCAATCAGACAAACAAAAAAAAAACAAATAAATATTCAAACATGTAAACAAACTTGAGTTTTAGTAGTATATATAGATATAGATAGATAGACTTCAAAAGCTGGGTACAAGATGTGTAGGTTTATAAAGAATGATGCTGGGTTAAGTTAAGGCTTTGATGATGCTGGGGTAAGTTCAGGCTATAAAGATGCTGGGGTAAGTTCAGGCTATGATGATGCTGGGGTAAGTTCAGGCTATACAAAATTTTTTATACACACGCCAATGTGTCTGAATGTGAGTGAATGTGTGTCTATGTCTGGGTGTGTGAGCGAATGTGTCTGTGGCTGGGTGTGTGAGTGAATGTGTGTGAGTAAATGTGTCACTGTGTGTCTGGGTGTGTGAGTGAATGTATCTAAATATGTGTGAGTGAATGTCTGTCTGAATATGTGTGAGTGAATCTGTCTGAATGTGTGCGGATGTGCCTGAATGTGTGTGAGTGAATATGTGTGTGAGTGAATGTGTGTCAGTGAATATTGTGTGAGTGAATTTGTGTGAGAGAATGTGGCTGTGGCTAGGTGTGTGAATGAATGTATCTGAATGTGTGTGAATGAATGTGTGTGTGAGTGAATGTGTGTCTGGGTGTCTGGGTGTGTGAGTGTATGTGCACCTATAACTTTTTAATCAGAAAGGATTACCAATCGCCCATATATTGTTACCGGCCGAGATATAGCTGCTTGTATTGTAAAAGATTGGTTTGAATAAAACAACTCCTTCATTGTTTCCACACAAAGCTATGACGTCACCTTATCCTAAACTCCAAGACTCCAGTCAAATGTCAGACCTCAATCAAAGTTCGACAATTTGACTTCAAACACGTTCGAGTCAATTGCCGCGTTTTTTACCTCCCTTTATTTCACTCTGATCTTGTGTTTCTAATCTCTTCTGCAGGGAAAGACAACAACAAACAAGGGCGGTTACTTCCTCGGAAACCTCGAGTGATCGGCCTGAGGAAGGTTTACTGATGGAATTAAAACCTTGAGCAGTATCGAGCTTACATCTGCATGCATGATTCCAGCCTAACTGTGCCACTATGAGGCGGCCCAGTTTGTTGTGAGGCCAGGATTTATTAGGCGGCCCAGTTTGTTGTGAGGCCAGGATTTATGAAGAGACCGCTGGACGGACGGCCAGGAAATGGAAGATGGCGCCGCGAGAGCTGCGGGTAAGAAAACTCACAAGTCAGACAAAAGTAGAAAGAGAGGCAAAAAATCTAAAGCACCTGCCACAGAGTTACATTCCAAAGGAATTAAAGACGAGCTTGAGGCTGGGAATGACTGGCAGGCCGGGGATAGTCTGGACGTTACCAGCAGATCACCTGACCAGGCAGACGTCAAACTGCGGGCCGCCAAAAGCGATGATCATTCCAAGCCACCCTCTCGGAGCGGGTCAAGGTCGAGGTTTTCAGGGTTTTTTAAACGGAAAAAACGCAGCAAATCTGAAACAGACCTAAATCAAGATGTTAGCCAACCCGGAACTAAGAGACACGACAGCGCTGAAGATGTGAAGAGAAAACGAGAAACTTTCCCGGGAGGCGGCGAACCCCCGTCCCTTCAGCATAAAGTCAACTTCCCCAACACTCTGCCACGCTATTATTCGCGGACACAGCCCAGAGACCGACTTAAGAACATGACCGTCAGAGACGCGGTTCAAGAACAGAGAATCAAACGGGCGGGGTCTGCTGGAAGGTCTCCGCAGCGCCGTCAGGGCAGGCTGCCGGCTAGCATGACAGCTGAAGACTCGTACAATGTCCGGCCGGCAGGGGAAACAAATCTACAGGTCTCTCACAAATCTTCAACGCTTCCAAAATCTCAAACCAGCCATGTCAGGCACCAGGAGATGACATTACAAAAATATTCCTCGACACCAGAAATGAATCAGCACACAGCAGACCCCCTTACACCAGACCCCCTTACACCAGACCCCCTTACACCAGACCCCCCTTCTCCAGACTATGCCAACAGTCCATTAGCACGAGACGAGAATACAACAGCCGACATGGCATTGTCTCTTGCAAACGCTCAAACAGCTGGTGCCGCACTAGATGAAAGAATAGCTGCTCCACCTGACAGAATAGCTGCTCCAGCTGACGCTGATCAGTTTGACCGTCAGGAAGACGGTGAAGACGTGAAGACTCTGGTCAACGTTAGCATACATTCAGTCGATGACGACAAGCCCCACACCTCACTCAGTTCTCAGACCGCCACAAAAGTTGAAAGCGTTGAGCTAAAGAAAAAACGCAAAGAATCTCTTACCCAGTTTTTGGAGTTAAGGCAACATCTACCTGCATCTCTGTCGCGTCACCGCCGCAGCAGTCATTCCAGTGACTCCGGCGTCACGTCCAGGGATACCTCCCCCGGCAGACTTTTGTCACGTGACGATAAAGGTCAAGAGCCGGACAAGCCTGAGGTCTGCCTGGACAGCTCAAGCCCCACAGAGGCATCCAGTGTACCGGGGGACGTTGTCGGTCCAGCATTAGCCACCTCAAGCCTGGTCACGCCATCTCAGGGAGCCACATTGGATGTTTCTGGTCTAGAGAGGCCATCGGCCATCACGCTGGATGACAATTCCTGGCAATCCAGCTCGTCTCCCAGCCCCATGGTCAATTCGATGAGCTCGTCCTTTCGCTCATCTGACCAGGGCTATGTTGAGAGTGTGAGCGACGATTCCTCAGAAGAGGACTCATCTTTTTCCACACCTCCAGAGGATTTTGAGCCGTCCACTATTCCAAGACTCCTGAACACAGCAAAGATTTTAGAAAAGCTTTTAGATGTACCAGAAGATTTGACCAAACCTTTGTTGCGTGATGGCCTGCAAACTTTTGAACCCCAGACCTCGAACAAAACCTTGACCTCAGTGACCGGAAATAAACGCGCGGCTGGTCAGCGCTACATCCCGCGGGGGATTCGACGGTCAAAAAGTGACGTCAGTAGTGGATACAAATCTCCAAGGCGATTTTTCAGGAACTCATCCAACGACGGAACTCCAAAAAGTGTACATAAAGGCTCACTGGACCCCATGTCCAGCGCGGCCAAATATAACCCGAGACTTGAAGAAGACCACAGCTCTAGCACATCAACACTGACAAGCAGCGATCTCTTCAACGTCTCCAACGAGATCACCAACACGGAGAGATGCGATCTGACGAATTCTCCAAACTATAAATATAAGCGAACATTTTCACCAGCCAGAGCCTCAACAGCTACCACATCACCTCCTGCAACAGCTGCTACAGCAGCTACTACATCAACTTCACCATCCGCAGATCCAGTGGAAGCAAAAGAAGAACTAACTGTACAGTCTGTAATCTTACCATCAGCAGCTTCAAGCCTAGCTCTCCATAAAACGTCCGAATCCCTGACTTCATCACCCATCAACAAACATATTCCAGTCCACTTTTCCCTCAGTGCCAACTCCTCTCCGCTTGTACCTAAAAAGGGAATTTTAAAGTTGAGCGCAGCACAGCATGAACATAAACCAGGTTTAAGTTCTCCAAATGTTTCCAAACACTTACCTGTTCAAACCCAATTCAACAAAACTAAATATATACCTACTGATCTGGAGATAGGCGCATCTTCAGCCTATCCTGATATTGAAATTAAACTTTACAAAATAGACCCAAAACAAGTCCCTATAGCACCGACTACCGTCGAAAATAAAAAAGATATTCCCCACTCTGAAACCGACGCAACAGCTAAACTCGCTGGTGATTTACCTCAGAAAGAAAGCCAGACGTCCCCAAGACTTTCTAGCACAACTGTTCCCGTGACGCTGGTTGAGGAGACAAAACAAACCCCCCAACATGTAGCCGTGCACAGGGCGCTCCCAACTTTCCCAGTTTTCCACGGTCTGGAGGTGGGGGAGCACCGCCAACCCTCGAGCCCCGCCTATACCCTAGCGGAGTATCTACAAGAACAGTCGCTCGCTAAATATAACAAGCACGCTCCTGCTAGTCCTAAGGTTCCCACAAAAACAGATAGGAAAAAAAGCAAAGAAAACAAAAGCTGGAAACATTTTTCTAGAAAGAAGTCGAGCAAAGAAGTCTCCAAAACATGCAACGAGACATCCGAATCAAAACGCCAAACGGAAATTCTTGTAGAAAAACCGTGCAAGGAGGCGCCGGCGGTGAAGCGTATCCATGAAAATACATGTCGTATAATGATCGATAAAGATTCGCAGACTTCTAGTTGGCTTATTAATTCATTGGTTTGTAAAAAGACTCCGAAACTCAAGAAAAAAGCTCAAAGTTTTAGGAAGAAAAAGCGAAGAGGTAGTGTTTCGAGCGACACGTTTGTAGCCATTGAATCTCTTGGTGTTAAAGAGGCGTGCAAAAGTTCCTCGTTGGGAGATCTCAGGAAAGTGGCCGACAGTGCCGCCGGAGGACTAGCCTCCAACTCCCCACGTCTTAGAAAAAGTAATTCCTTAAAAGTGCCGACTCCAAAAACTAGAGGCATCCTCCGGCCAGAACCTGTGATGGCCGGTACCAGCGAACTGGGCAAGAGTGATGACGTCGTTGAAGGATCTCCCAAACCCAAAAAACTTTCTCTGACTGCTGTGATACTGCTAAAAAATCGCTTGGCGAGATTCAGGGAGAAGAGGAGAAAGGAACAAGCGTCAGCGCCAAAAGCTGATGAAGGTCTTGTAGAAAGCGAAGTTCCAAGCGATACTTTTATTACTATTGAGAACGAACTCAACCTCAGCAAGTTGGATGCCAGCAAGGAAACAGACATCATCGACGATATTTTTCAACCGGAATTTTCCCTGGATTACAACAAGAAGCAGCTGAGATTTGAAAACCTCCCCAACGAACCGATGCAAAGTGCCGAGCCGCTTCCTCCCCTGCCCCCCTCGGCCAGCAGACGACTGCGGCAGAGACGTGAAAGTACCATGAGAGAACGGAGAAGGAAATGTGTCCAGTACTGCAAGAAGTTCATCGCCTTTTTGTTCTCCCACATCGGTCTCTGTTCTCTGGTCGTGGCCTACACCATCATGGGAGGTTTTATCTTTCAGGCTCTGGAGCAAACTGCTGAAATCACGGTTAGACGGGAGGTTTCTGTAAGTAGCATCTAAACACAGTCTTTCATATTGTGTTTAAACACAGTCTTTCATATTGTGTTTAAACACAGTCTTTCATATTGTGTTTAAACACACTCTTTCATATTTATATCTAAGCACAGTCTTTCATATTGTTTTTATATCTAAACACTTGTTTATCGGTATCAACTTCAGCTTGACTTGCACACTTATTTTCACAAACTGGTTTATATCTTCACATTGAGGAGAAAGCCATCGATGTTTCACTAATGATTGCAAGTCTAGTCTACATATTTCACTCAAAAGATCTAGTATTTATTGCAAGTCAAGCCTACATATTTCACTGAAAACATCTAGTAGGCTAGTTATTGCAAGAATAGTCTACATATTTCACTCAAAACATCTATTATTTATTACAAAGTCTAGTTTACATATTTCACTCAAAACATCTTGTATTTATTACACGTCTAGCTTACATATTTCACTCAAAACATCTAGTATTTATTACACATCTAGCTTACATATTTCACTCAAAAATCTAGTATTTATTACACGTCTAGCTTACATATTTCACTCAAAAAATCTAGTATTTATTACAAGTCTAGTTTACATATTTCACTCAAAACATCTAGTATTTATTACACGTCCAGCTTACATATTTCACTCAAAACATCTAGTATTTATTACACGTCTAGCTTACATATTTCACTCAAAACTTCTAGTATTTATTACACGTCTAGTTTACATATTTCACTCAAAACATCTAGTATTTATTACACGTCTAGTTTACATATTTCACTCAAAACTTCTAGTATTTATTACACGTCTAGTTTACATATTTCACTCAAAACATCTAGTATTTATTACACGTCTAGTTTACATATTTCACTCAAAACTTCTAGTATTTATTACACGTCTAGTTTACATATTTCACTCAAAACATCTAGTATTTATTACACGTCTAGTTTACATATTTCACTCAAAACATCTAGTATTTATTACACGTCTAGTTTACATATTTCACTCAAAACATCTAGTATTTATTACACGTCTAGTTTACATATTTCACTCAAAACATCTGGTATTTATTACACGTCTAGCTTACATATTTCACTCAAAACATCTAGTATTTATTACACGTCTAGTTTACATATTTCACTCAAAACATCTAGTATTTATTACACGTCTAGTTTACATATTTCACTTAAAACATCTAGATCTAGTATCTATTCTTTTGATAAAATAATCCAACTCAACCAGCTAGAGGCAGGCTTATGTTGACATAAAACTATCTACTAAATATAGAGACAACCTTATGTTGACATAAAACTATCAACTAAATATGGAGACAACCTTAAGTTGACATAAAACTATTAACTAAATATAAAGGAAGCCTTATGTGGACATAAACCTATCTACTAACTATAGTGGCAGGCTTATCTTGACATAAAACTATCAACTAAACATAGAGACAACCTCATGTTGATATAAAACTAACAACTAAATATAGTGGAAGCCATCTTTACCACGTATACGGTTTGTTTGTGTAGTTGTTTGAGGAACAATGCCATAGGTTGATCAAGGTACAGCTCATTATTAAGCTGTTTACTTGATGTTTATTTGCCTGTTTATTTGTCTAGATCTGAGCCTAAAGTACGGCTATCCAAGGCATAATTTATTTGTTTGCCTTGCACCAGACGTCGCATTGTGTATGTTTATAGGACCGAGCACTCGGTGGGCGTGTTCAGGCCTGTTGAGTCACGTCCCCTTAACCACGTGATCTGAGCCAGACTTGCCTGTCTCTCCTACAACAGGTAGCCGGTCTATATTTAACCCCACCATAGACGAGCCTTCAACACTAGAGCCCCACACTTTCCCCTGGTACAAAACTAGAGCCCCACACTTTCCCCTGGTACAAAACTAGAGCCCCACACTTTCCCCTGGTACAAAACTAGAGCCCCACACTTTCCGCTGGTACGAAACTAGAGCAACACACTTTCCCCTGGCTCATCAGTAGAGCCCCACACTTTTCCCTGGTACAAAACTAGAGCCCCACACTTTCCCCTGGCTCATCAGTAGAGCCACACACTTTCCCCTGGTACAAAACTAGAGCCACACACTTTTCCCTGGTACAAAACTAGAGCCCCACACTTTCCCCTGGCTCATTAGTAGAGCCCCACACTTTTCCCTGGTACAAAACTAGAGCCCCACACTTTCCCCTGGTTCATTAGTAGAGCCCCACACTTTCCCCTGGCTCATCAGTAGAGCCCCACACTTTCCCTGGGTGGGGTGATGTGTACAGTGGGGTGATGTGTACAGTGGGGTGATGTGTACAGTGGGGTGATGTGTACAGTGGGGTGATGTGTACAGTGGGGTGGGGTGATGTGTACAGTGGGGTGGGGTGATGTATACAGTGGGGTGGGGTGATGTGTACAGTGGGGTGATGTGTACAGTTGAGTGGGGTGATGTGTACAGTGGGGTGGGGTGATGTGTACAGTGGGGTGATGTGTACAGTGGGGTGATGTGTATAGTTGGGTGGGGTGATGTGTACAGTGGGGTGATGTGTACAGTGGAGTGGGGTGATGTGTACAGTGAAGTGATGTGTACAGTGGTGTGATGTGTACAGTGGTGTGATGTGTACAGTGGGGTGATGTGTACAGTGGGGTGATGTGTACAGTGGGGTGATGTGTACAGTGGGGTGGGGTGATGTGTACAGTGGTGTGATGTGTACAGTGGGGTGGGGTGATGTGTACAGTGAGGTGGGGTGATGTGTACAGTGGGTTGGGGTGGTGTACAGTGGGTTGATGTGTACAGTGGGGTGATGTGTACAGTGGGGTGGGGTGATGTGTACAGTGGTGTGATGTGTACAGTGGGGTGGGGTGATGTGTACAGTGAGGTGGGGTGATGTGTACAGTGGGTTGGGGTGGTGTACAGTGGGTTGATGTGTACAGTGGGGTGATGTATACAGTGGGGTGGGGTGGTGTGTACAGTGGTGTGATGTGTACAGTGGGGTGGGGTGATGTGTACAGTAGGGTGATGTGTGCAGTGGGGTGGAGTGATGTGGACAGTGGGGTGGAGTGATGTGTACAGTGGGGTGATGTGTACAGTGGGGTGGGGTGATGTGTACAGTAGGATGATGTGTACAGTGGGGTGATGTGTACAATGGGGTGGGGTGATGTGTACAGTGGGGTGATGTGTACAGTGGGGTGGGGTGATGTGTACAGTGGGGTGGGTTTAGGGTGATGTGTACAGTGGAGTGGTATGTTCAGTGGGGTGATGTGTACAAAACTAGAGCCCCACACTTTCCCCTGGCTCATCAGTAGAGCCACACACTTTCCCCTGGTACAAAACTAGAGCCACACACTTTTCCCTGGTACAAAACTAGAGCCCCACACTTTCCCCTGGCTCATTAGTAGAGCCCCACACTTTTCCCTGGTACAAAACTAGAGCCCCACACTTTCCCCTGGTTCATTAGTAGAGCCCCACACTTTCCCCTGGCTCATCAGTAGAGCCCCACACTTTCCCTGGGTGGGGTGATGTGTACAGTGGGGTGATGTGTACAGTGGGGTGATGTGTACAGTGGGGTGATGTGTACAGTGGGGTGATGTGTACAGTGGGGTGGGGTGATGTGTACAGTGGGGTGGGGTGATGTATACAGTGGGGTGGGGTGATGTGTACAGTGGGGTGATGTGTACAGTTGAGTGGGGTGATGTGTACAGTGGGGTGGGGTGATGTGTACAGTGGGGTGATGTGTACAGTGGGGTGATGTGTATAGTTGGGTGGGGTGATGTGTACAGTGGGGTGATGTGTACAGTGGAGTGGGGTGATGTGTACAGTGAAGTGATGTGTACAGTGGTGTGATGTGTACAGTGGTGTGATGTGTACAGTGGGGTGATGTGTACAGTGGGGTGATGTGTACATTGGGGTGATGTGTACAGTGGGGTGGGGTGATGTGTACAGTGGTGTGATGTGTACAGTGGGGTGGGGTGATGTGTACAGTGAGGTGGGGTGATGTGTACAGTGGGTTGGGGTGGTGTACAGTGGGTTGATGTGTACAGTGGGGTGATGTGTACAGTGGGGTGGGGTGATGTGTACAGTGGTGTGATGTGTACAGTGGGGTGGGGTGATGTGTACAGTGAGGTGGGGTGATGTGTACAGTGGGTTGGGGTGGTGTACAGTGGGTTGATGTGTACAGTGGGGTGATGTATACAGTGGGGTGGGGTGGTGTGTACAGTGGTGTGATGTGTACAGTGGGGTGGGGTGATGTGTACAGTAGGGTGATGTGTGCAGTGGGGTGGAGTGATGTGGACAGTGGGGTGGAGTGATGTGTACAGTGGGGTGATGTGTACAGTGGGGTGGGGTGATGTGTACAGTAGGATGATGTGTACAGTGGGGTGATGTGTACAATGGGGTGGGGTGATGTGTACAGTGGGGTGATGTGTACAGTGGGGTGGGGTGATGTGTACAGTGGGGTGGGTTTAGGGTGATGTGTACAGTGGAGTGGTATGTTCAGTGGGGTGATGTGTACAGTGGGTTGGGATGATGTGTATAGTGGAGTGATGTGTACAGTGGGGTGATGTGACTGCATCCATTGTGAGAAAGATAAATCGTACTGGGTCTGTAGTGGTTACCTGAGCAGTAAAATATCATAAAGCCAGAGCGGTTGGGAGGGGATACTGTTTCAGGGGGGGGGGGGGGGTAACATGGTTGTTACGCCACTGTATTTCGCTCACGCCGACCTGAAAAAAATTTTGCGGAAACAGAAAATATTAAATTATTCCGAAAGGTTCAATCTGTGTCATCACACCACTGTACACATCACCCCACTGTACACATCACCCCACTGTACACATCACACCACTTTACACATCACCCCACCCCACTGTACACATCACCCCACTGTACACATCACCCCACTGTACACATCACCCCACTGTACACATCACCCCACCCCACTGTACACATCACCCCACTGTACACATCACCCCACTGTACACATCACCCCACTGTACACATCACCCCACTGTACACATCACCCCACCCCACTGTACTCATGATTCACCCCAAGGGAAAGTATGGGGCTCTAGTTTTGTACCAGGGGAAAGTGTGGGGCTCTACTGTAATGTCTGACTCTCTTTCTAGCTGTGTCATGCAGCCGGCAGTTCCATTCTGCTTCATTAATAAACACAATTTGTTTTTATTTTCTTTGTTTAAAACACTGAATCGAAATGGACACCAGAGAGTGGACGAAAATCCTTCCGTAATGTTGTTGACATGGAATAAAAATGTGCTTTTTTAGATTTAGGATCGTAAAATTAATAAAAGATAAAATTTTATTAAAAACTTAAGCCTAAAATTAATTCAGAAATTTAATATTTTTAGAATCAATGCTATACAAGTTGCAGATCCAGAGAACTTGAAAATTATTTGTTGAGTTTAAGGCTACATTTCTATTTATTTTCATCAAGCCTAAGTTATAACCCGACGTTTCACTTTCGTAAGACAAATATTGATTGGCTGTACAGGAACTCCGTGATCGATTTATAGTTTTTAGCGCAATTTCCATACTGACAATTGCGATTATTAACTCGTCAAGGATGGATGTGTGTCCGATGTGTGTCCGCAGCTTTAAGTCGTATGTCCTCCTCAACGAAGCAATATCGAGGACTAGTTCCAAAGCAAATATGTTAAGCAAGTTCCGAGGATGATTGTGGGCCAAAAAAATTCCGGAATTCCTTCCTGGATTTCCCGGAAAAGCCAAAAAACCTCGAAAAAAATGCAGTTTTTGGCCCATATCTCGGCAACCAGACCACTTAGCGACTTGAAACATTTACCAATCGATTCCTGCCATAATTTAGAAAAATATTGCCGAAGAAAGTTTTCGAAAATATCCTTTCGTTCGGTCACAATATTAATTAAGGAAATTGCGCTTAAATTGTCACTAGACTTTTTATTAACTTGTTTTGTTTACAGAACTTTGCAGATCAAGTTTTTAAATAACAATGCAAATTTAAACCCCATGACCCAGTTTTTCTTTTTTTAGCTTACAATGTGTACAATAAAATTTATGCAGGATGCAGAGTTTCTTCCAGGGCAACCCCCCCCCCCCCCCGAACGAAATGAAATTTCTATAATTTTTATTTAGTTACCGAAAATATTAAAAACATCAAATACATCCAATCTTTAGTAAAGTCCGAAAAAAATCAAACAGGCAGGATTTTATAACCATATTAATTGTAACTACGCCGTGCATGATTTTTAAATTAATTTATGGACCTCTCAAAATACCTTTGAGACTTTTCTCGCTTACGTCCATTCAATGTGTAGTTCAAGTCGGCTAAATCGTACAGCTCGTGGTAAAAACTGCTGGTGATACTATTTACCCAAATTGTTGGTGATACTATTTACCCAAATTGTTGGTGATACTATTTACCCAAATTGTTGGTGATACTATTTACCCAAATTGTTGGTGATACTATTTACCCAAACTGTTGGTGATACTATTTACCCAAATTGTTGGTGATACTATTTACCCAAATTGTTGGGGATACTATTTACCCAAATTGTTGGTGATACTATTTACCCAAACTGTTAGTGATACTATTTACCCAAACTGTTAGTGATACTATTTACCCAAACTGTTTGTGATACTGTTTAACAAAACTGCTTGTGATAATATTTACCCATCGTAACATTACAGAGGCTACTAATTTTATACTTATTTAATGTGTTAAATTTTAGATTCAATAATCCTACTCACTAAAATAGTTCAATGAACTATTCCTTTCTAATTCCTCATATATCTGCAACACTACCTGAGACAACAGTTTCTGATCAAGCGTAAAATTAGGTGAAACAAATATCACACGTGCCAATGCGTATCATGACTCAGGGAAATAGATGGAGAAGAAAAGAAAACTCTCAGATATTTACATCCAGCCATTACAAACCTCTTTGTGTGCCTACAGAGACAAAAAAACTAGCACTAGCATTGAGAAAAGGTCAAGCACACCAAATAATCAAACTATGAAAATTGATTAAAGTGCATGTCTACAAGATAAACAAAGCAATCACATAACATATCCAGTTCTAAAGAGAACAAACGGCAACAGTGGTACTGCTTTACACACTATGGGGACCATACTGAAGATGTTCAATGTTTAATCTATAGTGCCTGGATACACAGAAGATGTCCAATGTTTAATCTATAGTGCCTGGCCTGGATACACAGAAGATGTTCAATGTTTAGTCTGTAGTGCCTGGATACACAGAAGATGTTCAATGTTTAATCTGTAGTGCCTGGATACACTGAAGATGTTCAATGTTTAATCTGTAGTGCCTGGATACACAGAAGATGTTCAATGTTTAATCTGTAGTGCCTGGATACACTGAAGATGTTCAATGTTTAATCTGTAGTGCCTAGATACACAGAAGATGTTCAATGTTTAATCTGTAGCGCCTGGATACACAGAAGATGTTCAATGTTTAATCTGTAGTGCCTGGATACACAGAAGATGTTCAATGTATAATCTGTAGTGCCTAGATACACAGAAGATGTTCAATGTTTAATCTGTAGTGCCTGGATACACTGAAGATGTTCAATGTTTAGTCTGTAGTGCCTGGATACACAGAAGATGTTCAATGTTTAGTCTGTAGTGCCTGGCCTGGATACACGGAAGATGTTCAATGTTTAGTCTGTAGTGCCTGGATACACTGAAGATGTTCAATGTTTAATCTGTAGTGCCTGGATACACTGAAGATGTTCAATGTTTAGTCTGTAGTGCCTGGATACACTGAAGATGTTCAATGTTTATTCTGTAGTGCCTGGATACACTGAAGATGTTCAATGTTTAGTCTGTAGTGCCTGGATACACTGAAGATGTTCAATGTTTAGTCTGCAGTGCCTGGATACACTGAAGATGTTCAATGTTTAGTCTGTAGTGCCTGGATACACAGAAGATGTTCAATGTTTAGTCTGTAGTGCCTGGCCTGGATACACAGAAGATGTCCAATGTTTAGTCTGTAGTGCCTGGATACACAGAAGATGTTCAATGTTTAATCTGTAGCGCCTGGATACACAGAAGATGTTCAATGTTTAATCTGTAGCGTCTGGATACACTGAAGATGTTCAATGTTTAATCTGTAGTGCCTGGATACACTGAAGATGTTCAATGATTAGTCTGTAGTGCCTGGATACACTGAAGATGTTCAATGTTTAATCTGTAGTGCCTGGATACACTGAAGATGTTCAATGTTTAGTCTGTAGTGCCTGGATACACTGAAGATGTTCAATGTTTAATCTGTAGTGCCTGGATACACTGAAGATGTTCAATGTTTAGTCTGTAGTGCCTGGATACACTGAAGATGTTCAATGTTTAGTCTGTAGTGCCTGGATACACTGAAGATGTTCAATGTTTAGTCTGTAGTGCCTGGCCTGGATACACAGAAGATGTCCAATGTTTAGTCTGTAGTGCCTGGATACACAGAAGATGTTCAATGTTTAATCTGTAGTGCCTGGATACACTGAAGATGTTCAATGTTTAGTCTGTAGTGCCTGGATACACAGAAGATGTTCAATGTTTAGTCTGTAGTGCCTGGCCTGGATACACAGAAGATGTCCAATGTTTAGTCTGTAGTGCCTGGATACACTGAAGATGTTCAATGTTTAGTCTGTAGTGCCTGGATACACTGAAGATGTTCAATGTTTAGTCTGTAGTGCCTGGATACACAGAAGATGTTCAATGTTTAGTCTGTAGTGCCTGGCCTGGATACACAGAAGATGTCCAATGTTTAGTCTGTAGTGCCTGGATACACGGAAGATGCTCAATGTTTAGACTGTATGCTCGAAACGGTTCTTGTGTATGTGAGCTAGGCCAATACAAGTACTTTATTGAACTGTAGAATAAATAGGTTACTGTGTGATTGTATAGGGCTATAAGTATAAAGGAAATTTGTTATACTCTTTGATACCACTCACCAGTCTAACAATTTGGACGCTCCAAGTTGTAATCTGTACCGTTTTGTGGATTTCTTTTGTGCCTTTTTTTCTCAAATAATTTCACTTTGAAATTATGATTTTTTTTGGTGTGAAATCATGATTGTTTTTGGATTTGTTTACAATAAAATTTGATGTAAAGTAAAAATAAACAGCTTCTTACTAGAATTTTTTTTTTACATTTTTGTCACAGGGTGTACGCAATTTCGCCCTGCGTTTTAGGTTCTTCACTTTGCTAATCTTTAGTGTTGAATATTATTTGTGAAAGAATGGTCTTTTGTTTACATGTCTCTTCCTGTCTAGTCTAGTGCCCAAAACTAGTTAGCTTAACAAAGTTTCACAAGACAAAAGGGCCCCGCCAGTACTCAGCTCCTCTTGCAGTTTTATGCAATTTTTTCTATGTATTTTATTTTATAAGCAACATTGTCGGGAGCCAATTTGTCGTTAGCCATATAAACCGCGTGGTCGAATAGTAGAGCGCCGTCCTGCTAACCCGTAAGTCTCGAGTTTGGGTCGTAGCACGTCCCTGAGTCCACCCAGCTCTAATGGGTACCTGACATACGTTAGGGAAAGTATAGGCAATTATGACATTAATTGTAATTCTTTTATTTATCGTCGGCGGTGGACCACATAAACGGCCTGCCCCCCCCCCCCCCCCGCGCCGTCACATGTTATTAATCTGTACATTTGTCTATCTATCTCGAATACGGTGCTGAATAATTATTTCCTCCGTAAAGGTAGCAATTGTTTTCCTAATTCCCTTCTGTCTCCCATCTCCTAAAATCTGGCTATTTTACTTGAATGAAATATTGTTTGAAATGTGAACTAGCAATTAGAAAGATAATGAAACACCTTTTGATTGACAGGACGAACGTAATAAACTCGAAGAGAAGCTGCTGGCGTTTGCTGTCCACTTTAAGGAAATGAACGGCACCGAGGAAGCTTTGAACAATCTAACCCATGAGGTCAAACACATCATAGGCATTTATCAGAGGTATATTCACAACGTCACAAAAAACAAAGGCTGGGATGGGGACGAACATTCACAAGATGAGACCCTCTGGACGTTCGCAAGTTCTCTGCTCTTCGCCATCACAGTCACCACAACCATTGGTAAGTCTTACCTGAACATACTTTTTTACTTTCTCGTAAATACGAAGTATAGAGAAAGTCTTGTAATCGTGCAAAAAAATCGAGATTTTTACAAATCTCGGCGTTTTACACCTCACTGATACGGAAAAACATAATTTTGCAATCTTGTCCGTATGTGTGTGTGTCTGTGTGTGTGTGTGTGTGTGTGTCTGTCTGTGTGTAAACACGATAACTTGAGTACCGTTACAGCTAGGGTGATGAAATTTCATATGTAATTATTTTATCAAAATCGTAGATCCTGATGAGCTTTTGAGCGATTTCCGATAACCGGAAGTGGTACCTTTTCTACTTTGAATTTTTCAAAAGCCTATAACTTGAGTACTATTTCAGATAGATAAATAAAATTTCACATGTAAGTAAAAGATCTAATTCTCTACCTTCTGTCAAATTTTGAGTAATTTCCGTTGACCGGAAGTACTAATTTAAGCTATTTCTGATTTCTCAAAAAACGCATGTAAATTTATAAAGTACTAATAATATTGCGCACTATTATGCACATTTTGTTTTGGCGTTCGCTTGGTACGCAATTCTTTTTCTATGAGATTCTATTCTATTTTTTAAAAGTTTAAGTAATTAAAAATCATGTCTATATTCCAAGTTATATAAGAATATTCGAGAAAGTTTAGGGGAGATCACTCCCGGATTATTTCTTTCTGCTGCGCGGAGTTAGGTTAGTCTGTCGCCCCTTCTGGGGCATAGCCCGCTGACAAGAACTTTCGATGCATCATGTCCTGGGCTAGTCTCTCCAACTGTCCCCAGATGTCCTGGGCTAGTCTCTCCAACTGTCGTCAGGTGTCCTGGGCTAGTCTCTCTAACTGTCGTCAGGTGTCCTGGGCTAGTCTCTCCAACTGTCCCCAGATGTCCTGGGCTAGTATCTCCAACTGTTCCCAGATGTCCTGGGCTAGTCTCTCCAACTGTCCCCAGGTGTCCTGGGCTAGTCTCTCCAACTGTCCCCAGATGTCCTGGGCTAGTCTCTCCAACTGTCCCCAGGTGTATCCTGTCCTGGGCTAGTCTCTCCAACTGTCGTCAGGTGTCCTGGGCTAGTCTCTCCAACTGTCCCCAGGTGTCCTGGGCTAGTCTCTCCAACTGTCCCCAGGTGTCCTGGGCTAGTCTCTCCAACTGTCCCCAGATGTCCTGGGCTAGTATCTCCAACTGTCCCCAGGTGTCCTGGGCTAGTCTCTCCAACTGTCCCCAGATGTCCTGGGCTAGTCTCTCCAACTGTCCCCAGGTGTATCCTGTCCTGGGCTAGTCTCTCCAACTGTCGTCAGGTGTCATGGGCTAGTCTCTCCAACTGTCGTCAGGTGTCCTGGGCTAGTCTCTCCAACTGTCCCCAGATGTCCTGGGCTAGTATCTCCAACTGTCCCCAGATGTCCTGGGCTAGTCTCTCCAACTGTCCCCAGGTGTATCCTGTCCTGGGCTAGTCTCTCCAACTGTCGTCAGGTGTCCTGGGCTAGTCTCTCCAACTGTCCCCAGGTGTATCCTGTCCTGGGCTAGTCTCTCCAACTGTCGTCAGGTGTCCTGGGCTTGTATCTCCAACTGTCGTCAGGTGTCCTGGGCTAGTCTCTCCAACTGTCCCCAGGTGTATCCTGTCCTGGGCTAGTCTCTCCAACTGTCGTCAGGTGTCCTGGGCTAGTATCTCCAACTGTCGTCAGGTGTCCTGGGCTAGTCTCTCCAACTGTCCCCAGATGTCCTGGGCTAGTCTCTCCAACTGTCGTCAGGTGTCCTGGGCTAGTCTCTCCAACTGTCCCCAGGTGTCCTGGGCTAGTCTCTCCAACTGTCCCCAGATGTCCTGGGCTAGTCTCTCCAACTGTCCCCAGGTGTCCTGGGCTAGTCTCTCCAACTGTCCCCAGATGTCCTGGGCTAGTATCTCCAACTGTTCCCAGGTGTCCTGGGCTAGTCTCTCCAACTGTCCCCAGGTGTATCCTGTCCTGGGCTAGTCTCTCCAACTGTCCCCAGGTGTATCCTGTCCTGGGCTAGTCTCCAACTGTCCCCAGGTGTATCCTGTCCTGGGCTAGTCTCTCCAACTGTCGTCAGGTGTCCTGGGCTAGTCTCTCCAACTGTCCCCAGGTGTCCTGGGCTAGTATCTCCAACTGTCCCCAGATGTCCTGGGCTAGTATCTCCAACTGTCCCCAGATTCCTGGGCTAGTCTCTCCAACTGTCGTCAGGTGTCCTGGGCTAGTCTCTCCAACTGTCCCCAGATGTCCTGGGCTAGTCTCTCCAACTGTCGTCAGGTGTCCTGGGCTAGTCTCTCCAACTGTCCCCAGGTGTCCTGGGCTAGTCTCTCCAACTGTCCCCAGATGTCCTGGGCTAGTATCTCCAACTGTTCCTAGGTGTCCTGGGCTAGTCTCTCCAACTGTCCCCAGATGTCCTGGGCTAGTCTCTCCAACTGTCGTCAGGTGTCCTGGGCTAGTCTCTCCAACTGTCCCCAGGTGTCCTGGGCTAGTCTCTCCAACTGTCCCCAGGTGTCCTGGGCTAGTATCTCCAACTGTTCCCAGGTGTCCTGGGCTAGTCTCTCCAACTGTCCCCAGGTGTATCCTGTCCTGGGCTAGTCTCTCCAACTGTCCCCAGATGTCCTGGGCTGGTATCTCCAACTGTCCCCAGATGTCCTGGGCTAGTCTCTCCAACTGTCGTCAGGTGTCCTGGGCTAGTCTCTCCAACTGTCCCCAGATGTCCTGGGCTAGTATCTCCAACTGTCCCCAGATGTCCTGGGCTAGTCTCTCCAACTGTCGTCAGGTGTCCTGGGCTAGTCTCTCCAACTGTCGTCAGGTGTCCTGGGCTAGTCTCTCCAACTGTCGTCAGGTGTCCTGGGCTAGTCTCTCCAACTGTCCCCAGATGTCCTGGGCTAGTATCTCCAACTGTTCCCAGGTGTCCTGGGCTAGTCTCTCCAACTGTCCCCAGGTGTATCCTGTCCTGGGCTAGTCTCTCCAACTGTCCCCAGGTGTATCCTGTCCTGGGCTAGTCTCTCCAACTGTCCCCAGGTGTATCCTGTCCTGGGCTAGTCTCTCCAACTGTCCCCAGGTGTATCCTGTCCTGAGCTAGGCTCCAACTGTCCCCAGGTGTATCCTGTCCTGGGCTAGTCTCTCCAACTGTCGTCAGGTGTCCTGGGCTAGTCTCTCCAACTGTCCCCAGATACAGGCTTCATGAGTGGATAACCAATCCATCTCCATTTTCTCTGGAGGATCTCTTCTTCATCTTTCTGTTGATTTGTTTGTTGCCATGGTGCCTTATTTTATTTTCTTCTTAATTGTGGCAGTTATTCTCAATGTCTCAACTCCATTGTAAAACAGCCAGTGTTTTAAGACCCGGATTTTTATTCGAAGAGTTAAATCTGCTGAACCCCAAACATTTTTAGTTAGTTGAAGACATCTCTTGCCTTGTTTTTATGTCTGCTTCTGTCCCACCCTGCTTATCAACAATATTTCCAAGGTAGGTGAAACTTTCCACTTCTTCTAGGGTTTCTTCTGACAATGTTATAGGGGTGCTGCTTGATGCAATGACTTTTGGTTTTCCCTCTGTGGATGTTCAGGCCCAGGCATGTAAAAAAAAAATGGCACCACTTTTGGTTTTATCTTGCAATTGCAGCATACAATCAGTAGGGCTACAATCTACGCAGCATACAGTCAGTAGGGCAACAATCTACGCAGCATACAGTCAGTAGGGCAACAATCTACGCAGCATACAGTCAGTAGGGCAACAATCTACGCAGCATACAGTCAGTAGGGCTACAATCTACGCAGCATACAGTCAGTGGGGCAACAATCTACGCAGCATACAGTCAGTAGGGCTACAGTCACGGAAGTTCCATCAAAAAGAAATTTAAAAACAGGAAGACTAGCACTTCCTGCCTCAGACTAGATTCCCCATCACGTCCCTAACCTAACATTTTTTTTTCTTTGAATAAACCGTGTTGCACTCAATGTCGAGGTAGAAAATAGAATTATTTCTCCAAGCTTCGCGAGAAAATGTCATAGTTTTTTCAAATGATAATTTTGCTTATGAATAAACACGCTTTAGTGCTGTTGAAAACGTAGATAACTTATTTATAGCCTCAAAGATATTTTTTCTTGAACTTTTTGACGCCTTCCGTTTAAATACCACGGGATCTTACAATAATAGAAATGAATTCATTTCGGAAGTTCAAACTGAGTTTAAAAGGACGTTCGTGTCATGCGCAGACTCTTGCTAGTGTTGGGGCACTAGCCTCGTTTGGGCTCAAGTTAATTTGATCATCTGTCAAAGTGTGTGAACTATTTGATTGTCTTTGTGCTGTCGTGAAACTTGCGCAGTTCTGACGTCATCACAAATAGAAATCAAAACAGATTACCAAGTTTATTACTCATCTGACAGAGTTTGGTCATATGACATTTGGCATACGATAGTTACAAGTACAGCACCTTATGTGCATTCTTTTTTAATCTGACAGTTTTTGGTCATATGACTGTTGCCTGTAGGTTTCTGTTCTGTTGATTGCGTTGAATGACAAGGTCATCCAATAAGGCGTCATCCATTTACGACGTCAACAAAAATTTCGGATTTTAGACTCTCATTCTCAGCCCCCCCCCCCCTAGAACACCCGTCCACTTTGAACTAGTAGAATATAGAGGGGTAGAGAGAGAAAAAATAGTATGTTCTAAACGTCAATGTATAAATATGTGGGTTTTTTCCAAGGATTTTCCCCATTACCAACCTAACACGTATGCCAAGTATGAAACACTTTTTATGCGTGTGTGTGGGGGGGGGGGGGGTAACAGCATGATTCTCTGTACTCGTCTAATGTATTTTAATGATTAATATTAGCATTTATAAGTCGCAAGCCCTCCTCGGATTCATGACCTCAATTTCTCTTTACCTCATCGCCCGCTTTCCAAGGAGGTGCTATTTAAGTTTCTTTATTGGGGGGGGGGGGGTCTTCCATAAATGACGTCACACTCCAGAGAGGCGGTAGGAGGGGTTCAGAAAGTGTGATGATAGAACCCAAAGTTAAGCCGTTGCCTCACCTTGGTATTTTTTTATTTCAATAAAATTCAATCTAAGACCATGCTCAGTAAATATTTTAGAAAAAAAGTGCTGTAGTTTTTAATTAGTTTTGAGAGATTTGTGGCGTTGGGGAGGGAGGGGATGTAAAAAAGCGTTAAAAGCTATGACGTCACTTATAAAGTGGATGACCCCAGTGTAGGTATAAATCCAGTGCTTTATTTACACCTTGCGATTGGTTCTTTATTTCATACGAGCAATGTCGTCCTAATTTCACTTTTTATATGCAGGATACGAATTTTATGTTTGTTTTCAAATGTTAGTACTTCGGTATTAAGTTCAATATGTGGACGTCCACACGAACCCGGACCCCCCACCCCCCCTACCCCCACCAGTCCACATTCGTCCACAAATGAATGTGTACAGCTTTTAGATACACGAAATGTAACACAAATTATATTAAAACACTTAGGAGCACCAAATGTAACATACAATTAAAACTTTTAAACAAACACACTAAATAAAATAACAAATTATTTTTAAAGATATCATTTAAAATTTAGGGTCAGCCAATCTAGGGGTCAGCCAATTTAGGGGTCAACCAATCTGGGGGTCAGCCAATCTAGGGGTCAGCCAATCTAGGGGTCAGTGAAAAATGTGGTCAACCAATCTGGGGGTCAGCCAATCTAGGGGTCAGCCAATCTAGGGGTCAGTGAAAAATGTGGTCAACCAATCTGGGGGTCAGCCAATCTAGGGGTCAGCCAATCTAGGGGTCAGTGAAAAATGTGGTCAGCCAATCTAGGGGTCAGCCAATTTAGGGGTCAGCCAATCTAGGGGTCAGCCAATCTAGGGGTCAGCCAATCTAGGGGTCAGTGAAAAATGTGGTCAGCCAATCTAGGGGTCAGCCAATTTAGGGGTCAGCCAATCTAGGGGTCAGCCAATCTAGGGGTCAGCCAATCTAGGGGTCAGCCAATTTAGGGGTCAGCCAATTTAGGGGTCAGCCAATCTAGGGGTCAGCCAATCTAGGGGTCAGCCAATCTAGGGGTCAGTGAAAAATGTGGTCAGCCAATCTAGGGGTCAGTGAAAAATGTGGTCAGCCAATCTAGGGGTCAGTGAAAATGTGGTCAGCCAATTTAGGGGTCAGTGAAAAATGTGGTCAGCCAATCTAGGGGTCAGCCAATTTAGGGGTCAGCCAATCTAGGGGTCAGCCAATCTAGGGGTCAGCCAATCTAGGGGTCAGCCAATTTAGGGGTCAGCCAATTTAGGGGTCAGCCAATCTAGGGGTCAGCCAATCTAGGGGTCAGTGAAAAATGTGGTCAGCCAATCTAGGGGTCAGTGAAAAATGTGGTCAGCCAATCTAGGGGTCAGTGAAAATGTGGTCAGCCAATTTAGGGGTCAGTGAAAAATGTGGTCAGCCAATCTAGGGGTCAGCCAATTTAGGGGTCAGCCAATCTAGGGGTCAGCCAATCTAGGGGTCAGCCAATCTAGGGGTCAGCCAATTTAGGGGTCAGCCAATTTAGGGGTCAGCCAATCTAGGGGTCAGCCAATCTAGGGGTCAGTGAAAAATGTGGTCAGCCAATCTAGGGGTCAGTGAAAAATGTGGTCAGCCAATCTAGGGGTCAGTGAAAATGTGGTCAGCCAATTTAGGGGTCAGTGAAAAATGTGGTCAGCTATTTTCTAACGTAGAAGTCAGTGGAGTCGCCAACTAACTTGACTGGCTACATTGTAGTGATCCTGTAAAACGAAAAAAGCCCTGCCCTTGCATCAGATAATCGAATGCGCACAAACGATGCTTCAACATGGCCGCCGCTCCCCGACCTTTTGTTTTCCTTATCAATTTACTCCACTCTACTGCAAGGCAGAAAATATTAAGGGCCGGTAAATCGTGATGCTAAATGTAAATTTCCCAATGTAAATAAGGGTTTCGTCCCTTGATAAAGTCGGCTTAGTGGTAAACGATCCTGATATAAAAGGCTACTCGTGACGTCACAATACTCTGTGGAGCAGGGAGAGAACCAGCCCGTAGCTTTGTCTCAATGTTATCTTCATTGTGCTTTGGTCTTATCTGTAGTCAGGTGATTTCAGGGACAGGAGGGGGCGTATCCACCTGCCTTACTTTATCTAACGTATCACATTTCCTGAGCTGGACTGGTGAAACGTGAAAGGTAGCCAAGTGGTCAGCAGCTCTTGGAGTTTAAAAAAATGTTTAGTATCAAGCTCTAAGCGTTAAAATACCTATTTTTATAGCATGCTTCTTACGTGAAAAATTTTTGTTTTCAAGTGGCTTCATAGGCGGTATCCTGTACGGTGTCTAATGGTGTCACACCACCCGCTCCCATATTTTAGCATTTTCGGTTTGGCGTCAACCCTGTCCCCCAACTGTTATTTTAACTACATAAAATATTGTTTTGATAATAAATGTTACGTTTTTCGTCGTGGTGTCGCCGGGTATGGCGCTGACCGCCCAGCACCACTTCGTGACGCCAATGTTTTTGTACTCAGCGATATATAGCTATCTTTGTTCTACGCCATATTTCAGCCAATTGCTGGGGAAAACACTTCAGTTTTTTCTCCTAGGGTTACGCTAGCTTTTTATAGACCAGCTGAAGGTTTAAATCACATTTTATAGGCCAGCTAAACCCACTAGCCTCTAGTTGAATTAACATCACATTACATAGACCAGCTAAAACCACTAGCCTCTAGTTGAATTAGCATCACATTTTAAATTATTAATCACTGCCATTGTTTCTTCTCCCCCACAGGGTACGGTCACGTGGCTCCCAAGACGACCCAGGGCAGGATCGCCACCATCGGGTATGCCGTTGTGGGGATTCCCCTGACACTCTTGTGTCTGACAAACATTGGTGACGTCATGGCCACTGGCTTCCGTCTGCTGTACGGTAAAGTCTGCTGTGGCGTGTGCTGCACCTTGTTTAAACCGCGGCGCCGCAGGCTCCACACGGACCTGGAGAAGGGCCTGGGCCCGTCTGTCGTCACGAGCAACAGCGAGCAGCCGGACAAGCCCAAGGAGGTGACGCACGTGCCCACCTCGCTGTGTCTGCTGCTCATAGCGGCCTACATCTTCGCCGGGGCCATGCTCTTCTCCATGTGGGAGGAATGGGACGTGCTGACGGGCTCCTACTTCTGCTTCGTCACCCTCAGCACCATCGGCTTCGGCGACATCGTGCCCGGCATGGACACGAACGCCTGGGCCCACCAGAAGCTGGTGCTGTGTGCCCTGTACCTGGTGCTCGGCCTGTCTCTCATCGCCATGTGCTTCAACCTGGTACAGGAGGACGTCAAGGCCAAGTGTAGGTGGCTGGGCATGAAGTTAGGTATCGTGGAGAAACCAGAGGCGCCCATATAGATAGAGACCTACACGTTAGCATGAGAACAACACGAGACAACTTTATGACAGCCTGGGACTGAGACACTCGAGACTACGGAAATCAAGGACTTCATTTATGGGATCAATAAATTGCGGTTTCCATTTTTCAGATCAACGACACTCGCTTGTATTGATTTTTTCGAGTTGTCAAACTATATGGCTGTGCTGAATTAATTCGCTAATTCGTCATTAGTTCATCAATTCGCAGTGTACATTCGTGCACACACACACACTACATATATATATATATATATATATATATATATATATATATATATATATATATATATATATATATATATATATATATATATATATATATATTTGTGTGTGTATGTGTGGGAGTATATATAAATATATAAATAGTATAATGTTTGTACGAATTTCCGCCCAGCTACCATAACTCATATAATGTTATATTCTGTATAAAAATATACTTAATGATTAGCAAGTGAATCATCATGATGGTTCTGCCAGTGAAAAGAAATGCAGGTAGTGTCAAAGACATACCTGTAATAATCCAGGTTTGAGAGCTCACCTTACATGCCGATAATGACACACAGGTGTTGTAACGATATCAAGAGAGACTTCTTGTAACGTAGGCCATGTTCGTGCTATAGGTTCAGATCAAAAAAATTGTGTAGGAACTCAACTCATTACTAAATAAAAGTAGGTAGGTCGTCATTAAATCGCTATGGGGCTGGTAAAGACATATGCTATGACGATTATTGTATTTTACGGTAAATTTTACATATGAATTTTTACATAACATTTTGTTGTCTGTATAGTCGATTAGGACGTAGATGAAGAATGAATATTACAGTAGGACGTTTTACTGTTGTAGGACATGTAATTGTTACAGGAGGACATGTAAATGTTACAGGAGGACATGTAAATGTTACAGTAGAACATGTAAATGTTACAGTAGGACGTGTAAATGTTACAGGAGGACATGTAAATGTTACAGTAGGACGTTTTACTGTTGTAGGACATGTAAATGTTACAGGAGGACGTGTAAATGTTACAGTAGGATAGGACGTGTAAATGTTACAGTAGGACGTGTAAATGTTACAGTAGGACGTGTAAATGTTACAGTAGGATAGGACGTGTAAATGTTACAGTAGGACGTGTAAATGTTACAGTAGGACGTGTAAATGTTACAGTAGGACATGTAAATGTTAAAGTAGGACGTGTAAATGTTACAGTAGGACGTGTAAATGTTACAGTAGGACGTGTAAATGTTACAGTAGGATAGGACGTGTAAATGTTACAGTAGGACGTGTAAATGTTACAGTAGGACATGTAAATGTTACAGTAGGACGTGTAAATGTTACAGTAGGATAGGACGTGTAAATGTTACAGTAGGACGTGTAAATGTTACAGTAGGACGTGTAAATGTTACAGTAGGACATGTAAATGTTACAGTAGGACATGTAAATGTTACAGTAGGACGTGTAAATGTTACAGTAAGACATGTAAATGTTACAGTAGGACATGTAAATGTTACACGAGGACGTGTAAATGTTACAGTAGGACGTGTAAATGTTACAGTAGGACGTGTAAATGTTACGGACGTGAGGAATATGTTTTTTTCCATTCTGTGTTTGTATGTTATGACCTCACTGTACTAGATTAACTAGCTCATAACGAACACATATCATTTGAAAACGGTGTGTACATAAGACTTAATGCTTTTGTTTAAATCGTGTATAGCCTATTTGATTTGATTGAAACTGCTAGTGTGTATGTAATACAGTTGCAACGCAAACCTGCCTCCTCCAAATACCAAAAGTGACCGTAAAAATAATTTTGATGCGATACGACTTGATCCTACACGGACTAGCGTACACATTGAGGCGGTCTTTGGGGAGGCTGAATTGTGACGTCGTTTTAGGAAGAGTGGTGATGGGGAGAAAAGGCGGTATAAATCTTTCAAGCAACCTTTTTTTAATTCTTTATGGGTGAGCCCTTGATTCTTTTTAAGATTTGTCGCTCCACGTATTTGCCTTTTTAATTATCATTGACATGAATGGATTACGCACACCTATAACATCCTGAAGTTTTTCATTCGTCAAAAACACATTTCATTAATACAATGTTGTACTTAACTGATTTGACAGAATTCCCAGGATTGACAAAATATAGCCGCGTTACATAATCCTTTAGCCGTGGTTATGTTCACAGCCCCCACCCCTCTCACCCTGTGTGTAAAAACTGCATCAGCTATGTATATACGTGCACAGAAGAGTCTACGAATGCTAGACCAACTCGAATTGCGAACAGTTATTCGGTCTACGAACCGTACGCCACAATCACTTTAGCGCAACATTTTGAGCGCTTAAGTTTACATGCAGTCGCGTCCTGGGCAATAGAAAAAAAAATATTTGTGCGTTTCGTATTTATAAGTTCTATAGCAATACATGACTGTTGTAGGGCCCAGTAGTACAACGATGTTTAGAGGCCTTTGTATATTTGTTTCTGCGTGCGGCAATCAATGCTAAGTGATTTTAACTTGTATGTTAAATATAAGAATAATGTTTATATTTAATTTGTGATTAATGTGTTTGTTTAATGTGCGAATAATGTGTATGTTTAATTAATGTGCGATTAATGTGTATGTTTAATGCAACTATCACAAAAGTGTAATAGATTCAGAGTCTGGGATACAATCTCAGTTGAAACACTATCTGAGCATCAGCAGTTGTCGTCCTTTCGCTCATTTAGAAATATAGCTGGGTGATGAACTACTTTATTTTTCTTCAGCATTGTTGTTGGTTGAACTGTTTTGTTATTGCTTTGTACATTTTTTTTTAATTTTGGAAAATAAGTAGAGTAACATTTTCGCTTTGTGTTCGATTACATAATCGAACATTAAGTTTGAGGTTACCAATTTCAGCCATATTTTAAATAAGATTAGGCATTAATACAAAGTTTTTAAATATCATGTACATATTTGTAAATATTTGATCAATTAATTAACATTTGAATTGAAAGTTTGTTTAATATCTGATTCTGTTAACCATTGCTCTTGTAAATAAGATTGATATCGTAACTAACAACTTCCAGTTGTACCTCTGTAACAAGTCCCAATGTTGTTTAAAGACACATTTTTGCCTACCAATCTTAGTGCCTTCTAGTTTGGTATTTAGCCCATCATACTTTGGTTGTTTTCGATCCTACTTGCCTTATACTTATATCTTTTAAATGGTTGAAGCGGCATTGTAATATTTATAAAATTTGTCATTTTTTTCAAACATTTTAACATTGTTGTTTTTATTTTTCTGTTGTCGGCACAAGGTCACCGTAATGTATTTATAGTTCAACAAATTATTTTAATATATGAGGAGTTATACAATTTGTCAAAATCTATGTGCAGTACAACAATTTGTCAAAATCTATGTGCAGTACAACAATTTGTCAAAATCTATGTGCAGTACAACAATTTGTCAAAATCTATGTGCAGTACAACAATTTGTCAAAATCTATGTGCAGTACAACAATTTGTCAAAATCTATGTGCAGTACAACAATTTGGCAAAATCTATGTGCAGTACAACAATTTGTCAAAATCTATGTGCAGTACAACAATTTGTCAAAATCTATGTGCAGTACAACAATTTGTCAAAATCTATGTGCAGTACAACAATTTGTCAAAATCTATGTGCAGTACAACAATTTGTCAAAATCTATGTGCAGTCCAACAATTTGTCCAGATTTTCACGAAAGGAATCCACTACTCTTTTATTGTGAATTAAATTGGGTCATAGATGTTATAAGACTAAAAGGCAGCAAAAATGTTTCGCGGCCATATTCAAGTACAGTGTTTCTTCCAGGCATTTTTCTCCGGGGGGGGGGGGGGGGGGAGGGACACTTAAGATTTTTCGGGGGGGGGGGGTGGTCAACATTTTTCGGGGGGGGGGGGCGGACACAAGTAAAAGTGTATGTTTACTATATAAATTCCATCTCGTTCGGGGTGGGGGGGGGCGGTAGACTTTCTTCGGGAAGAGATGCCTGGAAGAAACTCTGTTCACGTACACAAAATTAGAAGCATAGTCTCTTAAATTTGGAGGGGGGGTCAAAAACAAAAAAAGAAACGACGTGAAAGTGTTTATTGAAAGTTGGAAAATGGCAACAACAAAACTAAGTGAAAGTGTTAATTGAAAATGGCAACAACAAAACTATGTGAAAGTGTTAATTAAAAATGGCAACAACAAATCAGACATTGAGGATGTCAAATAGTCACGTTCTATTACATTCAATAATTCTTTCTGCACGTATTTTATAATAAAATTGAATGTTTAATTCCCCTAGACGAACCCAATCATAAGAATATAAATAAAACATTTCCAGGAACTCACTCGTTAATTAAACTATGATACATTCTAGCTCCGGTATTTATTTTGTTTAAACTATGATACAGTTCAAACAGTATCCCCCCCCCCCCCCAGTGATCACATGACCAAACAGTATCCCCAAGTGATGAGTCTAAAAAAAGAACACATGATTCAACAACTAACAGTAGTTATCAGACAGGATGGAGATGGCTGGACCTTGTGCTAAGAAAGAGAGCAGATACATTGGTTAGGACTGCTCTCAGATGGACACCAGAGGGCAAGAGAAAACTTAGGACGGCCAAAAGAAACATGGAGAAGATTAATGGAGAAAGAGTTGAAGGAAGGTGGCCTAACTTTTCAACAGGCAGAGGTTATAGCTAGAGACAGGGCAAAATGGCGCTCAATTGTTGATGCCTCATGTGCAAACGGCTGCTGAGAGTTGATGAACCCATTCCGTATAACACAATCAAAGATAACCTAACATTTATCTACACTAACACCCACCCCATATAACACAATCAAAGATAATGTAATATAACATTTATCTACACCAACACCCACCCCATATAACACAATCAAAGATAATGTAATATAACATTTATCTACACCAACACCCACCCCATATAACACAATCAAAGATAATGTAATATAACATTTATCTACACCAACACCCACCCCATATAACACAATCAAAGATAACCTAATATAACATTTATCTACACTAACACCCACCCCATATAACACAATCAAAGATAACCTAATATAACATTTATCTACACCAACACCCACCCCATATAACACAATCAAAGATAACCTAATATAACATTTATCTACACCAACACCCACCCCATATAACACAATCAAAGATAACCTAATATAACATTTATCTACACCAACACCCACCCCATATAACACAATCAAAGATAACCTAATATAACATTTATCTACACCAACACCCACCCCATATAACACAATCAAAGATAACCTAATATAACATTTATCTACACCAACACCCACCCCATATAACACAATCAAAGATAACCTAATATAACATTTATCTACACCAACACCCATCCCATATAATAAAATGAGGGAAAAGTCTGGAAAAAACACCGCCCAGGGATTGACGAAGTGGGCGATACTGTCCCTTGGGGGCGGTGAAATGGTTGTGGGGAGCAATAGAAACCTAGGGGGCTTCTCCGGGGCGTCGGTTAAAAAATGTTGGGGGGGAGGAACGCTCCAAGGGGGAACCGCTTGTCCTTCAGAAACAAAAAAAAAACAACTGTGTAACAATTACAGTAGTAATTTTAATTTTATGAACCGGATCGATTACAAGCTATTGAAGATTCTAAAGTCTCATATCTACATTTCTTGAATGCAGAATTGCTGATTTTCTTCAATAACAGAAATAAAATGAACAAAACAAAAACAAACTGTCAACTGTGGATACTATTTATACATTATAATGCTAAGCAAACTATATTAATATTAGCGTATTTGCTGTTTCAAGTAAGCATTTTAGTAAAGTTTTTCTATTTGTCTTCTAAACTAGTCTCTATCCTCAATGAAGAGTTAAAACTAGCTAATTTTTGCATATAGAAATTCGTTACCTATCAATATTATAGTACATCGACATAGGAGCGCCATAACATACGAGATTTGTTTAGATCTATAGTACATCGACATAGGAGCGCCATAACATACGAGATTTGTTTAGATCTATAGTACATCGACATAGGAGCGCCATGACATACGAGATTTGTTTAGATCTATAGTACATCGACATAGGAGCGCCATAACATACGAGATTTGTTTAGATCTATAGTATATCGACATAGGAGCGCCATAACATACGAGATTTGTTTAGATCTATAGTACATCGACATAGGAGCGCCATAACATACGAGATTTGTTTAGATCTATAGTACATCGACATAGGAGCGCCATAACATACGAGATTTGTTTAGATCTATAGTACATCGACATAGGAGCGCCATAACATACGAGATTTGTTTAGATCTATAGTACATCGACATAGGAGCGCCATAACATACGAGATTTGTTTAGATCTATAGTACATCGACATAGGAGCGCCATGACATACGAGATTTGTTTAGATCTATAGTACATCGACATAGGAGCGCCATAACATACGAGATTTGTTTAGATCTATAGTATATCGACATAGGAGCGCCATAACATACGAGATTTGTTTAGATCTATAGTACATCGACATAGGAGCGCCATAACATACGAGATTTGTTTAGATCTATAGTACATCGACATAGGAGCGCCATAACATACGAGATTTGTTTAGATCTATAGTACATCGACATAGGAGCGCCATAACATACGAGATTTGTTTAGATCTATAGTACATCGACATAGGAGCGCCATAACATACGAGATTTGTTTAGATCTATAGTACATCGACATAGGAGCGCTATAACATACGAGATTTGTTTAGATCTATAGTACATCGACATAGGAGCGCCATGACATACGAGATTTGTTTAGATCTATAGTACATCGACATAGGAGCGCCATAACATACGAGATTTGTTTAGATCTATAGTACATCGACATAGGAGCGCCATAACATACGAGATTTGTTTAGATCTATAGTACATCGACATAGGAGCGCCATAACATACGAGATTTGTTTAGATCTATAGTACATCGACATAGGAGCGCTATAACATACGAGATTTGTTTAGATCTATAGTACATCGACATAGGAGCGCCATAACATACGAGATTTGTTTAGATCTATAGTACATCGACATAGGAGCGCCATAACATACAAGATTTGTTTAGATTTGAGACGTCGTGAGAGCGATGTTTTTGCTTTGAACCCCGACAGGGTTATTTTTTCACTCGGTTTGGGTGGCAAAAACACAAAGACCATTGAAGAGAAAAGCAGTGTCGCAACTTAAGTGAAAGTTTTTAAAGTTTGCAGTGACATTAATGTTTAATAGAGTTCAATGATGTTGTACTGAGTTCGACAGTGTCGTTGAGAATAGTGTAGGATCGGCTGTGAGTTCCATAAATTTTGTTAAAGTTTTACGAGAAAGAATTAACAAGACTGAAAGAGTAGCATTAACAGTCTAGCATTCTTTTTTTTTTTCTTTTTATGTCACTTACATCCATACAGTCATTTTCTTTTTCTAAAACACTGAACTAAACTACTGGGGTCGCATTTTGGGGACTGTAACGGATTAATGGCTTTTTAATTAATTTCAATGAAGAAAAATTGCTTTGAAATATGAGTAAATTGTCATACAAGCAAAGTTATGGAATAAATTACGATCGTATTTCGATAAACCACCTCTGCAGTTGCCTATGTGGATTTTCTTAAATTTTGAAATAGAATTCATAATGAGCAAGGATAAAGCATGAAATACTATTGGATAGTCTCACTTAATAAATCAACGCTACAAAATTCTGTATTCGTGGCACACTTCGTTAGAAATAAATTTCAGGGGGGGGGGGGGGGGGATTCCAGCAGCTTCCAAATGTACCGTATGCAGAATATAAGAACAAGATAAAGGCTTATTGATCTAGTATCATGACTCAAACTATCTCCATTTTTTTTCAGTAAGCGATTTAAAGATATTTTAAAACTTAATTAGATTATATATACCTCGCAAAAAAATTCTTCTGCAAGTATAAATAATATGATATGATTAAGGTAACCACGTGCATTTTAATCCAACGACGGTTACCTTTAGTGTGATGGCAGTTGACAGAAGTTAATCATATCTGTATAGGCCAATATATGTAGCCCATACACACACACACACACACAATATATATATATATATATATATATATATATATATATATATATATATATATATATATATATATATATATATATATATATATATATATATATATACAGCCCCCCTCCCCCGCCTTAGACGAGGATTGACGTATCATTTATTACTATTCTCAAGAAAACCTTTTTCTTCAGGCACATTTTGCAACGTTTAGTTGGTTTCACCCCCCCCCCCCTCCACCAGATGATGCTTTAAACTGTACACAGATAATACTAACGATGCCCATCTATAGTCAGTTATAAATACAGCTGGATGTTGTATTGTTTTCTATATCGTTAGCAGGTTTACGTCATGGTCCCCCCCCCCCCCCTTGTCGGGATTTGTCAATTTCGCTCTTAATTAAAATGACTTTTTAACTCATAATAAATCATTTATTTAACTGGAATGATCGCTTTTTCTACATATATTTTGCTCTGTTTCCCTTGGTGTCACCCCCCCCCCTAAATGGTGTCCCCCAGCGCGACGCCTCAGATATATATATATATATATATATATATATATATATATATATATATATATATATATATATATATAGCCTACTAAGCTAATTTAAACTTACGCCTATGGTCAATAAACATAATTAATACAACTAATAAGGTAATATTTCTAATTAAGGTATTATCGGGACAACTATTTTCGTAACTACTCAACTATTATTTTACAGTTAAACACTTCAAAAAATATTTATTTATTTAGATTAAGTAACTGAAAAATGATTGCTTGGTCTGGAGACAGTTTCATACTTATTATATAGGGCCCTACTGGTTTCTTTTTTTTTTTCTATACGGACGCTTTTAGAAAATGTTCATTCATGTCCATCCTTTACACGTATCAAAGATCTAGATCCTTGCAATAAATTTTAAATGTTTAATATATAGGCCCATCTATCTCTGTTACATAATTCTATAGGATGTATATCAACCCAAATTTACAATTTACGTTGGTTAGATCTAGATTACTACTGTTTCCTTTTTTAGACTATAATTAGGCTATATAAATTTTGTTTTTGACAAGTAGCCGAACCACATATTAAATGGTCGTATAAACAATGAAGTAAACATTGTAGAAAAATATGGATAGAAAAGAGAAGCGTTTTGGTGGTAATAATTAAAATCTAATTTTGTAATAGATCTAGATCTTTTAGAAATGATCAAATAAGCTAATCTAGGGTAAAATCACGATATAGCGTCGGTTATTATTCCGGAATTGTACAGCAGTAAAAAACAGTAAAACCATGGCGTAGTCTGTCGAGCCGTTCCGGAAACCACCGGAAATACTGTAAACCATCATTTATTTGCCACCATATTATTTTTAATACATAATGTTTTAAAATGTGCAAGGATTGATTTTAGTTGCATTTTAAATACTGTTTTGCTAATTATTTTGTATTTCTAATTATTTTAAGTGTATGTGCTAATTATTGCTGCTACTAAACATTATTCTAGTTATTCTTACTACTTTTAACTTTAGTTAATCTAATCGTCTTATATACTAACAGAACTAGAGCTGCACTACTAGAGCTGGTTGTCGCAAATCTTCTGCAGGTTTTTTCTGTTTCTTAAAAAAAAACATTAATTACTACACTCGACTTTATTAATAATATTTAGGTTTACTAATTGTTGCTAATTTTTTGTCAGTTAAACATTAAATTAAGTTAAAACATTAATTTAATGCACTTGACTTTATTTTTTCTTTCACCGGTCAAATAAACTATGGTTTACAGTAACGAATGTTACCGAAACTCAACGAACATTACCCAATAATTTCCGACGCTATATCGTGATTTTACCTAATCTAGTGCTAGTCTATTTATTAAGCTACTTAATTAGGTTAGTTAGATCTCGAATCTCTAGACCTAGATTAGTAGCCTAGACTAGCTGCTAGCACCCAGCACTGAGCTGAGTGTGTGTGTAAGTGTAAGAGTAAGACAGTCACAGTGTAAGCAAGTGTTCTCAGTAATCATGAGATTGAGTAGATCTAATCACTAATCACTGCAGTAATGTAATGAGTTACAGAGTCGTTCTTTTTTCCAATTTGCTTTAAAACACTATCAGTAGCTCGTGGAGGACAATAACCCCCCCCCCCTCCCAATCCTCCCTTCAGCTAAGTTTGATATATAAAACATTATTCTTCCCCGCCCAATTATTTTAAAGCACAACCCCATGCAATGGCAAAAATTGATGTCATGTGTAAAACAACAATAGAGCTATAGGCCTATCATTTATGTGAAAGTCTTTTACAATGTCAACATCTTTCAATTTTGTCATTCTATGGTTGAGTACTTTTCAATCTTGTCACCAAAAATCCTATGCATCTTCATCTAAATAATTGCTGTATTTTTGCCACTATTTTTGTTTTTAAGAGTGCCCATGTCAAACTAAACAAATTCTCCATCTAGTAGTTTTGATTTTGTTGCAGAAACTGAGGAACAACAGAGAACCCGTTTTCAAATTGAGCTTGAGTTTGTCCAGTGTCTAGCAAACCCAAATTATTTAAATTGTAAGTTTCTTTCAAGATCATCATTCATTTTAGTCACAGAGATTTTCTTTGGAAATTACCGTCTAATTTTATATTTATTTTTTTATTGTATAGTTTTAGCCCAACGTAACATCTTCAAAGACCCGAATTTTATTAACTATCTCAAGTACCTTCAGTACTGGAAAGAACCAAGATATGCCAAATTTCTCAAGTAAGAAATCTCTGTTGTTTATACATCAATTAAATATATTTACTTTGTCATAAGGTTTATTACATTTTAGTGATTAGTAAATTTTGCTTTAATATAATGTTATAAAAAACATAATATTAAATTAATTATGAACCTACGGCCCTAGTATAATAAGTCCAAGAGTCTAATTGTAAAAGTTTGTAAAGTGCCCATGACTACAGAAATAAGTTGTCGTTTCCTTAAAGAAAATGTTATTTAATTAGTACTTATTTATACTGTACGAGCCGACCCGCGGTGTATCATACGCCGCTATTTAGTTGTTTTTTTACTTTTCAGTAATTCATAATTTGTGAATTCGACAGTACCAATGCTGCCACTGAAAATATTTGCTTTAAAACACTAAACCCCCCCCCCCCCCCCCCCCCCCCCCCCCCCGTGAAAGCAGCCTCCTCTTAGATACCTCTTCTAAGTTTAAAATAGTTTCAAACTGAATTATCTGCCCCTAATAGCCGTCACCAAACCCGGCTCTACGATTGTTTTGTAAATATTTAGCGTGAACTACAACTCACCTGACCATGTGAGGGGGGTGGGGGGGGTGGTAGCGATAGAGAGGAAGAGAGGGGACTGCAAGGCGCGCGCTTGTTTTCTAATGGCTCCCAGAAGAGAATTATATATATATAGATGATGTAAGGGGTTGGCGTGGTCGAGTCTATAAAGCTTATGGTTGCTAAACTGAAAAGTCTCGACTTCGAACCCTCGGGCAGATGAGGCTCGTTAGCTGGGGACAGCCACTCCTCTAGGAGAGACAACTCCAAAATCAAACAACTGCAGTCTTGTAGTTTGTTCTTGGTTGGACAAAGGCTATGGAAGCAAATCCAAAAAGAAAAGCAGGCTGAAACCGGAGTCAATGGCCTCTATTTTTGCATAACGTTGACAAGTATCCTAAATTGTGATGGAAGCGTGGTCGAGTCGGCAAAAAGCTCATGGTTGATAAATTCGAAAAAAGTCTCTGACAGATAAGGCTCGATCCCTTCCAACACTAAAAATTAAGAACAACGAAGAGGAAGTATACTGTATGTACATTGTTTGTTTACTGACACAAAGGGAGAGGGTTTCAAAAAACTTATACAGTGGATGACAAATTTTGATCCCTTAAATTTTGTTAGATTCTTTTAAACACTTGTCATAATTAAATTGGACCAATAATGCCCTCTAATCTTTAAAAAATATTTTTAAATGGCATGTTTTGGTTTTTATTTAGATACCCCCAATGTTTACACATGATAGAACTTCTACAGTATGAACATTTTCGTAAGGAGCTTGTCAATTCTCAATGTGCCAAATTCATTGATGATCAACAGCTCTTACACTGGCAGCACTACCAAAGAAAACGGAATGCTTTGATACAGGTTGGTAATTTTTTTCAATATCATATAAATATTGAAAGGAGTAAATTCTGCAGTAACTCAACTGAGACTTTATTCTTTTGTAGGAACAAGCAGAGAAAACACAAACACAGAAAGATGGAAAACAAGTTTCTTTACAATCAGGAACTTAAATGAACTGTGTACACAAGTTTTCTAATTATTAAATCTTTTCAATTTTTAAAAAAAAAAATTTTTGTGGTCTTGTATAACTTGCCAGTATAATATGATCCCCGTAACTAATTTTGAAGCAAGCAACACATTTTTAAATAAAAAAAAACTTAAAATTTAAATGACACAGGCAACCCAAGATACAGCATACATTTATTTATTCAATGCCTTCAATACAACTTTCCAGGAATTAATGCTCTGCAGCAAATTTGTGAAAATGTCGTCTGAATTGAAAAATACAGGGCCTCATAATCACCAAATGTGGATTGTGCTGATGTTTTTAAGCTACAACCAGTGTCCTCATCAAAATTACCACTACCTGCAACAAACATTTGTTTTTAAAAAGAGAGATTTGCCTGACCAAAATAAATTTATGAAACATACTGACATAAAATTATTAAGTCCATAGATTTTTTTTAAAATGGCAACTTACTGCAAAATCTAGATGTATTCCCAGTAACTGTCATTTGTGAATAACAAACTCTTCCTAACTGAGACAGTAATGATATTACATCATCACACAATGGTGGAAATGCTTCACAGATCGGAAGTAAACTTGGAACTGTTCCATGGAAAAAAGTAACCCACTCTCTTTTCTCCAGTACTGATATGATAAAACATAAAGCGACATAGATATTATTAAACATTAGGCATTCAGAAATCTATATTCCAAAAATTTAACCATTACTAATAAAAATAAAGAACACATTTATAAGTCACCTGAGAGCAATGTAAACATAACATCAATGCCCAGTTTTGCAATATTCATAGACTTTGGAAGATGGTACTGTGTGCATAAATGAGCCATCAATTGTATACCAAATATCTGAAAACCATTTTATTAAAGGCCAATCAGTTCAAACTTAGTGCTGAATGTTCAATTATTGAACAAACTGTCCAAAATGAATGTCATCTAAACTAAATTTAGTTGCTTACAGCTTTAGTTATTAGCTTTACCAGATGGGACAATAAAGGAGCCACATAATCTTTGATGGTGTGTAAGTACAATTAGTATTTTTATATTTTGTTTTTAAAGAATTTTACCTGTTTGCTTCTCTGTGGTTGACCTAAAAGTTCTGGAATAAAATCCAGACAAATGTGCATTGATGGGACTCCAGCTACAACCATGGGAATCAGTTCACTGGGGTAACCCTAAGAAATGTCAGATCATTTACATTTGCTGCTTTCTAACTTCTAATAGTTAAAACTCACTTTAATTACAAATTAGTTTACTATTGAGATTTTTTTTTTTTAATTGTACTATTTTAAAGTAAAAATGTATTGTTTTCATCTGAGTATAGTCATTACAGTTCTTAAAATGTAAAAATCTCACCTGGAAGTGAACTAGCTTAGCCAGATTAGGATCAGCAATAAAAACTTGGTGAATGTAAGAGAAGACAAGACATCGAACTTCTCTCAGGTTCGACAGTTCACTCTTAGACTTCGTCTACAAAACATTGTCAACAATTAGATAACATAGTTATCAAAATGTCGATGGAGATATTTAATGGTAAGATTTGATTTTGTGGCCAATTAAAATTCATTAACAACAGATATAAATATAACTGAATTCTAGCTGCTGATTTCAAACAATAACAAGTAAAATACATCAAATAAAACTTTAAATTAATTAAAAAACTTAAAACAATAATTATTCAATCAAGCTAAAAAATAAATTTTATATTTTTGCTTTGCTGATTAAAATTAATAAGTTATAATAATAATTTAATCAAGCTAAACAGAAATTGCCCACATTTTTTAATTGCTGTTAGAAAATTGTAATAAATATTTAAGCAAGCCACCAGCACAAGCAGATATTGAATAAAATTGTATGCTACCTTCTCACATTCTAATGGTAAGCAGACTTCAAGTAAAATTTGCACAATGGCACTTTCTTGAGCTGCTAATAATGCTACTTTTAATTCCTGCCTGTCTTTTTCTTTCTCTGTAGAAGCTGCATCTAAGACCCTTGAGCTAAGGTAGACACGACAAGCTTGTGTATAGGCTGATAAAATTCGTAGGAGAATTTCTAACATTGGAGGACACCTGTAATAATTTATAGCTATAAAAAGTTGACTAAAAATACTAGTTACTTTACAAAACATATTTTTTTATATAAAACTTTTATACAATTAAAAAAACCTCAGCACCTAAATACTCTATCATCACATCGTAAGACAACAAGCGGTTCTATGACTAGATCCTGTTCTGTTAGTTGGGCAGAGGAGTGAAAGGCTGATTTTCTTGTCGGCTGCAATGCATTCACTGTATCCAAACGCAATCTTGAATTAAATAAAATAACTCATTTTTATTGCCTTAAATTTGTTAGAATTTTCTAAATTTGACAGAATAACCTATCATTAATATAAAGGTGTCAATGTTCTATAACACCAATTTGTAAAAAAATACTGCTTTGGTAAGCAATTGGACAAAATGTGAGATATAATTTTATAGTTTTGAGAATGTATTCTTTAGTGAAAATATTACTTTCTAGTCTTAGCATTACCAGTGTGGTACATATCTAGAATAGTGGCGTTATTACCCAATATGTTTAATACCCTCAACAAATAGAAATTTGACTGAAATTTTTTTTTTTATTAAAGTTGATATAAATTACTCAATTTTCATGAATGCTGAATTCAGTACTGCAATGGCATGTTATCCCCAGGATTCAGTTCTAACATAAATGTGTAAACTAGCAATAATGTTTAGGTATCAGCTGTGCCATGTTAAGTCTTACTTCCTGGGTGTGAAGCCGTGCAGCTTGAACCAAACTTTTTTTGTAAGATCCAGAAGTCTCCTAGGGGTTCCCTCTTGTAAGAGACTTGTCAAGCCAGCTACCAGAGCATCCTGACAGCTTCTGAGTGTACTCGGATCTTTTAGATGAAGAATTTCTTCTAATAATTTAATTGCCTCTGAGGGATGACTCTGGGCTTTTGATATTGCTGAAAGTTTAAAACAGACCCTAAAAAGTTAGCAAAAAAAAGTTTAAAATCAAGCAGTTTTACTATTTGAAAAGTTACATAATATTTATATTACTTAATACTTAATAATAGATTTGTTTCCAATCAGTATTTTTTTAAAGAAAAAAGAATTGAACAATATTTACAATTACCTTCTTTGATCAACTCAGGTTTAATATTTATACTTTTTACTTCTTTGCCTAAATTAGTTTCTCTTGACATAAGCCCAACATGAGCATCAAGCCAATCTTCAACAAGACACAGATGGGGAAAGTGTGTGTTTAATAAGCTGAAAAAAAAAACTATTATTTAATAATTGTTTATTACAAAAATAAATTGTTTTATTTGAATGAGTTTAGTTATACTAGCTGAAAAGTCTGTTGGACCGCACACAAAAAATGTTTTTAATCTTATGTTTTATATGATACCCAGTTGTCTAGGTAAAGTCCTAAGGATAAAGTTTCATGTAAATAACATACAATAAAAACATCAAAATGGAGTACTATTGATTTGATTGAGCTATTGAAAACACATTGATTTATTGTAGTATTAATTTATGTCAAATTTCATACTGGGCATTGTCACATCTAGATGGGGGGGGGGGGGGGGGGCAGAGAGGGATCTAAAATTCAAAATTATTTGTGGACATCAAAAATGGATGCAAAAAGTTAAAGCTCCCTTTTCAAACCTGTCAGTCCAAGTAGAGTTCAACTGTTTCTGAGATATTGGCATTTGAAGGGATAGTGTGGTCAGGACTATGACCAGTCACCTTAAATCTCCCTAACGTGAGTTAGGTACCCATCATTAACCTTACCAATCTTAAATGTATAAAAATTTAAATAAAATAGAGGAATAAATTCTTTACAGATGTGCTACTTAGCCAAGAAAAACGTCTTCAACTATGCTAATAATGTAAGAAAAGTTAATTTTTAGAGTTACCGGATCATTGGGGGGAAAAGATTCTGGCAGTTGTTATAATGTTTGAGAGCCTCTTGGACAAGGTAGCTGATGGGAATTTGAGACATGACTGCATCACTGTACAGAGATAGCTTAGTCACATCTGTTGTAAAGAGCCAAAGTTACAATACATCAAGGTAATTATCTGATTCTACTTGTACATATTACCTACATGTCATCAGTTAATGCCGTTTGTAACCCTTAACAGTTTGTAACCCTTAACAATCAGTCATATACTATTAGAGAAAGAAAAATTATGTGTGAGAAGGCATCTAAAATTTTAGAATGCTTACAAATTATAAGTTTAACAATAAAATAGCTAGACATTTCAGCTGAAAAATCATACCTATGAGTTTTTTATGTGTGTGATACAAATCCTCATATAGTAACAAATAATACAAGATTAACAATTGTGGACATAGAAGCCTTTCATTTATTTCTGTGCTTGCATTCATGTCTTTAGGTTTTTCAACAGTTCCTGGTGTAGTTTTCTTTTTAATTTCAAACAAAGCAAGAATTTCTGATTCAGGTATAGGTTCATTTGTGTTTTCAGGTTTGAGAGATTTCGGGATAACTGAGTTCACATATGACTCGATAAGTTGTGGAAGCAGTGGATGCAATGGAAAGCAGCTGTTGCATATTTGTTTATAGACCCATTTCTGAAACAATTAAAAAAACTTTGACAATTACTCATTATTATTTTCAAATGGTATATGAGTTCAAATTTTTTATTTTATTTAGATGTACCAGTAATTTTTAAAAATTAAATCAAGTTTCAAGGAAACAAAAAGATTTTTAAACTTGATGCTTATTACAAGCAATAATGTAATAATTTCAGCCTATCAAACAGAAATCTGTGAACCAAAATGTTAAAATCCTTATTTACCCTTATAGAAACTTTATGTTTAGAGAAGACTCTGCTTTTTAAAAGTTGCAGGATACTGTGTACAGGGAGATAACCAGTGGACCTAGCATCCAAATTGGGAGTCACAGAAAGTTTGACAGCATGAGCTGCTACAACCTGAAATTTAAACATAAACCTAGTCAGTTAAAGGAAAACTACAACCTGACATTTTAAACATAAACCTAGTCAGTTAAAGGAAAACCTGCAACCTGACATTTTAAACATAAACCTAGTCAGTTAAAGGAAAACCTGCAACCTGACATTTTAAACATAAACCTAGTCAGTTAAAGGAAAACCTGCAACCTGACATTTTAAACATAAACCTAGTCAGTTAAAGGAAAACCTACAACCTGACATTTTAAACATAAACCTAGTCAGTTAAAGGAAAACCTGCAACCTGACATTTTAAACATAAACCTAGTCAGTTAAAGGAAAACCTGCAACCTGACATTTTAAACATAAACCTAATAAGCTTAACTAGAATTAATAGATTCGCAAAATGTAACTATCATGTAAACTGCTTAACCATTAATGACCCATAACGCCCACTGCTGCCCGCAACCCATGATGACCCGTAATGCTCGCTTACAATAAGGTTGTCGCCTAAGATTTTAAACTCCATTATTGTTCAAGATGACTTAATCAATTAAAAACTACATTTACTTACCTTTAATTTGATATTAATTTTATTTATCAAATTTAATCGGTAGCAAAGAAAATGAATTGTGAAAAACACCTTAGTTTTTAAATGGCTACGATCAGTATAGTTGAATAATACGCAAAAAAAACTATTATTAGTAGGCTATAATATATTTCTGAAATTACCATCAAACGTTTAAAAATGGAATCAAGATATTGACGTTTTTGGCAGTCATAATTACTATGACGACGGTAAAAAAAAAGTAGGTCAAAGAACAACCTATTACAATATGCAAAATAAAATATAATTTGTTTCATAAAAATTTGGCCTACAAATCCTAATTTTATCAGGAAATTGGATAGTTTCAGCAGCCTTTTTCAGTTTACTCATTTCAATGGCGATTTTGAAATATACATAATATTAGTCTCGTTCCATCCCGAATTTTAGACTCATCTGTCCTATTTTTAGTTGATTTTAAATAAAAAATAAAATAAAAACTTGCCTAAATATGTATCTACGCATGTATTATACGAAATATATATCTTAAACATAACCAACCGATATTCAACTGTTAAATACTATGCATAGTTGTTTAGAAATTTTTTTATTTTTATACTGTACTGTTGGAAAGCCGGATTTAATTCCAACCTTAAGCAGCAGTTTTTATCTTAATTATTAATTTCATTTAGACAAGAACAAATATTTTGTGAAAGTGTTCACTTGTTCATACAGAGTAATGCTCCTTACATTGGGAAATCAAAATTGGTGTTTGGGTAGAATGAATGGGTCATTAATGGTTAAGATTAAAAGCTTATACTTTTAATAAATAAAGATTTGTTTTCCATTTGTACAATATAACTATTTTGTTACCTGCTCTGTAAAAAGATCCATTGTAAAAATTTGTCTAATTTTAACGAGGGCACTTGTCTTCACTGTTATCTTTTTAAAAGAAATAAGAAATAGAAAAAGTTAATTTACAGTATTTTACAAACTGCAGTTAGTGCAAAGATGTGCTTAGATTATTTTGATGCAATTAATTTCAAACTATCAAAATAATAGAGTGTACCTTCATCCCCAGTGTAGTACAGACAAGATCAGTTATAGCCTGCATCTGATTATTGTGAAAATTTAGGGCAAGTAAAAATAACATTTCACCTGGACTGTCAGTTTTTGAAGAATACCTAAAAATAAGAGAATTTTTATAATAAGAAAACAATATGACATTCATTAGTAAGATCATGGTTTTAAAACTAGCTTAAAGGTGTTTTTTTAAAAGATTAACAGCCATTGGATCATTTTCCTGGTATAATATAACCAAGACAAAGGCATTCTTGAAAGGTTTATGAACAATTACTTGAAATTAACTGTTGCATAGTTTTTTTAAAATAGAAATGCGGAAATTTAAATTGTAAGGCAATGTGAACAAAATGGGTTACTACTTAACAGAACATTCTAGACTTCCACATCTGTATATTATTATAAACTGTTCACTTTTATTTTAAAGTTTAATCTTAAAGTACTAATTTTAGAAGACAATAAAAATAAAAGACTGACTTATCAAAACGGTTTTCTGATTGCATTAGCCATCTGAACCAGTGTACAGTCTGCTGCTCATCATCTATAGATCTGACAAACATTTACATCATATTAATTTTGGAGGGTGGGGGTTGTAAAAAGATACACTTGAGATACATGCAGTAAAATATCCCAATTTTGCTGCTATAAAAAGATTCTAAATTCAAATAACAAAACAAAAGATTACCTGAGAAGACTAGGGCTGGCAATGAGGGTACAAATTCCCAAAGATATGAAGTAGGCACCAGCTCTTGATAGTGAAGGATGGGAAATTACCAGTCTTAATAAACAACCTGTCTCTTCATCACTGTACCTGAATAGAGCATCGAAAGATATATTTTAGAAATGATAAAATGAAAGAGGTTCTGTAGTCAAAGACTGCTAATGTAATCAAAACTTGTTTCTCAATTCAAATAATTTTTAGGATACAACTACATTTTATAAATGTTTTTTGTAATGCTTCAGGTTACATAGAGTTTTTTAAAGTATTGTCATATTTTTTTTTTATAACACAAAAAAAAATAATCTTCCATTTTTCTTTCATTTACTAATTATCATAGTTGAATGTACTAAAAATCAACTTTAAATTAAAATGTAATTATTTCAGAAAGAAAATTGACTTCATGCTGTTCAATGGGAAAAATTCATATATATGGTTTCACAACTAATACTAATAAGTTAATGTAAACCCTTTTTAATTTTCTTATGAAAATAAAAGTATTTCCAGTTTTCTACTTAAATAAACTAAAAATTATAAACCAAATATATTTTTTTAAATATTCTAAACAATATATAGATAATTCAGTAAGTAAACTCCCCAAATATTGCATCAAACTTATAATATAAAGTAAAATCTTACTTCATAGTTGCTATTCCTCTTAAAGCATTGTAAAGTTTGAGAAGAGAACTTGCAACAACAGTCTTTGAGTCCTCCATAATTTGTCCTTTCACTGGAGTTAAACTAATAAGCTGTTTCAGTAAGTATTCACGAAGTAAGTTGAGCATAGACGGAGCATTGTCTGGTCTCTTCTATTTGAAAAAGTGAAAAAAAAAGTTCAATAGCAATAAACTTATTTATTGCAAAAACTATTAAACTCAATGCTTTGCATGTATTGAAGAATACATTTAAATAACTCCTACATCAAAATACCTTTTGTCCAGATTTTACAAAGTTTGAAATCCAATTTCTTGCTCCAACATCAGTTCCAAGCAAAAGACTTGTAAAAAATGGAATGATATCACTGTTATTAACACCATCTTCATGTTTTGCTTCAGCTAACTGAATTGAGACTGCTACAGCAAATCCTGGCATATTGCAGTATTCTGTCTGTTTTACAGTAGTAAATATTCTTTACAAAGAATTCATTTTCTTTATCAAGTATTAATAAAATTATTTTAAATGCCATATCATACAATTATACAAATGCGAAAAAAGACAATAAAGACTTGAATGTGTCCTTACACAATAATTTCTAACAGTGAGTGCAGCTTTTGGGTTCATGAGACATAACATACGCAGAAGCTCAAGCCTCCTTAAACCACCAGCAGAATCTTCTTCCTGTTTTTCACCCCTAGCTATTAAACTTTTACATACTGAAAAACAAAAATACAGCCTATTGAACAATCATCAGTTTTAAGTTACTAATTTTTAAAAATGTGGGGGACGGCATGGCCAAGCAGTAGAGCGCTATCGGCTAACTCAAAAGTCTCAAGTTGAGATTAAGGCTCTAGTCTGTAGGACGCCCTAGAGAGCGCCCAGCTCCGATGACTACCTGACTTACATTAGGGAAACAAAGACAGCTAGGTATACTGCTGACCACACTATCCTCTAGTATGCCTAGGTCATTGAAACATATAAAGTCTACTTCATCTTCCCCTAGTGTCTTGGGCATGAATGGGAAAAAATGATGTGATGATGAAATAAAAATGTAAGAATACAGTTTTTATTGTTGTGATAAATTAAATACATAATACTGCATTATAAAATGTCTAAAAACACCAGTTTAAAATATCTGACCTTCAAGAAAAGTCTCTGGATTATTAGCCACCAGCTGACATACAAGAACTGCACCATTATTAACACACAGCAAAGCTTCACTCATATCCAGTAAATTTAAAAGGTTTGGGAGTTCTGTAATCCAAATGCAGAGCAATTTTAGGAAATCAAATTATTAAAAAATTAAATTAAAGCTAGTTTTTAAACAAAAAAATGTTAAATACCTGCCATTGCTATACAAAGAGCATCAAGAATCTCTTCTGTATACACAGGACACTCAAATAAATCAGACTGTTTTGTATAGTTTCCAGCTTTCTGATCTTTAAGCTAAGCATTAGGGATAGGTTTGATAAGATGAAGGAAATTTGCTCCATTATTATTTACCAAATGATGTTTAATTAAACAGTGCATGCTAATGTATCAACATATTAAAGCTTATAACTTTATTAAATCAAGTACAATGGTTCTGTTTCAACAAAATAAAATATGAATAAATTTAATCATCTAAATAATTATTGATTAAAGTTGGGATGTATGGGTGACTCCTAAAACAGTTGGATCATGAATAGGCTTTTTCTACAGTAAACTTTAAATGCATGCTGATGTAATACTTAGTAATCATGTATTTCTACGCTTTATAGTTATAAGGACCTAACTATAATGAAAAATTAGACTATATAAACATAAGAAAAATAAATACAGTTGTACCTCAGAAGAAATAAAGAGCAACTGGCTAAGAAGCAGACGAATTCGCTGTGCGGGTTCACTGTCACTCCTTTCAAATTCCAAAGCTATACCATGTTGAAGTTGGGACACCAGCACACTTTCAGTCATATTACTTCCTAGTTTAGTTCTAAAATTGTAATATCAATAGTTAATTTTTAAAAATGTGTGCATGCAATTACAGATTAAAAAAGTAAAGTTCCCTTTCAAACCAGACGATTTATGGGGCAAGTGAAGTAGAGTTCACTTGCTTCTGTGACCTCGGCATATGAAGGGATAGTATGGTCAGCACTACGCCCAGCCGCCTTTACTTACCCTAACATGAGTTAGGTACCCATCAGAGCTGGGAGGACTCAGGGACGGTCTACTGACTTGAACCCGGATTAGAACTCGAGACTTACGGGTTAGCAGTCCAGCTCTCTACTGCTAGGCCACTCCGTCCCATAATAACTGATTGACTAGCAGTAAAACACTATTTTCTTCTACATTTCTTTGCAAATGAGGTCTGATGCTTTTTACAAAAGAGAAAATATTCCCTAGTATACATTATTTAAAACAGTGATAGTTATCGACCAATAGAAACTTAGGCCTACAAACTACAATGATTTATGTAAATACATTTTTCAGTGCAACTACAGTTTTTTAGTAATAATAAAATAAGTTTAGTAGTTTAGTTAGTGTAGTGATAGATCTACTTGCGATAGTGTAGTAGTAGTAGTAGTCCAGTGGCAGTACCTACCTCAGCTGTTGTTCCTTTTTAACATCTTGTTCTAGAGCATGAAAATCAATGGAAAGCATGTCAACTATACTATTTACGACCTCTAATCTCGAGAGAATAGCTAAAACTTTTTTCCTCATCTGTTTTCCCATTTCACTGGTGTCAAGAGGAGCACACAGTGCCATTCTTACAAGACCCGGTAAAACTGGACGCAGATCACTGTCCAGGCATTTACTTAGAGATTCTGTATCCATCGTTTGCATGGCACTAAAAACGTGAGTTTTGACTGGTGTCATGGTTTTAATCATTTTTTACACTAAAATAATCGTTTTCAATTAGAAATTAGAATTAGAATCTAGATCTATTGAAGAATCATTGACGATTGTCATCTCTAGAATCCATGAATCTATGGATAGATCTAAATATCAAACTTCTTTTTCAAAAGATCGGTACTTCTTCTTTTGCTTCTTCCGGGTTTAGGCCTAGTTAGTTATATAGTTATATTTATTGCCCCTAATGTGTTTGCAATCGTAGGGACATTTCAGTTGATTTTATCCATAAATAGACCTAAACACTTATTTAGGAATATTTATTTTAGGGACTTTTATTATTATATAAAACACAAAAGTCGCCGTTATTATCATAAGCCTACTAATAACAGTGTTTCTTCCAGACTTTTTTTCTCCGGGGGGGGGGGGGGGGACATTTTCCGGATGGTGACACTGGTAAAAGTATGTTTTCTATATAAATTCAATTTCTTCCGGGGGGGGGGGGTAGACTTTCTTTGGGGGGGGGAGGGGCACTTCCTCTCCCCCCCCCCCCCCCCCCCCTCTCAGAAGAGATGCCTCGAAGAAACTGCGCATGTATGCTATGTATTAAAATAGCCTATACGGGCCTAACATTTTTAATTTTTTATAGACCTACCACCACTCACAATCAGAGGTGTAGTTAAGGGGGATGGCCGACCCTTAGGAGGCGCCGAAAAGGACTAGAAATTTTTTTTTTCTATCTTGATTTTGTAATAGAAAATAAAACCATTAAAAATTAAAATCGAGTAACTGGCCGGTAAAAATCGTTAACCAACTTTTTTTACAAGTTGGAGGGGGGGGGGGGGTCGATTGCATAAATCGGAAGGAATTAGACCGGATTTGATGAAAAGGCATCTTTCAACACTTGAAAAATAAACCAATTGTATTAACGCATACTTTACGCTTACTCCAGACCAGAGGCGTAGCGACCCTTCCCGGCGCCCGGGGACAAACTTTCAATATGGCGCCGCCACCCCCCCCCCCCCCCCATATATATATATATTTATATTTATAATGCAAGCTGCAGCTAAAATGAGCTTTTAGTTGTTTTTTTTTCAAACCCATTTTGGCGCCCCTTAGGGTCGGCGCCCGAGGACATATGTACCCGCCCGCCCTCCTTGCTACGCCTCTGCTTCAGACATGTATGTTAAGAATTGATGCGAGTAGTTCTTTGTAGTTTGAAAAATTACGCTTCTCTCAACATCGAGAGAGATCGAGGCTCGGAGCCCCCAAATACACACTATCGCTGGGCACCCAAATACACACTATCTCTGGGGCCCCCAAATACACACTATCGCTGGGCACCCAAATACACACTATCTCTGGGGCCCCCAAATAAACACTATCGCTGGGGCGCCCAAATACACATCCCTAAGATATTTTTAGAAAAAATTAAAACAGGAACCTTTCCAGTGGTGTACTCAACAGCCGACCCAAATGTAACGAGGAGCGGATGAATGTTTTAGTAATGCATAAAACAGTTTAACGAACATGTATGTATGGTTCTGGACATACCCCCCCCCCCCCCCCCCACACACACACCATCACTACACCCATTTGACTTTTGTCTTTCGAAAAAAAAAAAAACCAACCCATCGACTTTTTAAAAATTCTGATTCAACTCCCTCTTTTATTCTGACCGACGTTACATTAATTAAAGCAACTTAATCTCTATTTCACACTTTGGTGTGCATGTCAGAATTTAATTATTGAATAGCTGTAAGCTGAACGGTACCGATAAGAGCACATACAAATTAAATCTATAGTCTAATATCATAACACATACTTCAATAGCTCATAATTTAAAAGTTTTTTTTTTTTAAATGACATAACCCTAAAGGAGGTAGATCTAGATTTTTTTCAAATATTTACATTACTAACTACTACAGAAAAGAAAATTCTTGATTATATATTTTGTTAAATACCATCTGTAGGCATTCGACTGACTGGAAGCTGGCACCCACATATTCCCAGGCTTGAAATAGCTATTGAATTGGTTTCTGGAGATAGCCTGGCTACCAAGGTTAGAGTATTTTTTATACCAGCCATACGAATATGTGGGTTCGCCGATTGAGGACCTGAGATTCTAGGACCCGTCAAAACTAATACTTCAAGTTACAAAGCCAATACGGTGAGTGGGGCGGAAGGCTGAGAAATTTTACACGCAGATATCAATGATATCAAGTAGGCCTATGCTCCCCAAAGATTTTATTACTCTGAAATCAAATATGCGCATCAAAGGTTTTAGTACACGCAGAAATCTTGTTTGCTGATCAAAGGTTTTATTAAACACATATTAGGTTTAAGCCATTTGATCGTATTTACTTGGCAGAATGTGAAGTGTAATCAGTGGCGTCGCCAGGACGGGTGTCAATCTGTGCTGCATCTAATGGTGTCTATAGGCATATATATATATATATATATATATATATATATATATATATATATATATATATATATATATATATATATATATATATATATATATATATATATATATATACCTAAGTATATTTAATGATAAAAATGATTAAAGGCATGGATTATTGTTTCAAAACTTTAAGCTGAAGAAAATAGTCAACATGTTTCAATGTGGCAAGCCAACCAGTTTTGATCGCTCTTTATTGCTTATGGTTTCCATTATCCATTTTCGTCTTTCAATTTTTTTAACTCAATTTATTTACGATGGATTAATACATTGATTTTAGCCATATATCACACAACTTTTAATAGGGATAGAAAAATAACCCATTAAACATATCACACATCATAGATATACCAACTACTTAAGCACAATCAAATGTACAACTATTTTTCTACTGTTGACAGTCACCTTCCTCCACACACAAACACACACATTCGCTTACATACACACCACACACATGTGGGCTGTTGTATAATAATTTGCTAGATCAAATGATGTGTAGATTTGTAAAGTTCCGATGTGATTTCACCCCAATTCGCTTTAGGGGACGTTGTATTTGGTGTCACCCCCCCCCCCCCTACTTTTTGTCGAAATGCGTCAATGTGTGCAAACATTATATTAATGCACCTAGAAAAAAACATTTATGGGCCTTTTTTTTACATTTTTCTGTAATTACCTCACTTACATGGCGTGGCTTAGCAACTCCCAATTATATTCGACTGTATTCAATTGAATGTTTTATTGTTTTATGCAATTCACGTCTTTGGTGGCAAAAATCAAACTTTTATTGTTTCACACGAAACTCGCTAAAGTAAACAATGTATAAGCAAGAAGCAATGACAGCGGATGTTTGCAACGTATGTCTGTGACTGATAGATGCAGATTGCCTTAAAACAAATTGCTATTAAATGTTGATATGCTTAGGATATTTCAATTTTTTTGTCAACAATGTTTGATGACATAATCAATTTTTAAACTTGAACAAATATATCGCATTTTAAAAACTTCGGAACCCCTGTAATGTAAGTAAATGTAAAGATATCGTCTTCTTTTCTTAGATACAGGTGAAGGCCTTACCGCTGGATTTCATTTGAAGAGCCTAATGTCTTTTAAACGAAACGGTTTATACAATAAAGACTTACTGAAGAAAATTGAAAAAGCAAAGGTAATAAATCTTGCTATTTAAATATTGTAAACAAATGAGAAGTTTTTTGAAGTAGGATTGTGTTATGTGTGAATTTGTACTTTAAATACAGAAGCAACGTGAAGAGAAGGTATTGGCCCATGAGAAAGTTCGTTGGATAATAGCTCAACAAGTTCTTAGGAGGCTCACCTTCTTACCTCGAGTCACGGAGAGAGGACTAGAGAAAGATGGCGTTGGTTTGGACGCCTATTTAATCACCAGGTTAAACGTCTGACTTTTCTCACAAGATGGTGTTTTAAATATTGTAATCCGTAGACCTTTGACATGAGTAATCCATACATATATATATATATATATATATATATATATATATATATATATATATATATATATATATATATATATATATATATATATATATATATATATATATATATATATATATATATATGTGTGTATATATAAATATGTATATATATATATATATATATATATATATATATATATATATATATATATATATATATATATATATATATATATATATATATATATATATATATATATATATATATATATATATATATATATATATATATATCTTTTTGACATAGAAAACTTGAAAGCTCAAGGAATCTTATATGTGATGATTTCGAACAGTTAAGGTAATTTTACTTCTTTTTTTGTCTCTGTAAAGAATATCGTGCAAAAGTGTTGCTGGGTTTTAAAACGTTATTCTGAGTACGCAGTGTGCTTGCTATATCAGTACGCAGTGTGCTTGTTATATAAGTACGCAGTGTGCTTGCTATATCAGTAAGCAGTGTGCTTGCTATATCAGTACGCAGTGTGCTTGCTATATCACTACATAGTGTGCTAGCTATATCAGTAAGCAGTGTGCTTGCTATATCAGTACGCAGTGTGCTTGGTATATCAGTACGCAGTGTGCTTGCTATATCAGTACGCAGTGTGCTTGCTATATCACTACATAGTGTGCTTGGTATATCAGTACGCAGTGTGCTTGCTATATCAGTACGCAGTGTGCTTGCTATATCACTACATAGTGTGCTTGCTATATCAGTACGCAGTATGCTTGCTATATCACTACATAGTGTGCTAGCTATATCAGTAAGCAGTGTGCTTGCTATATCAGTACGCAGTGTGCTTGGTATCAGCAAATAAAAAACCCAGCGATTCTGTACGTCGACCGAGTAAATTAATTGATGCATTTATTTACTCCTTTTGTTTTAGACATTCTACATAATACCAAGCAGTGGAACATGGTAGAAAAAGGCTTTTCTATCCAGAATTCTGTCTAATCCTAAACCGACATGTTAACATTTATCCTAGCCCTATTCAAAGCCCTAACGTAGCTATAGCACTAGCCCTCCCCTTACCTTAAGATTATTGTTAGGATAAGATTAGGTTTAATTTGAAATTAATCAGTTAGGTAAGTCCTACTCTAGTTGCTGGGAGGGTGTAATAGACGAAGGGGTAATTGAGAGAAGTATTGTGGGGGGGGGGGGGAGGAGGTTAATGGCCGGGGCTAGTATCCTGGACATAGAAGACCCCCGGGGTATGGTCGGGGGTAAATGGCCGGGGCTAGTATCCTGGACAAAGAAGACCCCCGGGGTAAGGTCGGTGGTAAATGACCGAAGGCTAGTATCCTGCACCCCATTACTGTTGGACATTATATATAATTTTTTTCTAGATCAGACACTGTATCATTTGTAATGTCATTAATTAACAATATTCTTCTTCCTCTTCCTTCTTAATTGTAATGTTCCACTGAATTCCCTTTAACACAATTAAGTATTAAGTGACTACTGGTTATGCGCCATTAATGTTTCAGCCTGCTTTTGGTTTTAGATTCGCCTCTATAGCCTTATGCCAACCTAGAACAAACTACAAGGCAGCAGTTGTTTCATTTCGGAGTTTTCTCTCTTAAATGGGCAGCTGTCCTAAACTATCGAGCCTCATCTTCCCTGGGATTCGAACTCGCGACTTTTCGGTTGAGCAACGATGAGCTCTGCCGACCCGACCACGCCAGCCCAATAATCAATATGACGACTGTTATCATTATTAGTCCTATCATTACAACCTTTGCTATTACCATTACTCATGCATTTTTAAAAACTTTTGTAGGAAGTTCATCTCGACAGAAAGAACCAAATATTCCTTCAAACCATGGCTAGCCTCCCATGCTAGCGTGACCTCCAGCAAATCCATGGTCTCCTACAAATCTTTCTCCATACGTCGAAGCTGTCCTGGTGCTGAAACCTCCAGTGATGGCCTGGATCAAGTCGAGCAACCACCTACTGCAACCCATGGTAAGTTGCTGGACAACCCACAATCGGTTTATTACTACCCAACCAAAGGTAGTTGCTGGTCAACCCAAAGGTAGTGGCTGGTCAACCCAAAGGTAGTGGCTGGTCAACCCAAAGGTAGTGGCTGGTCAACCCAAAGATAGTGGCTGGTCAACCCAAAGGTAGTGGCTGATCAACCCAAAGGTAGTGGCTGGTCAACCTAAAGGTAGTGGCTGGTCAACTCAAAGGTAGTGGCTGGTCAACCCAAAGGTAGTTGCTGAATATCTGCTTTTAAAAAACTGCTGCAGTACACTACCCCCAACCCCTGTCGAGAAACAACAAGGGTATTATATGGCTATAGTTAAGGACTAGGGTTAGGTAAATGGTTAGGGGTCGTAAAAGGGTTAGTGATAGGGTTGTTGATAGGTTAAAATCTCATATGAAACTCACAAATGACTGTTCACAATTAGGATCAACTTTCAGCTCGTCGATTTATCTTGAATTCCCACTTTTTTATATTCTAAGGCTAACGTAGGAGTCGTTAATTAACTGCAAAATTAACGTTAGGACATTTAATCTACTCTTCCATAAAAAAAAATACGCACTTATTGAATTCCTTTTGAATTGAAAGAAGTATGTGCTAATTTTATAGGGCAGTTTTGTTTTAATTATTTCTACTCCTAATATTGCTAATGTCAATTACCATAATGGCATGTACCATAATTTCATGTACCATAATTTTATTTACCATAATGTTATATACCATTATGTCATGTACCATATTGTCATGTACCACAATGTCATGTACCATAATGCCATATACCATAATGCCATGTACCATAATGTCATGTACCATAATGCCATGTACCTTACTGTTAACAGTTGTGATAACCAGAGAATGGATACAAGAAAATCGCAAACCAATCAGATTTCTTTTTGATGGCTGTATACCGGTAAATTATATTACATAATTACACGCTTTATTTGTCACATTAGTGACATTTTAACATCAAGTATTCCAAGATAATACTCGGTATATAACACATGACATCGTTTGATTACACAAACATTGGATAAACATTCAGTGAGTGAAGTGAGGTAACAGATCTAGAAGAAAACCTTGTTGTGCTAAAACTGGAGTCCCAACAAGACCGAAAGACTGACATTCCTGTAGTCATAGTTTTCATCTGGCTTAAGAAGCAGTAAACATTGCAGATACCATTCAACATTAACTCGAAACATTGCAGGTAATGGAGGATGAAGCCATTCTGCAACAAAGGGTGGCCGAATGTTGTCAGACCTGCAAGTTCTTACTTCCGGTCGATCTCAGGGAATTTCAAAGCAAGTTGCCGCACGTCTTATTCATAAGCTCTAGAAAATTTGCTTTTAAGACGGTAGATCAGGCAAAACTTAGTGTATACGTGTTCGTATGTGTGTTTGTCGTAAAGTGACAGGTGCGATGTGTTCGTACAGAAACAAATTGTATCGTTACAGAACTGAACGTGCACCAGTACCTGCTGGGCTACTGTCGTGTGTCAGATTCCAGAGAGAAAGTCTACAGGTCAGCTTTTAACAAAACTAAACAGAGAGGGAGCGATGTGCTGCCTTTGTCTGTAAGTCTCAACTGGACTCCGTCAATGACGTCACACTACTTGCCGCTATTTACATCCCCCTCTCCCTCCTCATGTTTACACATGGTCAAAAAGACACGCTGTCACCCTGAATTAAAATAGAATTGTTTCCTCTCCCTAAATTGGTGTGTGCTCTGGAGATTGTTTCAGTTGTTTCCCTTTACAAATGAACCCAATATGTGCCGAAATAATGTTCACCTGTTTGCTAGCTGGGCTAATGTAGCCTAAAACATCACTAGTAATTTTGTTTACCTAATGTAGCCTAAAACATCACTAATAATTTTGTTTACCTAATGTAGCCTAAAACATCACTAGTAATTTTGTTTACCTAATGTAGCCTAAAACATCACTAATAATTTTGTTTACCTAATGTAGCCTAAAACATCACTAGTAACTTTGTTTACCTAATGTAGCCTAAAACATCACTAGTAATTTTGTTTACCTGATGTAGCCTAAAACATCACTAGTAATTTTGTTTACCTAATGTAGCCTAAAACATCACTAATAATTTTGTTTACCTAATGTAGCCTAAAACATCACTAGTAACTTTGTTTACCTGATGTAGCCTAAAACATCACTAGTAACTTTGTTTACCTGATGTAGCCTAAAACATCACTAGTAATTTTGTTTACCTGATGTAGCTTAAAACATTACTAGTAACTTTGTTTACCTGATGTAGCCTAAAACATCACTAGTAATTTTGTTTACCTAATGTAGCCTAAAACATCACTAGTAATTTTGTTTACCTAATGTAGCCTAAAACATCACTAGTAACTTTGTTTACCTGATGTAGCCTAAAACATCACTAGTAACTTTGTTTACCTGATGTAGCCTAAAACATCACTAGTAATTTTGTTTACCTGATGTAGCTTAAAACATTACTAGTAACTTTGTTTACCTGATGTAGCCTAAAACATCACTAGTAATTTTGTTTAACTAAAGTAGCCCAAAACATCACTAGTAATTTTGTTTACCTGATGTAGCCTAAAACATCACTAGTAATTTTGTTTACCTGATGTAGCCTAAAACATCACTAGTAATTTTGTTTACCTGATGTAGCCTAAAACATCACCAGTAATTTTGTTTACCTGATGTAGCCTAAAACATCACTAGTAACTTTGTTTACCTGATGTAGCCTAAAACATCACTAGTAACTTTGTTTACCAGATGTAGCCTAAAACATCACTAGTAACTTTGTTTACCTGATGTAGCCTAAAACATCACTAATAATTTTGTTTACCTGATGTAGCCTAAAACATTACTAGTAATTTTGTTTACCTGATGTAGCCTAAAACATCACTAGTAACTTTGTTTACCAGATGTAGCCTAAAACATCACTAGTAACTTTGTTTACCTGATGTAGCCTAAAACATCACTAATAATTTTGTTTACCTGATGTAGCCTAAAATATCACTGGTAACTTTGTTTACCTGATATAGCCTAAAATATCACTGGTAACTTTGTTTACCTGATGTAGCCTAAAACATCACTAGTAATTTTGTTTACCTGATGTAGCCTAAAACATCACTAATAATTTTGTTTACCTGATGTAGCCTAAAACATCACTAATAATTTTGTTTACCTGATGTAGCCTAAAACATCACTAATAATTTTGTTTACCTGATATAGCCTAAAATATCACTGGTAACTTTGTTTACCTAATGTAGCCTAAAACATTACTAGTAATTTTGTTTACCTGATGTAGCCTAAAATATCACTGGTAACTTTGTTTACCTGATGTAGCCTAAAACATCACTAGTAATTTTGTTTACCTGATATAGCCTAAAATATCACTGGTAACTTTGTTTACCTGATGTAGCCTAAAACATCACTAATAATTTTGTTTACCTGATATAGCCTAAAATATCACTGGTAACTTTGTTTACCTAATGTAGCCTAAAACATTACTAGTAATTTTGTTTACCTGATGTAGCCTAAAATATCACTGGTAACTTTGTTTACCTGATGTAGCCTAAAACATCACTAATAATTTTGTTTACCTGATATAGCCTAAAATATCACTGGTAACTTTGTTTACCTAATGTAGCCTAAAACATTACTAGTAATTTTGTTTACCTGATGTAGCCTAAAATATCACTGGTAACTTTGTTTACCTGATATAGCCTAAAATATCACTGGTAACTTTGTTTACCTGATGTAGCCTAAAACATCACTAGTAATTTTGTTTACCTGATGTAGCCTAAAACATCACTAGTAATTTTGTTTACCTGAACACTTACAACACAGCCAGATGAACAATAGGTTCATCGATCTTTTGTTTGCGTGGTTTATTTTTTTACACTTCACAAACACATCTGTAAAACTACAAAAACAGCTCCAGTTCAGTAGAAAAAAAAAATAAAACTATTATATTACATACAAAAATGTAACTAAACCTAACAGATTGACATTGGTACGTGTTACCCGGTGTGACAATCTCTATTACAATCTTGCTGTGACGGGTTGTGACAATCTCTATTACAATCTTGCTGTGACGGGTTGTGACAATCTCTATTACAATCTTGCTGTGACGGGTTGTGACAATCTCTATTATAATCTTGCTGTGACGGGTTTTGACAATCTCTATTACAATCTTGCTGTGACGGGTTGTGACAATCTCTATTATAATCTTGCTGTGACGGGTTTTGACAATCTCTATTACAATCTTGCTGTGACGCGGTGTGACAATCTCTATTACAATCTTGCTGTGACGGGTTGTGACAATCTCTACTACAATCTTGCTGTGACGGGTTGTGACAATCTCTATTACAATCTTGCTGTGACGGGTTGTGACAATCTCTATTACAATCTTGCTGTGACGGGTTGTGACAATCTCTATTACAATCTTGCTGTGACGGGTTGTGACACGAGGGGCGGGTAAGTTTGACGAGATCATTGCTGTTGACAATGATAAAAACGTTGGGTTGCTGTTTTTTTTTTATTTTTTTAGATTTTGCCATCAAAGCTGTAGTAAAGAGAAAAAAATAATAATTTTGAAATTTGTTTCTTCAAGCTTTGTTATAAAAGTTGTAAATCCAGAAGACTCGATTTGTTTTTAGCTTAATGCTACATTTGTATTTATTTACATCAAGCCTAAGTTATAACCTGAAGTTTCACATGATTGGCTTTACAGGAAATCCGCGATCGATAATCTGAAAACCCCATTCAAAACTTTGCCGATACAATTTTTATTTTTAATCCACCATATTTATTTGAATAACATTTGGCTAGATTTTTAAAACATTGTACACTCCATTTCCTGACAATTCGTGGCTGCGTCAATTGTCTGTCTTACTAAACCTACGCTATGATACTATGTACAAGATAAGAGCCTTTGATACATTTATATTTCCCAGGCTTTTGAAACAGCTCTCTCTATTGTTTTGGTCACACCAATAAACAAATCCGATCTTGCCAAGTTCTGTCGAGCCCTGGACATCAACGAGAGTACCAGGATGGACCTGCCGCTCTTTCTCGTCATTTGTGCCTTTGCTGAGCGCGTGTTTTACCTGAGCTTAATGTACGTTGTTGTACAAATGTAGCTAATGTTTCCTGTTTATGTGCTTCTTTTGTTTTTATCTGCCGTTATGTTTACATGTTTGTTTTGTTTTTATCTGCCGTTATGTTTACATGTTTGTTTTGTTTTTATCTGCCGTTATGTTTCCTGTTGACATATGTTTAATTTTATCTGCCGTAATGTTTCCTGTTGACATGTTTGTTTTTATCTGCCGTTATGTTTCCGTGATTTTCTCTACTATAACACCATTTTTCACGATATTTCAGCCTAATCTTACACTTGAACTAATTAGCGTGGCTTTATTAACTAATACTTAACTAATTACAACCCTTTGTGTCCAGACAAAGCTCGCATGGAGTGTATGAAACAAAAGGCCGACTAGAGCGCCTAGACTTCAGCAATGTTGAAACAAAGCTACAGGACTTAACTATGGATAAATCGTTAGTTAGACTTTTAATATCAGTATAAAGTCAGACTTCATTTTCTAGGGGGATTTAATTTTGTATCAATTTATAATAGATTATTTAAAAAACATCAAATTATTGAAATTTTCTAGAGGAATTAATTTTGTATCATTTTATAATAGATTATTTGAAAAACATCAACTTATTGCAAATATCTTGTCGAATCTAGCCAGTGGTCTTCACTTATTTTTCACACTCTTTCATATTGAAGAAATATCGTAACAAATAGAATAAACAAAATAAGAAGCCGTTTGATTGTTTTTATTAATACTCTACAATTAAAAAAGTACAATAAATTAAAAAAAATATATCTTTATATATATATATATATATATATATATATATATATATATATATATATATATATATATATATATATATATATATATATATATATATATATATATATATATATATCTTTATATATATCTTTATATATATCTTTATATATATCTTTATATATATATATATATATATATATATATATATATATATATATATATATATATATACATATATACGTGTCCGTGTGTCTGTCTGTCTGTCTGTCTGTGTGTTTTTGTATAAAAAGTTATAAATTTCAGTTATGCCGGTTTCTGCATTTTAAATAGATGATTTCTTAATTTAAAAATAATGTGTTCGTGGTTCAAGGTACTAAAATGTTGTTCAACTACAAATGAACATTCCTTCAACTCGGTGTTGAATGTTGTTCAATTAAAAATGAACATTCCTTCAACTCGGTGTTGAATGTTGTTCAACTAAAAATGAACATTCCATCAACTCTGTGTTGAATGTTGTTCAACTAAAAATGAACATTCCTTCAGCTGCAATCGAAATATTCTCCGGTCAGTATTTTCTAGAACTGTCTTCATGTGTGTTACAGTCACGCGACATGAAGTCTACGTCATGACAAGTGGGAAATTAATGAGGTCATTTCAAACCGTTTCACAACGTACAGTAGGGCCCGGACCGCATGCCATAAAATGGACTTTCTAAATTTAGACTCATTTTACATTACTAGAAGGATAAACAACAACAAGCTAATTGACTATATTCTCTGAAATACATTTACACATACATATGCGTGGGAATATATATATATATATATATATATATATATATATATATATATATATATATATATATATATATATATATATATATATAGGCCCTATATATATATATATTATTTACATATAAATGAAATACAAATGTTCAAATTTCTATTTAATAACACACATCTTAGTCAACATTAACACATTTTAACCTAAAAGCTTAACTTTCGGATATTTCAATCAGAATTATTCTACACAATGTCTCTAAATATCAATAAACAGAAAATAAAATACTCTTTACATAAAATTCAGCCTAGCCATAACATTTTAATAAACATAACAAATCATTCCGAATTAATCTTATCCTGACATTAAACATTACCTCTAAGCTGACACTGCCATAGAAAATAATTAAGAGACAGTGCTTTTGGGATTTCAAATGAAAAGAATGTAGAATTTTTTTTATCTATTTATATATTTTATAAAATACAATGAGTAAAATGTCGGCTTGCATAAATGTAAAACTCGCTTCTACACAAAAACAAACAAAAAACAAAACAAACATGAAAATATCATCGAATTGCGTGAGAACCTGCAATTCCCCCTTGTCCTCACAGTCCTCCCACAGTCCTCCCACAGTCCTCCCACAGTCCTCCCAGAGTCCTCCCACAGTCCTCACAGTCCTCACAGTCCTCCCACAGTCCCCAGAGTCGTCCCACAGTCCTCACAGTCTTCACAGTCCTCCCACAGTCCTCCCAGTCCTCCCACAGTCCTCCCACAGTCCTCCCACAGTCCTCCCACAGTCCTCCCACAGTCCTCCCACAGTCCTCACAGTCCTCCCACAGTCCTCAGAGTCCTCCCACAGTCCTCCCACAGTCCTCCCACAGTCCTCCCAGTCCTCCCACAGTCCTCCCAGTCCTCCCACAGTCCTCACAGTCCTCCCACAGTCCTCAGAGTCCTCCCACAGTCCTCCCACAGTCCTCAGAGTCCTCCCACAGTCCTCCCACAGTCCTCCCACAGTCCTCCCACAGTCCTCCCACAGTCCTCACTGTCCTCCCACAGTCCTCCCACAGTCCTCCCACAGTCCTCCCACAGTCCTCTCGCAGTCCTCCCACAGTCCTCACAGTCCTCCCAGTCCTCCCACAGTCCTCAGAGTCCTCCCACAGTCCCCACAGTCCTCCCACAGTCCTCCCACAGTCCCCAGAGTCCTCCCACAGTCCTCAGAGTCCTCCCACAGTCCTCCCACAGTCCCCAGAGTCGTCCCACAGTCCTCACAGTCTTCACAGTCCTCCCACAGTCCTCCCAGTCCTCCCACAGTCCTCCCACAGTCCTCCCACAGTCCTCCCACAGTCCTCACAGTCCTCCCACAGTCCTCAGAGTCCTCCCACAGTCCTCCCACAGTCCTCCCACAGTCCTCCCAGTCCTCCCACAGTCCTCCCAGTCCTCCCACAGTCCTCACAGTCCTCCCACAGTCCTCAGAGTCCTCCCACAGTCCTCCCACAGTCCTCAGAGTCCTCCCACAGTCCTCACTGTCCTCCCACAGTCCTCCCACAGTCCTCCCACAGTCCTCAGAGTCCTCCCACAGTCCTCCCACAGTCCTCCCACAGTCCTCCCAGTCCTCCCACAGTCCTCAGAGTCCTCCCACAGTCCTCCCACAGTCCCCAGAGTCGTCCCACAGTCCTCACAGTCTTCACAGTCCTCCCACAGTCCTCCCAGTCCTCCCACAGTCCTCCCACAGTCCTCCCACAGTCCTCCCACAGTCCTCACAGTCCTCCCACAGTCCTCAGAGTCCTCCCACAGTCCTCCCACAGTCCTCCCACAGTCCTCCCAGTCCTCCCACAGTCCTCCCAGTCCTCCCACAGTCCTCACAGTCCTCCCACAGTCCTCAGAGTCCTCCCACAGTCCTCCCACAGTCCTCAGAGTCCTCCCACAGTCCTCCCACAGTCCTCCCACAGTCCTCCCAGTCCTCCCACAGTCCTCCCACAGTCCTCCCACAGTCCTCCCACAGTCCTCATTAGAGCCTACCTCGAAATTTCGATTCACTTCTTTCAACAACAAAAAAGTAAATTAAATCCTAAATTTTAAAAAAGAATATCTGATAGCTTAGGTTGCAATTTTAACTTCAGCAACAGTTGGTCGTTTTTATGCCTTAAACACTTAAAAACTCTTTCGAATATGATCTAGTCTTGTAAATAGCAAAAAATGCTAAATTGTTCTGATGTTCTAAAACCAGTCTTAAATTTGGACTTATCAAGTAAACGAACTTATAAAAGAGTACTGTTATAGACAAGCACTTGCATTAAAACAAAGCGAATATCAACCATGACCCCTGTCATAAATCCATCTTTCTAAGCATCACCTGTCCACTCCGTGTTTTCTGACGTAAACAACTCTACGTCTGACAGATCGTGTCGTCTAGTACGCAGCAGGAAGAGGATATTTTTGTAACTCGTTACCATAACAACATGGACTGCGCATGACAACTTTCACAAGATATATTCTTGCCCAAAATTAATTCAGCTCTACAGGGGACTTAAGCTAGGATATTATAGTCATCAAAGTGAACCCATTAAAATGAAGCTCCATTTAATTTCAGTGATTCTGATCGTCTTGTTCTGTGTTGTAGTTTACTCTCAGTCTTCAAGAACGGTGAGTTCAGCAGGTGAATGTCGATCTGATAGTTCAAACACCCATATATAGAACTTTGATTAAAACAATAGAACTGATCAAAAGACGCAGACATTAAACTGTGATAGGCTTGCTGTAACGCCTGAGACCAAGAGGACGAGTTAAAAGTACCGAACACATCGCTGGTTTCATCTTTTGTTGTGACCCACACCAGGTGTTGAACATTTTGTAATGTGGATCACCAGTTGATAAAACTAAGTTTTGTCATGAAATTCTAGTTACAATAATTATATCTCAAAGGTTTTCCAAGCTTTTTAAAAGTTAACTTTCAAATAATAATTTAATTTCTAAATTTTGGCTAAGATTTTTTTTTATTAAGTTCAAACTCCAGTTTATCATTTAAGTTTACTAAAAATAAGTCTATATTTTCTATTAACGTATATGAATGTATTGATTAGTTTGCTAATTTTGTTTGCGACACCTAATTAACACAATAATATGTTAGCGTGTTAGGAAATTAGAGGTTAACCGTAATGGTGTACACAAAACATGTGAACTTAAGACACCCCCCCTCCCCATTGCCCCTTGTCCACACGCGAGCGCGTTCGTCAAAAAACCCTCACCCCCACAATATAAAATTGTCATTTTGAACTTATATGTGATGTATTATGTATGTATAGCTGCAAATGTGGCCATGAACACAGGGATATATGCTCATCATAAATGTCTTTTATTAAATGTCGGATTTAATGGTAGAATCTTGCAGGGATATATGCTCATCATAAATGTCTTTTGTTAAATGTCGGATTTAATGGTAGAATCTTGAGTGCCTTGAGAAAATTAAATAAAATTTTCATTAAGTAGCACTAGTCTGTAGGCCTAGAATGAGTGTTTGTTTTAATTTTTTAGGATTTTTACAAGCTTTTATTAGGTTAAGTCTGTTCGTTTGTTTGTCGGTTTGTGACAAATCTTGTAACTCAATTTTGACACACTTCAAATGCAGCGATTTCGTTCAAACTTTACAGATACGTTCCACTTTGATGGCAATACAAGTCTGTTTTTATAATATCATTAGATGTTTAATTAGTCATTAAAAAATATATTAAACTGTTTCGAAACTAAGAATGACCCCCTTCGTGTACGCCATAAATGGATGACCCCTTAAGTGAACGTATGTTCCAACAGAAAAATGAATTTGATGATTGTGCATTATAGTGGATGAGTTTACTGATTGTTTTATTTAAACTTGATAATTAATTGTTTTGTTTTTCTTTTTTTCTGATTGCAGAATTCCGGTGGTAAAGGTCATGGTGGAGAAAGGGGTCGTGGTGGAGAAAGGGGTCAAGGTGGAGAAAGGGGTCGTGGTGGAGAAAGGGGTCAAGGTGGAGATAGGGGTCGTGGTGGAGAAAGGGGTCAAGGTGGAGAAAGGGGTCGTGGTGGAGAAAGGGGTCAAGGTGGAGAAAGGGGTCGTGGTGGAGAAAGGGGTCGGGGTGGAGACGGGGGTCGAGGTAGAGGAAGCGGGAATGTCGGTGGCTTAGGTCATGAAAACGGTCCAAGAAGCAGACGTGAAGTGGGACATGAGAAGACCAGCAGACGACACAGCCGGGTCAACGCCACGAACTACGTCTGGACTCGCCACGCTCAGGACGTCAGCTTTAGAGAAGCTGCAGCAATCTTAACGTGAGTAGCACTAGCAATCTTAACGTGAGTGGCACGCTAGTTCTAGCTGCAGCAATCTTAACGTGAGTAGCACTAGCCATCTTAACGTGAGTGGCACGCTAGTTCTAGCTGCAGCAATCTTAACGTGAGTAGCACTAGCCATCTTAACGTGAGTGGCACGCTAGTTCTAGCTGCAGCAATCTTAACGTGAGTAGCACTAGCCATCTTAACGTGAGTGGCACGCTAGTTCTAGCTGCAGCAATCTTAACGTGAGTAGCACTAGTCATCTTAACGTGAGTGGCACGCTAGTTCTAGCTGCAGCAATCTTAACGTGAGTAGCACGCTAGTTCTAGCTGCAGCAATCTTAACGTGAGTAGCACGCTAGTTCTAGCTGCAGCAATCTTAACGTGAGTAGCACGCTAGTTCTAGCTGCAGCAATCTTAACGTGAGTAGCACTAGCAATCTTAACGTGAGTGACACGCTAGTTCTAACACTAGCCATAATAATGCTACAAAACAGTTGAAGCATTAAAAACACATCCGTAAATAAAAGATGTACATTGATCGAGGGGGGGGGGTGGGATGGTGAAATCTACACGAGCTCATGGAAATGTCATTATATTAGCAGTGTAGATTTTTCTTAAACAAACGGGCTGATCAGTGTTTCTTCCAGACTTTTTTCTCCGGGGTGAGGCACTTGATATTTTCGGGGGGGGGGGGGGGGGAATATATTTTCTATATAAATTTCCATTTCGTTCTGGGGGGGGGGGGGGTAAACTTTCTTTGGGGGCTCCCCCCCCCCCCCCTGAAGTGATTCCTGGAAGAAACACTGGAGCTGATCAACCTTCTTTGCTAGCCCGTGGAACTACAAGCTAACAACCATGAACGGCATGAGCGAAGTAAAGAAAGTCTGAACATGTACTAAGTAACTCCATCTAAATATAGCTTGTTCATCTGACAGCTTTGATTAAGTACCTGCCCTCTATTTGTGCTACATGACATACGCCTCTTTTTTTTTCCTCCACGAGAATTGTATTCTAAATAAAGTGGGAGTGATCTCCCCTAAACTCTTTCATGTATTCTCATTTAACAGGGGGAGGGGCACTTCCAGCGTAATCGGGTTAAAAAAATGCGTTTACTCTCTCGTATACCGAGCTAACCATGCAGAAAAATTAAATGAAATTTTAATAGTTTTCGCCGTTGTACACCTCCTCACTTTATCGTATAGGGAATATAAATGACGCATAGTAAGCGTGCAAAACTCTAAATCGATAGATATATTGACAAAATGACGCATAGTAAGCGTGCAAAACTCTAAATCGATAGATATATTGACAAAATGACGCATATTAAGCGTGCAAAACTCTAAATCGATAGATATATTGACAAAATGACGCATAGTAAGCGTGCAAAACTCTAAATCGATAGATATATTGACAAAATTTGACGTTTTATAACCTTCCGGAGCCGGAATAAATTAGTTTTCCCATCTTGTCCGTTTGTGCGTGTGTCTGTAAACACGATAACTTGAGTACCGCTTCATATATAAGTATACTAATTTGTAGTTTTCTACAATCTCTCGAACGATTTCCAGATCACGTCTTATACCTCCGATCTTAAATTAAAAATTAAATTAAAATATATGTACTAGATTGTCCCTGTCTCTCATAAGCTAATAACTTGAGAACCATTCATTAAACCTGCACCCCCCCCCCAAATTTGTCTTTATATATTTTGCTATTTTTTGCCTTGGTGTCACCCCCTAAATGGTGTCACCCGATGCGGTTCGCACCCCCCGCCCCCCCCCCCCCCCCCTCGCTACGCCTCTGCTAGATTGTGCCTGTCTCTCCTAAGCTGATAACTTGAAAACCATTCATTAAACCTGGGTAGACAAATCGAAAATGTATGTACTAGATTGTCCCTGTCTCTCATAAGTGATCTCCCCTAAACTTTTTCGAATATTCTGATATAAAACAACAGGGGATGGGAACTCAGGATATAGTTATGATTTTTAATCCATTTTAAATACTTAAAATTTTTAAAATAGAAGAGAATCTCATAGAAAAAAGAATTGCGCACCAAGCGAACGCCGAATAAAGATGTGTATAAAAGTGCGGAATATTATTAGTACTTTATAAATTCACATGCGTTTTTTGAGAAATCGGAAAGAGTGATAATTATTACTTCCGGTCAACCGAAATTACTCAAAATTTGACAGAAGGTAGAGAATGAGATATTTTACTTACGTGTGAAATTTCATTTATCTATCTGAAATAGTACTCAAGTTATAGGCTTTTGAAAAATTCAAACTAGAAAAAGTACCACTTCCGGTTATCGGAAATCGCTCAAAATTTGATACGGATCTACGATTTTGATAAAAATACTTATATATAAAATTTCATCAACCTAGCTGTAACAGTACTCAAGTTATCGTGTTTACAACACAGACAGACAGACAGACAAACAGACACACACACACACACACAAATTATGTTTTTCCGTATCAGTGAGGTGTAAAACGTCGAGATTTTTTAAAATCTCGATTTTTTTTTGCACGATTACAAGACTTTCTCTATACTTCGTATATACGAGACTAGCCGTCCCGGCCAGGCCCTGCTCTGGCTTCTGTGAAAAACCTTTCTGTTAAAGACCATTACCTGTGTGTTTAGTAATCATCATAAACCCGGCATTGCGCACCCAAACCACAACCAACCAAAACAACAAAACGCAAACATAACGCTAACACAATTACAAATACAAACAAAAACAAAAACCTAACAACAAACCCAACCACACACACCAATACCAACACAAAAAAAAACAACGAAAAAGCAAACGAAAACAAACCAAATCCAAACGCAAAACCAACCAAAAACACAAATACAAACCCAAACAAAAAAACACAAACAAAAACGAAAAAAGAAAGAACAAAAACGAACCAAATCAAAACGCAACCACTAACGCAAACCCACCTAAACACAAAGAAAACACTAACGCGAACATAAACGCCCGGGGCGGAATCACCTGTTTTAGCTTAATGAACGACTATAGTACCCCAACTTATTCATAGTCTTTTGCACTCACTTAAACGAACGCGCCTGTTTCAATTTAATGAACAATTTTAATACTCCAAGCTTATCCGTAAAATACCTACAACATTTGCACTTGATCAATCCCCGCTGATTATGTAATTATTATTTTTTTCCCAACACCAAAACAAAGTAATTAAAAAGTAAATTATTTTCCACAAAAAGCAATGGTTTTATAAAGGGAAGTAATTTTGTTTTCCTAATTTATCAAAGGGAAGTAAGTGCTATAGGACTAAATAAAGACATAATTAGAATTTTTGTAAAAGATGATATTTTTTTTAAAACTTGTGTTTAATGAACATGCCGACAATTATTACTATAATTTGAAAAATGAAAAGTATTTCCCAACACTTTCAATAGTAATTTTTTAGTTCATAAATTTAGACAAGTGCGCACGATAATTTTCTAACACTTAAATTCATACAATTCCAACGACAAACATATGCATTACATACAGAACTGAGCTTTATATATTAGATTTGTAAAAATTTCAAAAAGTTTTTGAACACGAATACAATACTTTCTCTATACTCTGTATTAAAGAGAGTAAAAAGTAAGCCATTGTTCACTAATTTCTAAAAGCTAGAACTAGATTATTTATACTAGATTTATACTACATTTATACTTGATTATTTATACTAGATTTATACAAGATAATTTATACTTAATTTCTTGTAATTTACTTCCAGGAACCAAAACATAGTCATAGTGACGTCAAATGATCAAATATTAAACACAATCAACATAACAAGGGCATCAACTCTATATGACCTCACGAACAATGGCACAGCAGTAAGTGTTAGTTGTCCTTTTGGCAGCAGCTAGTGGTGACCCGACGACATTAAGTTTTGATCTGACGACATTAAGTTTTGATCTGACGACATTAAGTTTTGATCTGACGACATTAAGTTTTGATCTGACGACATTAAGTTTTGATCTGACGACATTAAGTTTTGATCTGACGTCATTAAGTTTTGATCTGACGACATTAAGTTTTGATCTGACGACATTAAGTTTTGATCTGACGACATTAAGTTTTGGCCTGACGACATTAAGTTTTGATCTGACGACATTAAGTTTTGGCCTGGCGACATTAAGTTTTGGCCTGGCGACATTAAGTTTTGATCTGACGACATTAAGTTTTGATCTGGCGACATTAAGTTTTGATCTGACGACATTAAGTTTTGATCTGACGACATTAAGTTTTGATCTGACGACATTAAGTTTTGATCTGACGACATTAAGTTTTGATCTGACGACATTAAGTTTTGGCCTGGCGACATTAAGTTTTGGCCTGGCGACATTAAGTTTTGGCCTGGCGACATTAAGTTTTGATCTGACGACATTAAGTTTTGATCTGACGACATTAAGTTTTGATCTGACGACATTAAGTTTTGGCCTGGCGACATTAAGTTTTAATCTGACGACATTAAGTTTTGATCTGACGACATTAAGTTTTGGCCTGACGATAATATCACCGCACCGGGTGACACCAGTAGAGGAGGGGTGACACTTTGGTGGCGGGGGGGGAGAGGGTGACACCATAAGGTGCAGCACCAGGTGACACCCGACCTAGCGACGCCACTGATTAGTACTAGTGGATGTCAGTAGGGGTTACTTGTCCTTCTGACAAATGTGTAGCTTGTCCTCTGTTTGTTGTCACCACCCTCTCATTTATAAAGTGTAGAATCCAATATTTGAGTACTGACGCCATGTCTCTGTCTTACAGCTTGTAGAATCCAATATTTGAGTACTGACACCGTGTCTCTGTCTTACAGCTTGTAGAATCCAATATTTGAGTACTGACACCATGTCTCTGTCTTACAGCTTGTAGAATCCAATATTTGAGTACTGACGCCATGTCTCTGTCTTACAGCTTGTAGAATCCAATATTTGAGTACTGGCGCCATGTCTCTGTCTTACAGCTTGTAGAATCCAATATTTGAGTACTGACACCATGTCTCTGTCTTACAGCTTGTAGAATCCAATATTTGAGTACTGACACCATGTCTCTGTCTTACAGCTTGTAGAATCCAATATTTGAGTACTGAAACCATGTCTCTGTCTTACAGCTTGTAGAATCCAATATTTGAGTACTGACACCATGTCTCTGTCTTACAGCTTGTAGAATCCAATATTTGAGTACTGACACCGTGTCTCTGTCTTACAGCTTGTAGAATCCAATATTTGAGTACTGACACCATGTCTCTGTCTTACAGCTTGTAGAATCCAATATTTGAGTACTGACACCATGTCTCTGTCTTACAGCTTGTAGAATCCAATATTTGAGTACTGACACCATGTCTCTGTCTTACAGCTTGTAGAATCCAATATTTGAGTACTGACACCATGTCTCTGTCTTACAGCTTGTAGAATCCAATATTTGAGTACTGACACCATGTCTCTGTCTTACAGCTTGTAGAATCCAATATTTGAGTACTGACACCATGTCTCTGTCTTACAGCTTGTAGAATCCAATATTTGAGTACTGACAACAAGTCTCTGTCTTACAGCTTGTAGAATCCAATATTTGAGGACTGACACCATGTCTTTGTGTTACAGCTTGTAGAATCCAATATTTGAGTACTGACACCATGTCTCTGTCTTACAGCTTGTAGAATCCAATATTTGAGTACTGACACCATGTCTCTGTCTTACAGCTTGTAGAATCCAATATTTGAGTACTGAAACCATGTCTCTGTCTTACAGCTTGTAGAATCCAATATTTGAGTACTGACACCATGTCTCTGTCTTACAGCTTGTAGAATCCAATATTTGAGTACTGACGCCATGTCTCTGTCTTACAGCTTGTAGAATCCAATATTTGAGTACTGACACCATGTCTCTGTCTTACAGCTTGTAGAATCCAATATTTGAGTACTGACGCCATGTCTCTGTCTTACAGCTTGTAGAATCCAATATTTGAGTACTGACACCATGTCTCTGTCTTACAGCTTGTAGAATCCAATATTTGAGTACTGACAACAAGTCTCTGTCTTACAGCTTGTAGAATCCAATATTTGAGTACTGACAACAAGTCTCTGTCTTACAGCTTGTAGAATCCAATATTTGAGTACTGACACCATGTCTCTGTCTTTCAGCTTGTAGAATCCAATATTTGAGTAATGACACCATGTCTGTGTCTTACAGCTTGTGGAATTCAATATTTGAGTACTGACACCATGTCTCTGTCTTACAGCTTGTAGAATCCAATATTTGAGTAATGACACCATGTCTCTGTCTTACAGCTTGTAGAATCCAATATTTGAGTAATGACACCATGTCTGTGTCTTACAGCTTGTGGAATTCAATATTTGAGTACTGACACCATGTCTCTGTCTTACAGCTTGTAGAATCCAATATTTGAGTACTGACACCATGTCTCTGTCTTACAGCTTGTAGAATCCAATATTTGAGTACTGACACCATGTCTCTGTCTTACAGCTTGTAGAATCCAATATTTGAGTACTGACACCATGTCTCTGTCTTACAGCTTGTAGAATCCAATATTTGAGTACTGACACCATGTCTCTGTCTTACAGCTTGTAGAATCCAATATTTGAGTACTGACACCATGTCTCTGTCTTACAGCTTGTAGAATCCAATATTTGAGTACTGACACCGTGTCTCTGTCTTTCAGCTGATGCTCATCAAGCCGAGGCTGCGAATCTATCCTTGCTTTATTTCAAACACCAGTGTCAATTTGGATGATATTAGAACGGAACTAGAAGCCAGAAATGTGAGTGTGTTGAAACGAGATATGTCTGTGTAGTTGTGAGACGGTAGTTTTGTCTGTGTAGTGGTGTCTGTGTAGTGGTGTCTGTGTTGTGGTGTCTGTGTAGTGGTGTCTGTGTAGTGGTGTCTTTGTAGTGGTGTCTCTGTAGTGGTGTCTGTGTAAATGTGTCTGTGTAGTGGTGTCTGTGTAGTGGTGTCTGTGTAGTGGTGTCTGTGTAGTGGTGTCTGTATAGTGGTGTCTGTGTAGTGGTGTCTGTGTAGTGGTGTCTGTGTAGTGGTGTCTGTGTAGTGGTGTCTGTGTAGTGGTGTCTGTGTAGTGGTGTCTGTGTAGTGTTGTCTGTGTAGTGGTGTCTGTGTAGTGGTGTCTGTGTAGTGGTGTCTGTGTAATTGTGTCTGTGTAGTGGTGTCAGTGTAGTGGTGTCTGTGTAGTGGTGTCTGTGTAGTGGTGTCTGTGTAGTGGTGTCTGTGTAGTGGTGTCTGTGTAATTGTGTCTGTGTAGTGGTGTCTGTGTAGTGGTGTCTGTGTAATTGTGTCTGTGTGGTGGTGTCTGTGTAGTGGTGTCTGTGTAGTGGTGTCTGTGTAGTGGTGTCTGTGTAGTGGTGTCTGTGTAGTGGTGTCTGTGTAGTGGTGTATGTGTAATTGTGTCTGTGTAGTGGTGTCTGTGTAGTGGTGTCTGTGTAGTGGTGTCTGTGTAGTGGTGTCTGTGTAATTGTGTCTGTGTGGTGGTGTCTGTGTAGTGGTGTCTGTGTAGTGGTGTCTGTGTAGTGGTGTCTGTGTAATTGTGTCTGTGTAGTGGTGTCTGTGTAGTGGTGTCTGTGTAATTGTGTTTGTGTAGTTTTGTCTGTGTAGTGGTGTCTGTGTAATGGTGTCTGTGTAGTGGTGTCTGTGTAGTGGTGTCTGTGTAGTGGTGTCTGTGTAGGGGTATCTGTATAGTTGTGTCTGTGTTGTGTAGGTGTCTGTGTAGCTGTGTAACGTTGTATGTGTAATTGTACATTGACAATTGTCATAGAGATTGACAGTTGACATAGACATATTGAGACTGGTGACTATAGGCGTACACTGTTGCAGGGAACCAACGTGACACAGCACACCAGCCTGGCCCTGGATGCCACTAGCCCTCCCCTGACACTGGTGGAGAGGGAGGAAATGATGAACCAGTCTAGCGCCATACGCGCCCAGTGCAAGAGACGAGATCTCGTTCTCCTCAAGCCTCTTACTGGTGAGTCTTAGAAACTTGTTATTGGTGAGTCTTAGAAACTTGTTATTGGTGAGTCTTAGAAACTTGTTATTGGTGAGTCTTAGAAACTTGTTATTGGTGAGTCTTAGAAACGTGTTATTGGTGAGTCTTAGAAACTTGTTATTGGTGAGTCTTAGAAACTTGTTATTGGTGAGTCTTAGAAACTTGTTATTGGTGAGTCTTAGAAACGTGTTATTGGTGAGTCTTAGAAACGTGTTATTGGTGAGTCTTAGAAACTTGTTATTGGTGAGTCTTAGAAACGTGTTATTGGTGAGTCTTAGAAACTTGTTATTGGTGAGTCTTAGAAACGTGTTATTGGTGAGTCTTAGAAACGTGTTATTGGTGAGTCTTAGAAACTTGTTATTGGTGAGTCTTAGAAACTTGTTATTGGTGAGTCTTAGAAACTTGTTATTGGTGAGTCTTAGAAACTTGTTATTGGTGAGTCTTAGAAACTTGTTATTGGTGAGTCTTAGAAACTTGTTATTGGTGAATCTTATAAACTTGTTATTGGTGAATATTAGAAACTTGTTATTGGTGAGTCTTAGAAACTTGTTATTGGTGAGTCTTAAAAAATTTGTTATTGGTGAGTCTTAGAAACTTGTTATTGGTGAGTCTTAGAAACTTGTTATTGGTGAGTCTTTGAAACTTGTTATTGGTGAGTCTTAGAAACTTGTTATTGGTGAATCTTATAAACTTGTTATTGGTGAGTCTTAGAAACTTGTTATTGGTGAATATTAGAAACTTGTTATTAGTGAGTCTTAGAAACTTGTTATTGGTGAGTCTTAGAAACTTGTTATTGGTGAGTCTTAGAAACTTGTTATTGGTGAATATTAGAAACTTGTTATTGGTGAGTCTTAGAAACTTGTTATTGGTGAGTCTTAGAAACTTGTTATTGGTGAGTCTTAGAAACTTGTTATTGGTGAGTCTTAGAAACTTGTTATTGGTGAGTCTTAGAAACTTGTTATTGGTGAGTCTTAGAAACTTGTTATTGGTGAATATTAGAAACTTGTTATTGGTGAATCTTATAAACTTGTTATTGGTGAATATTAGAAACTTGTTATTGGTGAGTCTTAGAAACTTGTTATTGGTGAATCTTATAAACTTGTTATTGGTGAATCTTATAAACTTGTTATTGGTGAATCTTATAAACTTGTTATTGGTGAGTCTTAGAAACTTGTTATTGGTGAATATTAGAAACTTGTTATTGGTGAGTCTTAGAAACTTGCTATTGATGAGTCTTAGAAACTTGTTATTGGTGAGTCTTAGAAACTTGTTATTGGTGAGTCTTAGAAACTTGTTATTGGTGAGTCTTAGAAACTTGTTATTGGTGAATATTAGAAACTTGTTATTGGTGAGTCTTAGAAACTTGTTATTGGTGAATATTAGAAACTTGTTATTGGTGAGTCTTAGAAACTTGTTATTGGTGAATCTTATAAACTTGTTATTGGTGAGTCTCGTCTTAATAACTTGTTTTTGGTGAGTCTCTTCTTAGAAACTTGTTACTGGTGAATTTTAGAAACTTGTTACTAATGTGTCTCTTGTTAGAAACTCGTTATTGGTGAGTCTTAGAAACTTGTTATTGATGAGTCTTAGAAACTCGATACTGGGAGTTTCATATTTGTGAGTCTTAATTAGAAACTACTTTAGGCAATGAGACAATACAGCGCAACAATGGCCTTTCGTATTATTGTAGGCAATAAGACCATACAGTTGGATTAGCAGTGAGAGGTTCACAGATTATTGCATGCTCTGGGATGGGATTAGTCGCCTGGGTTAACCTGATATCTTTGTTTTACCAATTAGTCGCCTGGGTTAACCTGATATCTTTGTTTTTACCAATTAGTCGCCTGGGTTAACCTGATATCTTTGTTTTTACCAATTAGTCGCCTGGGTTAACCTGATATCTTTGTTTTTACCAATTAGTCGCCTGGGTTAACCTGATATCTTTGTTTTTACCAATTAGTCGCCTGGGTTAACCTGATATCTTTGTTTTTACCAATAAGTCGCCTGGGTTAACCTGATATCTTTGTTTTTACCAATAAGTCGCCTGGGTTAACCTGATATCTTTGTTTTTACCAATTAGTCGCCTGGGTTAACCTGATATCTTTGTTTTTACCAATAAGTCGCCTGGGTTAACCTGATATCTTTGTTTTTACCAATTGGTCGCCTGGGTTAACCTGATATCTTTGTTTTTACCAATTAGTCGTCTGGGTTAACCTGATATCTTTTTTTTTACCAATTAGTCGCCTGGGTTAACCTGATATCTTTGTTTTTATCAATAAGTCGCCTGGGTTAACCTGATATCTTTGTTTTTACCAATTAGTCGCCTGGGTTAACCTGATATCTTTGTTTTTACCAATTGGTCGCCTGGGTTAACCTGATATCTTTGTTTTTACCAATTAGTCGCCTGGGTTAACCTGATATCTTTGTTTTTATCAATTAGTCGCCTGGGTTAACCTGATATCTTTGTTTTTACCAATAAGTCGCCTGGGTTAACCTGATATCTTTGTTTTTACCAATAAGTCGCCTGTGTTAACCTGATATCTTTGTTTTTACCAATTAGTCGCCTGGGTTAACCTGATATCTTTGTTTTTACCAATTGGTCGCCTGGGTTAACCTGATATCTTTGTTTTTACCAATAAGTCGCCTGGGTTAACCTGATATCTTTGTTTTTACCAATTAGTCGCCTGGGTTAACCTGATATCTTTGTTTTTACCAATAAGTCGCCTGGGTTAACCTGATATCTTTGTTTTTACCAATTGGTCGCCTGGGTTAACCTGATATCTTTGTTTTTACCAATTAGTCGCCTGGGTTAACCTGATATCTTTGTTTTTATCAATTAGTCGCCTGGGTTAACCTGATATCTTTGTTTTTACCAATTAGTCGCCTGGGTTAACCTGATATCTTTGTTTTTACCAATAAGTCGCCTGTGTTAACCTGATATCTTTGTTTTTACCAATTAGTCGCCTGGGTTAACCTGATATCTTTGTTTTTACCAATTGGTCGCCTGGGTTAACCTGATATCTTTGTTTTTACCAATAAGTCGCCTGGGTTAACCTGATATCTTTGTTTTTACCAATTAGTCGCCTGGGTTAACCTGATATCTTTGTTTTTACCAATAAGTCGCCTGGGTTAACCTGATATCTTTGTTTTTACCAATTAGTCGCCTGGGTTAACCTGATATCTTTGTTTTTACCAATTGGTCGCCTGGGTTAACCTGATATCTTTGTTTTTACCAATTAGTCGCCTGGGTTAACCTGATATCTTTGTTTTTACCAGGAACGGCTCAAGTCCCCAGTAGCGCGGACGTAAAGGAAATCCGAGTCTTCACGTTGGAGGATGAGGCTATCATTACAATCCCTACAAAGTTCCGTAACTCTTTTTTTAAAAGAGGACCTCACAGTCATAATGGGCGTAGAACATCTAGGCGAAGTTAAATTATTCTCACAACTAGGAACATCTGATTAATCTATTCCCACAACTAAACCCATCAGATTGAAATATTCACACAACTAAGCCCAGATTAAACTATTCCAACAACTAAGTTCAGACAAAAGTATTCACACAACTCCAACAAAAACAACATTGGACACAAAAGTCGGCTATCCGATAGCTCCACTAAGTGGTCAGACAACAAACTCATTCAATGTCTCACGGAGAGAGAGCGGTCAAAAAAATGGGGAAACTTGAAGAATTTTTAACGTGGAATAAAGAACGTTCACTATTCTGATTCTGGCGTTTTGTCCAAATATATTCACTACAACTAAATGTTGGTGTTATTGTACTACTCTATGTCAATATTTCAACTCTATGTGTTTTGTGTATGTTTAAGCCATATTATGTGTGTTAAGTAATAACTATGTTGGTTGGCTAAAAATGTGATCATTGGTTACTCATTGCTTACTCATTGGTTACTCGGCTATAAACTAAGGACAAGTAAAAATTTGAACATTGGCAAAAGCAAATATAATTTATATAAACTAGATCTAATGAAGCTAGTACACAGAGATTCAAGCATAAAAGGCTATAGCGTGGATAAGATATTGTGTTATATATATATATATATATATATATATATATATATATATATATATATATATATATATATATTATACAAGTAATAATTATTTGTTTGAATATTTCTAGCCTTAATAAAACCGAAAGTCATTTTGTACTCTTTACTCAATGTTATAAAATATTCAATTTTGGTTGGAAAATGTGCTTTCTGGCAACAACCATTTGGAACCAGCTTTCCAAGCCTATTAAGATTACGATTACTTATGAATACTAAGTGTAACATAATTTTTTTTACTGATGTCAGTAACAAAATCTGTGTTAAAGTCAAAAAAAAAGAAAAACAAAAAGAAAAGAACAATTGTTTTAAAATGTGTTTCAACATAAACAATCCACCAAAAGAATAGAAAAAAATATATCTAAAAAAATAATTAAAATCAAAATCACAAACCCGAGGCAAATTGAATGGATCCGAACCCACATTCACCACTAATGTCGACATCTTTTAGAGCCACCTCTCATAGATGGCTGACCCCGGCTTTTTTCATTTACTTGATTCCTGTTTGTGAGATATATACTACAGTGAAGTAAAAAGCCGAACCACAAGTCTTGCATTGTTATAGTCGTTACTAACCTGTCGGGCAGGTAAGCTACAGGTGATGTCGGGCAGGGTAGCGACAGGTGATGTCGGGCAGGGTAGCAACAGGTGATGTCGGACAGGGTAGCATCAGTTGATGATGTCGGGCAGGGTAGCAACAGGTGATGATGTCGGGCAGGGTAGCAACAGGTGATGTCGGGCAGGGTAGCAACAGGTGATGATGTCGGGCAGGGTAGCAACAGGTGATGATGTCGGGCAGGGTAGCGACAGGTGATGTAGGGCAGGGTAGCAACAGGTGATGATGTCGGGCAGGGTAGCAACAGGTGATGTAGGGCAGGGTAGCGACAGGTGATGTAGGGCAGGGTAGCAACAGGTGATGATGTCGGGCAGGGTAGCAACAGGTGATGATGTCGGGCAGGGTAGCAACAGGTGATGATGTCGGGCATGGTAGCAACAGATGATGTCGGGCAGGGTAGCAACATTTGATGTCGGGCAGGGTAGCAACAGGAGATGATGTCGGGTAGGGTAGCAACAGTTGATGTGAATCCTTTAAAGATATCATATATATATATATATATATATATATATATATATATATATATATATATATATATATATATATATATATATATATATATATATATATATATACTAGCCGTCCCGGCCAGGCACCCGCATCTCTGAAAAACGTATCTGTAAAGGACCATAACTTGTGTGTTTAGTAATCAGCATTTACCCGGCATTGCCCACCCTAACCACAACCAACCAAAACACACAAAAAACGCAAACATAACACTAACACAAAACAAACACAAACGAAAACACAAAAACAAGCGCAAAGACAAACCCAACCACAAACACAAAGAAAACACAAACACTAACACTAATGCAAACAAAAAAGCAAACGAAAATAAATCCAAACGCAAACACAAACCCAACCACAACCAAACAAAACCAAAACATACTAAAAAAACAACGCAAACATAACATAAACACAATTACAAACACAAACGCAAACACAACCACAAACACAAAGAAAACACAAGCGCAAAGAAAAAAAGCAAACGAAAACAAACCCAAACCCAACCCGAATCCAAACGCAAACACAACCACAAACGCAAACCCAAACCCAAACTCAAACACAAAGAAAACACAAACGCAAATATAAACTCAAAGTGTCACAGTCTAGCCCGGGGCGCCAAATCGCACCATGACGACGTGCGGCGTAACCGCCTGATTCAACTTAGTAAACGACTATAGTACCCAACTTATTCATAGTCTTTTGAACTCACTTACGAGAACGTAGTTACCATAGCGAGCACGGGAAGGCGAGGGGCGCCAAATAGCACCCTGTCGGGGTGCCGGAGGACGCCCGGATTTGATTCACTTAAAGACTATAGTAACCTTTCTTATCCATAGTCTGTCGCACTGTTTAAAACGAAATTATGCACCATAGCGCTCACATGATAGCCCAGGGTGCCAAATAGAACCGTGCAGGGGCGCCGGCGGACGTGCCTGTTTCAATTTAGTGAACACAATTATAATACTCCAAGCTTATCCGTAAATGGAAAGAAATAAACATATAGGTTTGTAGGACCTGGCTTATTAACTGTTATTGATTTTAAAAAATAATTAGTAAACCTACATTCAGTGTATTGAATAAATAAAAGGCAGTATTAAAAATACCAACGACATTGCAATTAATCAATCCCCGCTAATTATGTAATTATTTTTTTTCCTAAAACCAAAACAAAGTAATATAAAGTAAATTCTTTCTCCCCGATTTAATGGGGTTTTTAAAGGGAAGTAACTGTGTTTTCCAAATCAAGGGACGTTATGAGTGCTAAAGGACAAAATGCAAATACATTTCAGTCACAATTAGAAATTTTATAAACGTTGATACACTTTTTTTTAAATTTTATGTAATGTTCGTAATTGAAAATTATTATTCTAAGTATGTAAAATGAAAATTGTTTTTAAAGACTTTCAATATTAATTGTTTAACTCATTAATTTAGACCATAATAATCTAACACTTAAATCCATGGAAGTATCGGTTTTTTTTTTTCGTTTTTTCCTACATCCCTTTGTAATCCTTCAAAATCCTTGATTACAAATATTTTCACACAGCAACCTTTTGAAAACTCAATGCGACCAGTACATAAATAAACACTCTTTCAACTAGTCCAGGGGTCGGCAACCTGCGGCTCGCGAACCGCATGCGGCTCTTTTGATATCAAGATGCGGCTCTCCAGCTCCTTGAACAAATACTAATAATCTTAATTAAAAAAAAATATTTGAAATTTTAAAAATGTTAGTGGCTCTTTAAAACCAGGGAAATTTTGAAAATTGTAACTTTTGGCTCTTCCGCTTCAAAAGGTTGCCGACCCCTGAACTAGTCAACTTAAGTTGTTTCCCTACATAGAAAATGCTTCACTGTCCCATTGACCCTCTCTGAAAAATTTCCTTTCCACTCCCCACCCAGACTTCTGACACTTTCATTTGACCTTCACCCCTTTTACTGTCATCCTTTCCAAAATTTTTTTATAATCATATACATGACATCATTTAAATATTCATCATGTATATTTGCAAAACCTTTCGTTTCCATTTGATGTTCAAAATTATGTAAAAAATGTGATGTTGATGTACTTGTTTTAATTGCAAATAAAAGTATTAAAAAACTTAATTTCTTTTTTTACAAACATACATACAGAATTGAACTTTATATTATATATATATATATATATATATATATATATATATATATATATATATATATATATATATATATATATATATATATACATATATACATATATACATATAAACGTATATATATATATATATATATATATATATATATATATATATATATATATATATATATATACTTTTTCTTTGGTGGGGAGGGGTGACATGAGTTAACGCACCGGGTGAGGTAGCGACAGCTGAAGATGTCGGCCAGGGTAGGGATAGGTGATGTGATCAGTTAAGCTATCTAAACAAAACCTCTCTAAACAAAACCTCGCTAGCAAAACATTTCTAAACAAAACCTCTCTAAACAAAACCTCTGTAAACAAAACCTTTCTAAACAAAAACTTTTCTAAACAAAACCTCTCTAAACAAAACCTCTCTAACAAAACATTTCTAAACAAAAACTTTTCTAAACAAAACCTCTTTAAACAAAACCTCTCTAAACTTAACCTCGCTAAATAAAACTTCTCTAAACAAAACCTTTCTAAACAAAAACTTTTCTAAACAAAACATTTCTAAACAAAACATCTCTAAACAAAACATCTCTAAACAAAACCTCTTTAAGCAAAACCTCTCTAAACTAAACCTCGCTAAATAAAACTTCTCTAAACAAAACCTTTCTAAACAAAACCTCTGTAAACAAAACCTTTCTAAACAAAAACTTTTCTAAACAAAACCTTTCTAAACAAAACCTCTCTAAACAAAACCTCTCTAAACAAACACTTCTCTAAACAAAACCTCTCTAAACAAAACTTTTCTAAACAAAAACTTTTCTAAACAAAACCTTTCTAAACAAAACCTTTCTAAAAAAAACTTTCTAAACAAAACCTTTCTAAACAAAACCTCTCTAAACAAAACCTTGAACTTTTAGAGACATTTGCGATTTCAGCGTTTTGAGCAGTTCATGTTTTGGTGACCCACATCCCAGTAATTGGCCCGTCCCCTCCTCCCCCATCTTTAATGAAGTCACGGGACCAGCAAGATGTCAAAAGGGACTATGTCAATCGTGTTCATCACCGTGCATGTAAGAGATGTTTTTTTTTTCATTCAACTGGAACTAAAGTTTGTTTGAAGGCGTGAAAACAAGCTCACAAGTTGAGAAAGGAGGGGCTGGAGGACTGGAACAATTCTCTTGTTTCTTGATGGACTTGGATTAGCAAAATGATGCATGTCTGTAGAGAGACACACCGGCAGTGATTTTCCTCTTGCTTGCCCAGCTGGCGAGACAAGAACTAGAAAACAACCAGCACGCCGGTACCCACTAGAGAGACGCCCCTCATGTCGCGTCTAGAGTTCTCACGCTGAGCTGAGGGTCTGGCTATAAAACCAATCGAAGCACCAGCCCGAGGGTCGAGATCTGCAGAATCTGGACACAAGCCTGCGGGGAGTTCGTTATGTAAGCAGTAGCATGCATTTTTCTTGGCTCGAAACTGTTCATGTCCATATCGTGCAGGCTTTTTAGTCACTTGAAAATACAAGACCATAGAGTGCTTTGTCACTAGTTGACATGCTACGAATAAGAGTACATTAATTGCACGTTGGCTCAATAGTCAATTATATATATATATATATATATATATATATATATATATATATATATATATATATATATATATATATATATATATATATATATATATATATATATATATATATATATATAACATCTTGACAATCCAAGTGTTATGTGTTTGCCTCTAGAATGCTATTAAGCCATGGCTTACAGCTTTGGCTATTGATTGGGGTGCTACAGTCTTCAGCTCTCTCATGGAGCAGGGATGGCTTTATGTAAGTAAACTTTTGTCCTCATCAATTTACTGGCTATTGATGTAAAATATGTCAGAAATTCTGACATCTGACTAGTTAATGTTGACATGTACAACTGATGTTGACATGTACAACTGATGTTGACATGTACAACTGATGTTGACATGTGCAACTGATGTTGACATGTGCAACTGATGTTGACATGTGCAACTGATGTTGACATGTACAACTGATGTTGACATGTACAACTGATGTTGACATGTGCAACTGATGTTGACATGTGCAACTGATGTTGACATGTGCAACTGATGTTGACATGTACAACTGATGTTGACGTGTACAACTGATGTTGACATGTACAACTGATGTTGTTGTCCTGTACAGCAACACTGTGACGTCAGCCTACCGAGCATACGACCAAGCTAATCGAGCAGACACGACCAAAGATGGCGTCATCACGGAAGCTGAGTTGGCCAACAGTCTCTACAGACAGGCAGACGCTTACGGCAACAACGGTACGTCAACACTTTCTACCCAGATACCATGTTCTATCTGTCCCCAGATAACCGAGCACCATGTTCTATCTGTCCCCAGATAACAGGGCACCATGTTCTATCTGTCCCCAGATAACCGGGCACCATGTTCTATCTGTCCCCAGATAACCGAGCACCATGTTCTATCTGTCCCCAGATAACCGGGCACCATGTTCTATCTGTCCCCAGATAACCGGGCACCATGTTCTATCTGCCCCCAGATAACCGGGCACCATGTTCTATCTGTCCCCAGATAACCGGGCACCATGTTCTATCTGTCCCCAGATAACCGGGCACCATGTTCTATCTGTCCCCAGATAACCGGGCACCATGTTCTATCTGTCCCCAGATAACCGGGCACCATGTTCTATCTGTCCCCAGATAACCGGGCACCATGTTCTATCTGTCCCCAGATAACCGAGCACCATGTTCTATCTGTCCCCAGATAACCGAGCACCATGTTCTATCTGTCCCCAGATAACCGGGCACCATGTTCTATCTGTCCCCAGATAACCGGGCACCATGTTCTATCTGTCCCCAGATACCATGTTCTATCTGTCCCTAGATAACCGGGCACCATGTTCTATCTGTCCCCAGATAACCGGGCACCATGTTCTATCTGCCCCCAGATAACCGGGCACCATGTTCTATCTGTCCCCAGATAACCGGGCACCATGTTCTATCTGTCCCCAGATAACCGGGCACCATGTTCTATCTGTCCCCAGATAACCGGGCACCATGTTCTATCTGTCCCCAGATAACCGGGCACCATGTTCTATCTGTCCCCAGATAACCGGGCACCATGTTCTATCTGTCCCCAGATAACCGAGCACCATGTTCTATCTGTCCCCAGATAACCGAGCACCATGTTCTATCTGTCCCCAGATAACCGGGCACCATGTTCTATCTGTCCCCAGATAACCGGGCACCATGTTCTATCTGTCCCCAGATAACCGGGCACCATGTTCTATCTGTCCCCAGATACCATGTTCTATCTGTCCCTAGATAACCGGGCACCATGTTCTATCTGTCCCCAGATAACCGGGCACCATGTTCTATCTGCCCCCAGATAACAGGGCACCATGTTCTATCTGCCCCCAGATAACCGGGCGCCATGTTCTATCTGTCCCCAGATAACCGGGCACCATGTTCTATCTGTCCCCAGATAACCGAGCACCATGTTCTATCTGTCCCCAGATACCATGTTCTATCTGTCCCTAGATAACAGGGCACCATGTTCTATCTGTCCCCAGATAACCGGGCACCATGTTCTATCTGTCCCCAGATAACCGGGCACCATGTTCTATCTGTCCCCAGATAACCGGGCACCATGTTCTATCTGTCCCCAGATAACCGGGCACCATGTTCTATCTGTCCCCAGATAACCGGGCACCATGTTCTATCTGTCCCCAGATAACCGGGCACCATGGTCTATCTGTCCCCAGATAACCGGGCACCATGTTCTATCTGTCCCCAGATAACCGAGCACCATGTTCTATCTGCCCCCAGATAACAGGGCACCATGTTCTATCTGTCCCCAGATACCATGTTCTATCTGTCCCCAGATAACCGGGCACCATGTTCTATCTGTCCCCAGATAACCGGGCACCATGTTCTATCTGCCCCCAGATAACCGGGCACCATGTTATCTGTCCCCAGATAACCGGGCACCATGTTCTATCTGTCCCCAGATAACCGGGCACCATGTTCTATCTGTCCCCAGATAACCGGGCACCATGTTCTATCTGTCCCCAGATAACCGGGCACCATGTTCTATCTGTCCCCAGATAACCGGGCACCATGTTCTATCTGTCCCCAGATAACCGGGCACCATGTTCTATCTGTCCCCAGATAACCGGGCACCATGTTCTATCTGTCCCCAGATAACCGGGCACCATGTTCTATCTGTCCCCAGATAACCGGGCACCATGTTCTATCTGTCCCCAGATAACCGGGCATCTAGGGTGGAGTTTATCGACTACTACACCCAGATCTACAACGTCAGCTCCGAGCTAGCCGCCATCATGTTCGACTTGTTGAACGATCCCAGCAAGCCAGATGACGTCATCACTTCAAGCGATGTGTCCTTGACCTCTTTTTCTGGGAGAAGTACGTTTATTGCGTTGTTCTTTCAGATGCAGGGGATCAGAGTTTCTTCCAGGCATCTCTTCGGGGGGGCTTAGCCCCCCCCCCCCCCCCCGAAAATTTTTTACCGCCCCCCCACCCCCCGAACGAAATGAAATGTGTATAATTTATATAGAAAATATATACTTTTAACAGTGTCCGCCCCCCCCCCCCGAAGAAAGTCTACCGCCCCCCCCCCACCCCCCCGAAAATTCTAAGTGCCCCCCCCCCCCCCCGGAGAAAAAAGTCTGGAAGAAACACTGCAGGGGATACTAGCAGAAATGACGTGACACTTCAAGAAGGAAGTGGGGTGTAAGGACTTATGTGACAATCTATGACGATAGGAAATGTGCGCTACTGTGACTTTATTTTAGAGGCAGGGGCTGGCCTTTATCAAACGACTGAAGAAAAGGGGGGAGGGGTGGGGGGGAGGTAAAAATCGTCAGTTTTTTTTTTTTATGGTGTTTGTGTCATGGAATAAATGATTGACGTGGTGGTTAGAAACATACCATTTCTTGTATCTCTGTTCAACTGCTGACATAAATCATCGAATTATTCTAGTGTTAAAGATTTTAACGATGAACTGTCCTCCACAGAATACGCTACAGTTTCCGAGTTTCGAGAAGGCCTTGAAAAGGTGGGGTGTTACATAACACAGTGTGTCTGTGGTCGCCTTGGTGTGTTTAAAGTTTTAGATGCTGAATAGATATTTGGGCTGTCATTTGTTAATGGCGAAGTTTCGCGAGATTAAAAAAATTAAATTGACCATACCAAAAGCGTTTGGCTAAAAAAAGACATTTTACTTTTACCCAAAGAATTTTGACTTTAAAAAAAAGATATTTCATATACATCCAAAGTCTTAGGATAAAACATGTATCGACGTTAATTCAATCAAAATTTTTCGTTCATAGTGGATTCGTCGTTCGGCAGAAAAACTCTACTCCATCCTGATGATACCTCACATGTAAGTGTTGTAATTGTATTGATAGAACAAGACACACATGGTCAGGGATGTGATCGTGTTGTTCCTAAATGTTGACTGGCTGGTGTTAGAGAACATCAAGTTATATTTAACTTGGGCTCCGATATGTGTGTGTGAGCAGTGAGTGTGTATGTGTGTGTAAGTGTATGTAGACAGTTATGCAATCTTTGACAAGACGTGTACCTATTGGGTCAATGGAGATCAAGAATACAGCCCTAATAGTTTCTAATGTTATTATGTTGACAGTGAGTGATCCAGTGAGTCAGTGAGTCAGTGAGTCAGTGAGAGAATGTTTGTGTGTGTGTGTGTGTCTTTTTTTGCTTTTTGTTGTTGTTTGTTGTTGGGTTTTTTTGTTATTGTTTTTTTTTATGAACGAATGTATGTCATTAACTTCAATCATTTTATTTTCCCAAGAATCGACCCGAGAAACGAGCCAGAACTCAGGTACGGCACAATCCTTGAGAACATTGACGCCAACAAGGACGGCTATTTGACAGTTGCTGAACTGAGCGATGAGTTCAAGAGATTTTCGCCAACTCGTAAGTTGTTGTAGATGTCACAACTAAATTCTTGTAGAGATATGGCAATATTAGCTGCCCGTATAAAACTAAATTCTTGATGATATGATATATGTTCTCAATGGCAATACTAGCTGCCCTTATAAACTAAATTCTTGATGATATGATATGCTGATGTTCTCAATGGCAATACTAGCTGCCCGTATAAAACTAAATTCTTGTAGATATGATATGCTGATATTCTCACTGGCAGTACTAGCTGCCCGTATAAAACTAAATTCTTGATGATATGATATATGTTCTCAATGGCAATACTAGCTGCCCTTATAAACTAAATTCTTGATGATATGATATGCTGATGTTCTCAATGGCAATACTAGCTGCCCTTATAAAACTAAATTCTTGTAGATATGATATGCTGATATTCTCACTGGCAGTACTAGCTGCCCGTATAAAACTAAATTCTTGATGATATGATATATGTTCTCAATGGCAATACTAGCTGCCCTTATAAAACTAACAGATAAACATTTTGACATTGAAACCAGAGAGCATCAAGCGAAGAGACTGGACATTACGTAATACTCAGGGTTATGGAGCAGACCCTGCAATCGCTAGTCTGGTATTCGATTACTGGAATCGTGACGGGGATTCTGAATTGACGCTTCGTGACCTTCAACGTGTTGTTGAAGAAATGGATATCAATGGTAAGAAACTCAATGGACTATTTCAACAAATTAAATAGGGATAGACTTTAATGATAGAAGATGGATGGGCATGAATTATTTCAAACCAAGTTCTAGGTTCTGTAACAGCTTTACAAACAAATCCCTCGAATACGACACAGACGGTTAAAATAATAAGTTGTTCGAATTTAACCTACTAGAGTGCTAATGTCTTCCAATATTTCAGGTGATCAAAAAATTTCAAGTGAAGAATTTATCCGTTTTGTGGAAAGAGTAAGTTAACCTACAGTTTAAACTATTTTCTTATTTTAAATGCATTTGATAAATGGTCTCTGTCGCTTTTCGATTATCTCAATTTCAGCTTTGTGAATTATAAAATATATTTCTGTTTATTACCTTACTTCCTAAATATATATCTCGCTATTATTTATTTTGAAGCAAAGACCAGCTTTTTAAAAATACTTTGCTCCAGGATAGTGTACATTTGTTTAGTTTATTTATTTTATTTTATGTAATGCGCAAAAACCAACCTTTGCCTTTCATTTCTGAAATGTTTAAATGATTGTCGTTCTTGACAATATATCTTTGGATTAAGTAACTAGATTGATATCATATACAGGTATATATATATATATATATATATATATATATATATATATATATATATATATATCTGGAGGGAGTAAATGTATTTGCCGTCAAATTGCAGGGTTATAAACTTGGACGAAGAATGGTGGGAGTCCCCCTATCTGAGTCAATGGTTCAATGTCCAGAGCCTTGGTGGTGAGTTGACTTTCTGTCATTTAGAACTGTGTAGAGCTTATGGCCAGCATAGGCCACTTTGTAGAGCTTATGGCCAGCATGGGCCACTTGAATAGAGCTTATGGCCAGCATGGGCCACTTGAATACTTGTAGAGCTTATGACCAGCATGGGCCACTTTGTAGAGCTTATGGCCAGCATGGGCCACTTGAATAGAGCTTATGGCCAGCATGGGCCACTTGAATACTTGTAGAGCTTATGACCAGCATGGGCCACTTGAATACTTGTAGAGCTTATGGCCAGCATAGGCCACTTTGTAGAGCTTATGGCCAGCATGGGCCACTTGAATACTTGTAGAGCTTATGACCAGCATGGGCCACTTGAATACTTGTAGAGCTTATGGCCAGCATAGGCCACTTTGTAGAGCTTATGGCCAGCATGGGCCACTTGAATAGAGCTTATGGCCAGCATGGGCCACTTGAATACTTGTAGAGCTTATGACCAGCATGGGCCACTTGAATACTTGTAGAGCTTATGACCAGCATGGGCCACTTGAATACTTGTAGAGCTTATGGCCAGCATGGGCCACTTTGTAGAGCTTATGGCCAGCATGGGCCACTTGAATAGAGCTTATGGCCAGCATGGGCCACTTGAATACTTGTAGAGCTTATGACCAGCATGGGCCACTTGAATACTTGTAGAGCTTATGGCCAACATGGGCCACTTGAATACTTGTAGAGCTTATGGCAAGCATGGGCCACTTGAATACTTGTAGAGCTTATGACCAGCATGGGCCACTTGAATACTTGTAGAGCTTATGGCCAGCATGGGCCACTTGAATACTTGTAGAGCTTATGGCAAGCATGGGCCACTTGAATAGAGCTTATGGCCAACATGGGCCACTTTGTAGAGCTTATGGCCAGCATGGGCCACTTGAATACTTGTAGAGCTTATGGCCAACATGGGCCACTTGAATAGAGCTTATGACCAGCATGGGCCACTTGAATACTTGTAGAGCTTATGGCCAGCATGGGCCACTTGAATAGAGCTTATGGCCAACATGGGCCACTTTGTAGAGCTTATGGCCAGCATGGGCCACTTGAATAGAGCTTATGGCCAGCATGGGCCACTTGAATACTTGTAGGGCTTATGACCAGCATGGGCCACTTGAATACTTGTAGAGCTTATGGCCAGCATGGGCCACTTGAATACTTGTAGAGCTTATGGCCAGCATGGGCCACTTGAATACTTGTAGAGCTTATGGCCAGCATGGGCCACTTGAATACCTGTAGAGCTTATGGCCAACATGGGCCACTTGAATAGAGCTTATGGCCAGCATGGGCCACTTGAATAGAGCTTATGGCCAACATGGGCCACTTTGTAGAGCTTATGGCCAGCATGGGCCACTTGAATACTTGTAGAGCTTATGGCCAGCATGGGCCACTTGAATACTTGTAGAGCTTATGGCCAGCATGGGCCACTTGAATACTTGTAGAGCTTATGACCAACATGGGCCACTTGAATACTTGTAGAGCTTATGGCCAGCATGGGCCACTTGAATAGAGCTTATGACCAGCATGGGCCACTTGAATACTTGTAGAGCTTATGGCCAGCATGGGCCACTTGAATAGAGCTTATGGCCAGCATGGGCCACTTGAATACTTGTAGAGCTTATGGCCAGCATGGGCCACTTGAATACTTGTAGAGCTTATGGCCAGCATGGGCCACTTGAATACTTGTAGAGCTTATGGCCAACATGGGCCACTTTGTAGAGCTTATGGCCAGCATGGGCCACTTGAATACTTGTAGAGCTTATGGCCAGCATGGGCCACTTGAATACTTGTAGAGCTTATGGCCAACATGGGCCACTTGAATACTTGTAGAGCTTATGGCCAGCATGGGCCACTTGAATAGAGCTTATGACCAGCATGGGCCACTTGAATACTTGTAGAGCTTATGGCCAGCATGGGCCACTTGAATAGAGCTTATGGCCAGCATGGGCCACTTGAATACTTGTAGAGCTTATGACCAGCATGGGCCACTTGAATACTTGTAGAGCTTATGGCCAGCATGGGCCACTTGAATACTTGTAGAGCTTATGGCAAGCATGGGCCACTTGAATAGAGCTTATGGCCAACATGGGCCACTTTGTAGAGCTTATGGCCAGCATGGGCCACTTGAATACTTGTAGAGCTTATGGCCAGCATGGGCCACTTGAATACTTGTAGAGCTTATGGCCAACATGGGCCACTTGAATACTTGTAGAGCTTATGACAAGCATGGGCCACTTGAATAGAGCTTATGACCAGCATGGGCCACTTGAATACTTGTAGAGCTTATGGCCAGCATGGGCCACTTGAATAGAGCTTATGGCCAGCATGGGCCACTTGAATACTTGTAGAGCTTATGGCCAACATGGGCCACTTGAATAGAGCTTATGACCAGCATGGGCCACTTGAATACTTGTAGAGCTTATGGCCAGCATGGGCCACTTGAATAGAGCTTATGGCCAGCATGGGCCACTTGAATACTTGTAGAGCTTATGGCCAACATGGGCCACTTGAATACTTGTAGAGCTTATGGCCAGCATGGGCCACTTGAATACTTGTAGAGCTTATGGCCAACATGGGCCACTTGAATAGAGCTTATGACCAGCATGGGCCACTTGAATACTTGTAGAGCTTATGACAAGCATGGGCCACTTGAATACTTGTAGAGCTTATGGCCAACATGGGCCACTTGAATAGAGCTTATGGCCAGCATGGGCCACTTGAATACTTGTAGAGCTTATGGCCAACATGGGCCACTTGAATAGAGCTTATGGCCAGCATGGGCCACTTGAATACTTGTAGAGCTTATGGCCAACATGGGCCACTTGAATACTTGTAGAGCTTATGGCAAGCATGGGCCACTTGAATAGAGCTTATGGCCAACATGGGCCACTTGAATACTTGTAGAGCTTATGGCAAGCATGGGCCACTTGAATAGAGCTTATGGCCAACATGGGCCACTTGAATACTTGTAGAGCTTATGGCCAACATGGGCCACTTGAATAGAGCTTATGGCCAGCATGGGCCACTTGAATATTTGTAGAGCTTATGGCCAACATGGGCCACTTGAATACTTGTAGAGCTTATGGCAAGCATGGGCCACTTGAATAGAGCTTATGGCCAACATGGGCCACTTGAATACTTGTAGAGCTTATGGCAAGCATGGGCCACTTGAATAGAGCTTATGGCCAACATGGGCCACTTGAATATTTGTAGAGCTTATGGCAAGCATGGGCCACTTGAATAGAGCTTATGGCCAGCATGGGCCACTTGAATACTTGTAACGAGCAAGCGATGACCATTGCAGGTCCAGCATGGGGTGGACGCCTGCTATAGATGCCACACGAGCTGCCATGGATTTCGATGACGACTTTGATGGGTGGATCACAAGCGCCGATCTGAGGCGGTGGCTCCACGTGTTTGATGACGACAGTAAGACATATGTTATGGTGACGTCATTAAGTAACATGTTGTGGTGACGTCGTTAAGACACTTGTTCTGATGACGTCATTATCATTAAATTAAGACGCTTGTTATGTTGACGACAGTAAGGCAATTGTTATGGTGAGTCAGTTAGACACTTGTTGTGGTGAAGTCATTAAAACACTTGATATGGTGACGTCATTAAGACACTTGTTATGGTGACGTGAGTAAGACACTTGTTTAATGACGTGAGTAAGAAACGAAATGATTTTTGTGCAGACGACGGCTCAGTGAACAGACGAGAACACAACAAGTTCCACACACATCGTTACGGCGTCAACTCTTCTACTGCATCCGCCATGTTTGATTTAGCTGACGTCAACGCAGACGATAAACTAGACGACCGTGACTGGGAGTTCCACTTTAAAGGTGAGATGAGCGACCTAAGATTTGAGTTGGTGCACATAATAATGACGGGAAAATTATACGGATATGCCTGGTAGTGTAGCCTTGTGTTAGTTGCTTCAATACATTATTGTTATTCACTAGTTCCAATCCTTGTTAACTAAAGCTCTATACATGATGTCCTCTAGGTGATTTTTCCCTAAGTTTCTGTGATGTTAAACGTAGCATTCAGGACCTGGCAAGGGTGGCCGAGAAACAACAAGGGATACGTCAGGTATGGGATGTTTGTATAGGCTCAATTGTTAACGCTTTATGTATGGGATATTTGTATAGGCTCATTTATTAAAGCTTTAGTTATGGGATGTTTGTATAGGCTCATTTATTAAAGCTTTAGTTATGGGATGTTTGTATAGGCTCAATTGTTAACGCTTTAGGTATGGCATATTTGTACATATTTATTAAGTAAAGCTTTTGCTATGAGATATTTATACACTTTCATTTGTAAAAGCTTTAGAAACAGTATATTCATTCAGGTTCATTTATTGAAGCTTTACTTTTAAGATATTTTAACGGATTTATTTATTAAAGCAGAGAGTTAAAAATAAACTTTTTTTCAAATGTGATTGATCATCATCTTTTAGTGACCAAGAGGCATTTGACATTTGAAGTAGAGTTCGTTTGTTGCAATGAATTAGGCATGTAAGCGGAAAGTGTTATGGGCATAATGCCCAGCCGCATCAGTTTCCCTGAGTCATGTACCCAGCATGGTTGGACTCAGGGATGCCCTACAGACTCGAGCCCGACTCGAGACTTTCGGGCTAGCAGACGCAAGCTCTACCATTCAACCACGCTGTTCTTAAAGTTTGAATAATTAATGAGTTTTTTTTTTAATTAAAAGAGAATATTTTCCATGAATGTTTGCACCTCTCTTTTACTATCAATGTTTTTTGCATTATGTCTAAGTATTGAAGCTACTTTAGTAGATGTGGGCATTGGCTTGCTTTGCGTTACTGAAAAGATATACGATAAAATAGGAACTGGTTAATGGATGCTTACATTTGTCCATTTTCCCTACAGGGAAAAGAAATGCGAGAAAATATGAAGAGACAGCTTCAGGAGGAGTTGAGCTGGTTCCTTGAGAAACAGCCAAGACAGCGGGCAGGCTGGCCCGGTACACAAGAGCGTCAGGTTCGCTGTAAGACGAGACTGGTCTGCTACGTAGGGGAATACACCCAGGACTGGTGGCGCCCTGAAGCCACCTTGTGGTGGAAGGTCGATTTGAGGGAGGACAACCGCCCATTGCAAGCATCTCTGAGTGAGCCCCGTCAGCCGCCCCCAGCCAACTTCCGGCAGAGTGCCCTAACCACAGATCAAGGCGTGTTGCCTCCAATAGCGCGAGTAGGTCTGCCAATGATTCCAGATGCCGACATACCGTTCCCACAACCCCAATGGCCAATGTATGACATGGGCAACTTTGGACATATGAGCGGAATGAGCCCGTTTACTCCATATAAAAGATCAGCGGATGAAAAACTTAGGATGAAAAATTCACAAACTAATGCACCTATTGGCAGTAACAAAGAATATTTTAGCGATTATCACCGTTTATTCAACACTTACGAACCAGATCAACAAACACCCAATCGTAACGCAGACATCAAAGAAGAAAATGTCTACCAAAACCTTCCCGACCAAACTATAGAATCCACAGTTGAGGAAGACACTGACTCTCAACAAAACAAACAAATCAACAGTAATCTTCAACGATCATTTAGTAGCGACAACAGTGAAGCGTCTAAAATGGCGGTGAACAAAGAGGAAAAGAAAAACACTCCGAACCAAGAGGAATTTGTGTCTCTCCCCCCACCCCTCACTCTTTTGGGGTATCCAGTGTTTGTTGGAGTTGATCCTTGGTTATTAAATGGGCCACCGAACTGGGGGATGCTGGGTAGAAAAAAACGAGAAAGCCAAGACGACAAGAAAAAGAATGAAGAGATAAGAGAGGCGTCTGGAGAAAAGAAAGAACGAACTGGCGAAAACTACGCTGGTGTTGACAACAGCACTGACAGTCTGGCTGATTTCATGGCCTGGGCGGGCCCAAGTCTTCTCATGGCTGCTTCATCACCAGGCTTCGGGGTCGCTCCCTGGGACTTGTGGATGGCTATGGCATTAGACAGTGCTATGTGGGAGGCCATGCAGTTTGATGACTGGACAAATTCAACAGACAACGATACACGCTCTAACAGGACAGGCGCTGGAGAGAGAGAATCGTGGAAAAACCTGATGGACTGGATGAACGACAATGATGGCCAGGATGAGAGCCAGGAGAGTGAAGAGGAGGGAGCAACAGAGGAAGATTTCACCCAGTCTGCTGGTGGAGAGAGTCGAGGCAAACGATTCATCCAAGGATACGAAAACTTCTTCCATAAGTTACCTTTCTGGGCGAGCAGGTCGTCAAGCTACTGGCCTTCTGAGGGATTTTTCAACGATTGGAGAGGCCGTAGTGCATTCTCATCACCTTGGAACAGGTTTTGGCAGTTTGGAGATGCTAGCTGGAATTACCCTCTCAATCGCTTGAGGTGGTTTTCAAGAATAAAGAGGAGCGCTGAGAATGCACAGGGTGAGGTAACAGACGGTGACGCAGAGCGGGATCAGCGAAGTAAAACTACAGACAATGCCCGAAATGATTTTTTCTTTGACAAATGGAAATCCGAGGATGAAGATTTGCAAAACGGGCAAGGTGTACGTGGGGACAACAAGGACAGCGTATGGAGGAGCGCGAGCTCGAATAAATACGGCTCAGAGAGTGACTGGGAGCATAAGTTAGATGCGGGTTCCAGCCAGTGGAACATGGGGGCCAAAGAAAAGTTCGGATCTCACAGCTGGTCCAATGGAAGAATGTCGACATCTTTTCAACGTGGTGACAGCGATTGGTTGGGAAACGTACAGCCAACGGGTAAATGGAATCAACCTTATTTCCCAGACAGGATGCCAGAAGGTGGTCAACAAATGCCATCTGCTGGGAATAGATATAACATGCCACAAAACTTTGGGAGAAATTTTATACCCACACCTATGGTCTCGCCATTGATTTCTCAAAAACAAGCAGATTGGCCTAGTTGGTATAGTAACATAGACCAGCCTTTTAACTATAACCCAAACACTTTGAACCGATGGTTCAACTTCCCAGGTCAATATTTCAATCAGGCCACCATGGAAGTTGGCCCTGAAAAGTTACCTACACCAAGACTGAATTCACCGTTTGATGAGTTGATGCCGTTTTGGGCTGAAAGGTTTATTAGGGGAACTCTACCACTGAGACGCTCCGAGGACAAAGATGACACCTTAAGTGGCAAAAGTGACGCAGGTCAAGAAACAGAAGCCAATGATCAAACACTGATAAGGAAGAAAAGATGGGAATTCGCTAACTTTTACAATCAGTTTTTGCCCAGAACTGATTATTTCAGCTGGTTGTACCATTTAGTCCCCTGGTGCCAGAGATATTGGAACAGTGCTAGGTTCGGGCGCTCGGCTCCTGACAGCACTGAAGAAAATGTTGACAAGAGAAGCACGCTGAACGACCAGGACAAAGAGAAAAGATGGGACAGCACTGAAGACAATGTTGACAAGAGGAGCACGCTGAACGACAATGACAAAGAGAAAAGATGGGACCATGGCGCTTACTCATACAACTGGATGGCGATGTCGTCCGTCTGCCCTAGAGTCTGGAGTTTTGTACAAACCAACAACATTCCATTGAACGGCTATCCTGGCAGAAACCAATACTTTCCCTATCAACAGTTTCGACAGAAGAGAGATGCTCATCAGACGACTAAAGAAACGTTGGATGAAACCAAGTTGAAACGTTGGAATTCCAACGATGCCGACTGTGAGGAATGGCAGTACGTCACATCCGCTTGGACACCGTGGCAAGGTTTAAACATGCTTCGTTCTGCTAGAGGCGCCACTCACTTGGAGGGTAACAAGCTTGACGATCCTCTGCAGAACGCTCGAAATACCAGGGCTGTTCGATGCAAATCTTGGCATCGGAAAGATTACAATCAAAATATTTTTGGAGCTAATCAACAGTGGACTGATAGTCAGCCAAGTAGGGCCTTCAACCGGTTTAAAAGATCAAGCACGAACAGTGACAACACTGAGGGGACTGGTGAAGGCGGGGATCGCATTAAGCGCTTTGAGACATGGAGTGGCGTCTCGCCATTTTGGCACCCCGGTAGGTCGCTAGGTGGACAATGGTGGAATTCCAATCAATTCAACTTGCCGCTGTTCAACAACAAATGGATGTACCAAGGATTTGGCGGTAACAAATGGAACAATTTTGGTTGGGACTACTTGAGGTCATCAAGGGAGGTTGAGCAAGAAGGTTTGTCGAATGAAGATCTACAAAGGCCTAAAAGAAACGCCCAAGAAGATTTTAAAATAGCGAACGACGGCGCGGACGAGTCTGCTAGCGAGACTAGAGAAAAGCGAATGATGGGTCCGTGGGTTGGTAGTGACAGGTACGGTTGGCTAAATCAGTTCTCGTCGGCAAGCAACCCATACCAGTGGTGGGCCACTGATTGGTGGAGCCAGTGGAACCCTTACAGATTTGCAAGAGAAACGGAAGAGGGCGATGATGACAAAAATACTTCAAGAAATAAACGTTGGCTGTATACTGGACAAAATTATTTGAACGTTCAGCCTTGGTGGCTGAACTATATGAAATCGTGGCCAGGTTTGTTGTGGCATGGATCTTCAAGGTTCCAGAGAGATGCGGAGCAGAAGGAAGAAAGTACCGGCGAGTTCGTCAAAAGAGTGATAAAAAATGTTGCCACTAGCGGATGGTACGCCAATGATCCTACATCAGAGTGGACAAACGAGCCACGGTCCGCTTACTCCAGCCCCTGGACATTAGGCGACACTCCAGTCAGACTTCCTAGAGACACAGCGTCGGCACAGGAGACGACCAAGCGTTATGCAGAGGGAAGGGGCGGGCTGATGTGGCAAAGGGGTGAGAATTTCCCTTGGTCAAACTCTAATTGGGATTTTCAAGCCAATTACGACTCAAGGTACAGACCATACAATTGGCCTTGGACTAATGCACTACCCGGATATCCACAATGGAGTCAAGGGCAACAAACCTCCTGGGGTAACTACCGATCATCTCGTGCCGCTGGCCAGCCAAATGTAGCGGAGGGAAATAAGCAGGAACAGCTGTTGGACAAGAACAAAAGGTGGAGCGGTTTCGATTATCCAAACTTTAATTCCATGTATTTTCCAGAGTTCTCTTTTGATAACAACTTCAATAACTTGAACTACAACTACAGAAGCCCATGGGACTTAACGAGGTATCTCAGAAACACAGAGACCGCTGATAAATCAAGTGAGGGCAGGAGCAAACGATGGCTCAACTACGGCCTGAATCCATGGCAGATGCCTCCGTTTTATTGGCAGAATAGTTTAGCCTGGATTAACAACCCGTGGAACTGGATGCGCTTTACGCGAAATGTGAAAGAAGATGGAAGCACAAAAGATGAACGATTTAGACGTGACGCTCAGGATGTTGAGAGAGAGAAACGTTTCGACAACTACAATTGGCCGCTCTGGACTTCACCTTTTTACTCTGACTATATGGCAGCTAGCAACCCTTACTATCGATGGAACTATGATAATGTGTTTAGGTACCCGAGAAAAGTACAGGAGGACTCACACGATTCTGGTAGAGAAAAGCGTAATGCAATAGATGCTCCAGAGGAAGGTGACAGAAATAAGCGTTGGCAAGAGTGGTACTCGAACCCACAATGGTCCACTTATCGACCTTGGAGTCGTTACAGGTGGATGAGCGATTATAGCAAAGAAGGGGATATGTGGAACTTCATGCGATACACGAGAAACTCTGGGGAACCTAGCGAAACGGAGAGACAGAAACGTCAATTGGGTGATCAGTTGAAGGAGAAAAGATGGTCTAATCCATGGAACCAAATGAATTTCCCGTGGTATTTGGGTAGGAACGCGATGTCATTCCCTTATTCTTATTCCAACTTTTGGGAAGATGGCCGATGGTATCACGATAACAGGTTTTTGAGAAATGCTGATGGAGAAACTGAAGAGGCAAATGTAAGAAGCAAACGATGGCAAGGTTGGGACTTTCCACCATATGCAGGGTGGAATCAAAGAGCAGCTAATTTCAATAACTTTATGACTTTCGGGTATCCAGGGATAAATACTTACCAAAACCCATATTTTTTTCACAAGTTTTTTACTAAAAGGGAAAACCCAACGTTTACAAAGTCTGAAAACGAAGAAACAAGTACAGAGCGTACAAAACGATGGCAGCCCTTTCCAGGTTTTAGCTGGTTGCCGAATATGGCCAGTGGTAATCCTTCATTTGGATATCCTCAAGGCTGGTGGAATCCTAGCGTGTACCCAATGGTTCAGTATTATATGAACAGGTTTCAGCGACAGGCTCAACGTGAAAACAACGAACAGAGCGAGAGTAGGAGAGAGCGTGATACAGAAGGCGCATTGAAAAATAAACGCTGGCTTGTTGGTGAAAATTATCTCAGTGGCGCTTGGGATGATGATCAAAGCTTCAGCCCTTGGTCCCACAGTAACTGGAGTCCATGGTGGATGGACTACTGGAACTCAGCTAGATTTGCCAGAAAAACTGAAGAAAACAATCAGCGAAATAAACGCGACACCGAAAAACGTCTATTAAATAAAAGATGGAATACTTTTCTTCCACTAGCAGATAAAAATCGAATGACAATGAATGCGCTCCCCTTGAATTTTCCCGGTCGCTCCAGTTTTCCTCCAGCTAGATATAACCTGTGGAGTAGCTTTGACAACTTTCCATCTCTCTATTCTTTAATCAATCAACGCCAACAATACACGTATCCAATGGTAACTAACAGACGCTGGTCGCCCTATGAGACGTACCGTCCACTGGGCCGTCCAAGTTTCCTGCAGCCATGGGAGCAGTGGTGGAATGTGTACAGCAGACGATCGACCAGAGAAACCAGTGCAGGAGGTGAGGATAATGCTCGCACTAGACGTCAGCCCGGGGACGTGATGCAATATTGGCTGCCACAGCTAGCCAGCCCGCGCTTACCCTGGCCTGGCTGGACCGACGCACCGGCTATGTTTTCTAATGCTTGGCGTCACTGGTCACCGTGGTCTAACATCAGCCCACCGTGGTCCCAGTGGTCTAACATCAGCCCACTGAGGTCACCGTGGTCTAACATCAGCCCACCGTGGTCCCAGTGGTCTAACATCAGCCCACTGAGATACCCAAGAAACTCACAGGCAAAGAGCGATGTCGCTGCTGATCAGACTCACAGTGTCGGTGATGCCCCAGTTGATACATCCAGACAAAAGCGATGGGTGGAATCCAGTGGATATCCCAGATGGATGGAATTCAGTGGATATCCCAGATTCTATCAAAATATGGTTCAAGATCGGAGTAATGGAATATTTCAAAGGCCATTTTTTTCAACTGATCTTTCAAGACTCTCGAATGTATGGAATGCTGTTCGGCCTATGGACTACATGAGGTTCTATTCTACGCCTCTTAATCCTATGAGATTATCCAGGTTTTCTCAAAGCTCTAGAGCTAAAAGAGACACAAAAGACGGGGATGTACGCTCTAAGAGATACGGTTGGTCGGATAACAGGTTTGATCTGATGAATCCATGGATGCAGCAGTGGTGGCGCCCCAGAACTCTATCCACAATGTATGACTCCTTCAATCCATGGAACCAAGGATACCAACTCTCTTACAGTAAAAGAGGTGTGGACAATACGGAAACAGGCCAGGGAGGGAGAAGTAAAAGATGGTGGCGAAACGATAATTTTGGAGGGTTGTGGAATCTACAACATATGGCAAAGAACACTATGGGTCCTATGAGTCCTTGGTATATGGGTTGGTGGAACAATCTATATCCATCTTACCAGTGGATCCCAATATTCAACTCTCAGAATAAACGCGAGGAAAACACGACAAAAGAAAGGCGCTGGTCAGCCGCCCAGCCCTATCTTTGGAGTCCTTATTCAAACCTTTTTGACAACACCCGCTACAGTTTAGGCAGTAATTACATCAGCACTTTTCCTAATAACGTTCTTGCTAAGAGTTCTTTTCAATGGAGTCCAAGAAATCCGTGGCAATACTGGCCACGAAAACGTCGCAGCAGTGATAAAACAGAAGATGAGAACCAGGAGGTCCTTCAAGCAAAGAGGTGGGTCGGCAGGAATTATCAGTTCCCAATGATAAGTGGCATGGGGAGGAGTTCATGGAATAAACCGGATCTTTCATATTGGAACCAATGGCCCTCCAACCAACCTTGGAACCAATGGCCCTCCAACCAACCTTGGAACCAATGGCCCTCCAACCAACCTTGGAACCAATGGCCCTCAAACCAACCTTGGAACCAATGGCCCTCAAACCAACCTTGGAACCAATGGCCCTCAAATTAACGCTGAAGCCTCTAGCCTCTACCCAAACCACTTCACTTTTGTTGAAATGCATGTGATGATTAGAAAAAAATTACAACAAAAGATTGTATCTCTAACAGTTGACTTTTTTAAAATTCTATTTTAGTTAAGTACATAGATAAAAAGAACAAAATGTAGGAGACAATCAACTTTTTAAGACCCGAAAATAAACCCATACCCTCACTTGCTTTTTCTGTTTATAAGTTTTCAAAATATGTTTTGGCCAAGATAAAAACAAAATATACCTAGTAAAATAGCAAAAAATCAAATCAATTAAACTGGTAGTATTTCAATGTTTTCAGTAACATACTTGATTTTAATATCAACGTCACCATTCACTTATAATACTTATATAAAATAAAATGGTAAAATATTTTTAAAAATATATCAACAATTTCAAGATGCATCATTCTGGGGCAAAACGTGTATCAGACGTTGTTTTCCTCGACTCTTCATTGGAATGTTACCTTAGGAGAAAAAAATAAATGACTCGTATTTAGGAATACATAATATTGATATAAATATACATTAACACACTATATTTTATTATTAGCCTGTAACCTATATATATGAATATATATATTATATATATATATATATATATATATATATATATATATATATATATATATATATATATATATATATATATGCAATGAGATTAGACAGGGGGGAGGTGAAAGGCTAGTGATGTAATCCTTTCTGAACATGGACTAATATTTACATCATCTCTGTGGTTTCAGGTTGCTTGTATTTTTACTTTCTCGTATATACATGGTATAGAGAAAGTCTTGTAATCGTGTTAAAAAACGAGTCGGAAAAACATAGTTTTGCAATCTTGTCCGCATGTCTGTGTGTGTATGTGTGTCTGTGTTTGTATCTGTGTAAACACGTTAACTTGAGTACCGTTACAGCTAGGTTGATGAAATTTCATATATAAGTATTATATCAAAATCATAGATCAGTATCAACTTTTCAGCTAATTCCGATAACCGGAAGTGGAACTTTTTCTACTTTCAATTTTTCAAAAGCCTATAACTTGAGTACTATTTCAGATAAATAAATAAAATTTCACAAGTAAGTAAAATATTTAATTCTCTGCCTTCTGTCAAATTTTGAGTAATTTCCAATGACTGGAAGTAGTAATCTTCGCTATTTCCGATTTCTCAAAAAACGCATGTGAATTTGTAAAGTACTAATACTATCCCGCACGATTATGCACATTTTATTTGGCGTTCACTTGGTGTGCAATTCTTTTTTCTACGAGATTTTATTCTATTTTAAAAATGTTAAGTATTTAAAATGGATTAAAAATCATGTCTATACCCTGAGTTGCCATCCCCTGTTGCTTCATATAAGAATATTTGAGAAAGTTAAGGGGAGATCACTCCCGGTTTATTTTATACTGAAGGTGAACTTTCTTCAATAGTACATTGGGTTAAATGGAAAGACTGTTCCACTGGTAGCTTTGTCCTTTGTTTCCTGTAATAATCTGCCTTGTGATCTCCAAAATTAAATGCTTGTGCCATAAAATACATTGAGCATGGGCCATCTTGCCTGTCTCTGTTGTGACAATACAACTCTTTGTGGACCACACTGAGCACCCTTATTTATATGATATACACCTTCACTTGGCCATCACTTCAGTAAAAAGGTCCTCTTTGTTACTAAGGTGTTTCTGCATCACATGCCCAGAATTATCTAGATGACTAGTTTGAGAACCTTTAGTGTAATGCTGTTTGATGGTCCCCTACTGTAGTGTAATGCTGTTGGATGGTCTCATACTGTAGTGTAATGTTGTTGGATGGTCCCCTACTGTAGTGTAATGTTGTTGGATGGTCCCCTACTGTAGTGTAATGCTGTTGGATGGTCCCCTACTGTAGTGTAATGCTGTTTGATGGTCCCCTACTGTAGTGTAATGCTGTTGGATGGTCCCTTACTGTAGTGTAATGCTGTTTGATGGTCCCCTACTGTAGTGTAATGTTGTTGGATGGTCCCCTACTGTAGTGTAATGCTGTTGGATGGTCCCTTACTGTAGTGTAATGCTGTTTGATGGTCCCCTACTGTAGTGTAGTGCTGTTGGATGGTCCCTTACTGTAGTGTAATGCTGTTGGATGGTCCCCTACTGTAGTGTAGTGCTGTTGGATGGTCCCCTACTGTAGTGTAATGTTGTTTGATGGTCCCCTACTGTAGTGTAATGTTGTTGGATGGTCCCCTACTGTAGTGTAATGTTGTTGGATGGTCCCCTACTGTAGTGTAATGCTGTTTGATGGTCCCCTACTGTAGTGTAATGCTGTTGGATGGTCCCCTACTGTAGTGTAATGCTGTTTGATGGTCCCCTACTGTAGTGTAATGCTGTTTGATGGTCCCTTACTGTAGTGTAATGTTGTTGGATGGTCCCCTAGTGTAGTGTAATGTTGTTGGATGGTCCCTTACTGTAGTGTAATGCTGTTGGATGGTCCCCTACTGTAGTGTAATGCTGTTTGATGGTCCCCTACTGTAGTGTAGTGTTGTTGGATGGTCCCCTAGTGTAGTGTAATGTTGTTGGATGGTCCCCTACTGTAGTGTAATGTTGTTGGATGGTCCCTTACTGTAGTGTAATGTTGTTGGATGGTCCCTTACTGTAGTGTAGTGCTGTTGGATGGTCCCTTACTGTAGTGTAATGCTGTTGGATGGTCCCCTACTGTAGTGTAGTGCTGTTGGATGGTCCCCTACTGTAGTGTAATGTTGTTTGATGGTCCCTTACTGTAGTGTAATGTTGTTGGATGGTCCCCTACTGTAGTGTAATGTTGTTGGATGGTCCCTTACTGTAGTGCTACTTCTAGGAACAAAATGACAGCTGAAAAAATTAGGATCTTCAAGTTCTGTAACTGGGACAGTTGAAACTAAATCTTTTCATTGAACTGCAAGCAAGTTGAAGGTCAATTGTGACCTTACGGGGCAGTGTCCTTGAATGACTCAAGAAGTTCCAGAAAATGTCCACATATAAAGAACCTAAACTATGCAACTATTATAGCAATCATATGTTGAAGGTTAATGTTTAGGTAATTGTTGACATTTTTAAAATTTATTCTTTGTTCAGGGGTACAGCCAACTCAAAATGTACTTACAAGAGTACTGTTTAATTAGCCCATATCCAAACATATTTACGTCTGATAGAAACATTTTTTAGGGTAATATTATGCTAAAAATGTAACAAAATGGGTATTTTACTGCCATATTGTTTAGTAGAAGTTAGTAAGAGATTGGTAAAAATGTGAGTATCAGCAATACATGCAGTCAGTGTCAAGTTAAATCCTCAAAGAAACAACACTAACCTGGTGGAGCAACAAAATATTGTTCTTCAGTTTTTGAAGCATTCTTTAAAATAATGCTAGGAGGATTATTCTCTGTCACAATGTCATCACGCAACCAAAGTTCTCTTAAAAAGATCAAGGAAAAATAAATATATTTCTAAATTGTTAAATGACATAAAACAATAGATCCTGTGTTATTATAAAGTCCTCTATTTGTGTTCAATGAAATTCTTATACAAGTCAGTAGGTGTTGTAATACATTATATTATAATTAGGAACACTGAAAGCTAACATTTTAAAATCTTAGACACTTACTTATTTTCTAAAACATTCTCCAGGGGTTCAACTCCATCTGTATTTTTTAGGTATAATGTGTTAGCCGACTTGATGGCATTCTGCAGGCAGATGTAGCCCTCTTCATTGCTGAACTCAACCAATGAAATCCTTTCAAGTTGTTCAACGTGTTGTAAGTCAACATCCAAAACCTAAGTTTATACATTTTTTTATACTTTAATAAATTGTATACTCTGAAAATTATTGAGGACAGAAAGGATAAAAGGCAACATTAAACAACAGTTGTACACGAGCTGCTAAATTAAAAGCCCTGGAAGAATATACTGAAACAAACAAAAGTGTCAAGAAATGCATAAGGAAAGACAAACAGAGTTATTTAGAACTGCTGCCAAGGGAAGCTGAAGAAGCACTGTACCATGGGAATATTAGGGACGTGTACAATACAATTAAGAAGATGTCTGGGAAGTTCAGTAAGCCAGAGAGGCCAGTGAAGACCAAAGATGGAAAGATAATACCTGATGGCCTATTTGGTAATTAATATGCAAATTTTGAAACTTTTGAACACTAAAAATGGTACGATTTTTTAGACTTTGTAACATTCTTACTAGTAGCTATTTTTAAAAAAGTTTTCATGACAAAAGTTTTAATATGTACTGAAATATAAGCAGTTTAAATTTGATTGCTATAGGTGCATAAATAAAAAAGCCGTAGAATTTTTAAAAGTACCAAAAAATTCAAAATGACAGAGGGTTTTTTGGGTTTCCATGACAACCAAAATTGTTTTCAACCCTTTTTTTGCTGTTTAATACTTACTTTCATATGCCAAACATTATAAAAGTATTCAAAAGGCTCTAGATATTAAATTGTAAAAAATAGGAAAAAAATGTGCATATCCCCTTAACCTTAATAAATTGTTAGTTTACAGAAGTTGGAACTTGTAAACTGAATATATTCATTGTACTACTTTTTCTAGAACAGCAAAACAGAAAATCTCAATCTTAATTTTTTAAAGCATAAACTGAAAAACAAAATATATCCTAGTGAAAGATGAGTAAGAACAGCAAATTTAAAAATTAGATAAGTATTTGCATATCAAAGAAAAGAGAGGAAATTATGTTTTGATAATCCCACATTAAGAATTCATAACTAAGAAATTTCAAAATATAAAAGGTGTTAAATGTATAAGCAAAAGAAGCAATTAAGAAGGAGGAAGTGGCACTGGGGTTGAACCCCAGAGAAAGCTAAACAAAAGGTGCCCAAAACAGATATGGAGGCGTAGTCTTCTTGAAGAGTCAACAGGGATGTCTTGGGAGAATGTAAAAATAACAGCCGGGGACCAGATATAATGGAGGGTTATGGTTTAGGCCTTTTGCTCCACAAGGAGCAAAGATGATTAAGTCAAAGTAAGTCAAGTATAAGCAAAAGTATAGTTTCAATTTAAAGGATGTATCAGTTCAACAATAAAACCTTGCAAACAACAAAATGAACAAATCAACATTTTTAAATGGAGCTAAACCTATAAATGCTTTATCAGAAAAATAATTTTGTTTGGATCATTGCATATGAATATTTTAAAGATGGGCCAACCTTTGGTAAACACTCAAAATCTGCTCTTTGCCAAACTGGCTTATCTGGCACCTGAAAAACAATTCCAAGAAAAAAAAGTTGTATAAAGTTAATACTAAAAGAACATATTTTTTACAATAAATAATCTTTTACAATAAACAACCGTGTTCAGATTGAAAACTATCAAAGCAGAAATAGAAAACTAATACTATTTCACGTTTCTACCAAACAGAAATGCAGCAATTAATTTAAACAAAATGGCAAAATCAGTGTCCTGATAGTATTGTTCTGTTAGATGGCTAGTTTTTAAGTCAACTATCAGTCACCACAATTGATTTCAATACATCATAAGCAGGAAGATGCGTTGCTAAGTTCTTTTACAATATAATTCATAAAACCCTAGTATAAAATATTTGTTAAATCAATCGTCATTGTGTTACTTTAAAAAATTACCTTGGAAGAAAATTTCCTGTAACATCCGGCCCAGAATTTTCTATTCAGACCTGGGGTTAAATTGTTTATAATTGTTCTCTTGGCAACCGTAGAATACATTCTTTTAAAGTACATAATAGTTAATACCGGTAAACTGATAACATTAAAAAAAAGAATTAAAAGTAAGGTAAAAAAAGACACTTTATTCCTTAGATTAGTTATAAAAGTCATGAAAGAGATTTATATTAATTGTAAAGTAATGTATCATTTTTAAACACATTGAACAAAAAAGACATTATTGAGCAGCTGGGTCTTCTGTATTTAAGGCCTCTACTTCAATGGTCAAACTCCATTAGGAGCATCTTCTAGCATCCCAACTATAGGGTGACCAGGTGCTCCCGTGCTCCTGCTGAAGTGGTATGGCATCTAAATTCCTTTTAAATTGTTCCATGGGCCACTAAAATGGATGGTTAAATCAAGCTAGTGGCATCCTCTGGCAACCAAGCAGTAGTGTACCATTGGGTCAGTTGATTGGGCACCCTGCACAGAAGGTATTGAAAGGGGTACTAATTGATTCCATTGTCTCCAACATGACGGCTATGAGTACACTGGCTTGTGTATTTGTTCTCATAATCAACCTACACTAGAAACATAGTGGGCTAGTAGATTTGATGATTAAACCAAACCATGGCTTTTTTAATTTTAAATGTATTGAAAAAAATTGCAACTGGGAATAGCCCTACTAATTTCTAGTACTGATAGTGTTTTAAAGCAAATATTTTCAGTGGCAGCATTGGTACTGTCGAATTCACAAATTATGAATTACTGAAAAGTAGAAAATAAAACAACTAAATAGCGGCGTATGATATGCCGCAGGTCGGCTCATTTACTAATATTTAGTTATTTAGATCTATAGGCCTATATAATATATAGGGCCTATTTCTGATTATTTCATGGTCAAATAGGTATAAATAATTTGGTAATCTATCTTTTTAGGTATGTAAAATCATCCGAGACCAGTAATGTAAGACAAAGGTGACTAGTTAATAATGGCTTTAATACAATTATATTGTGATATATTTGTTTAATATATAATAGATAGCTGAATAATAAACCAAAAGCAATGCCTAAACATAAATTATAAATCAATATTATCAGCAGTGTTTGAGTGCAAGGTTTGCTATATAAACAGCTGCCATCTGTAAATTGAAGTGCTTTCCCCTGAATCTTTGACTAGTAACTATAAAATTTCACAAAAAAAAACCTAAACAAGATGCTGCTAAACGCTACAGTAAATGAAAAGTAGGTGAAAACATCGTCAATCTTTATTAATTACTGAAAAGTCTTAATGAATGAAACTATGATACATTTTTGTAATTTTTAAAACGTAAATCCGCCTATAAATGTGAAACAATTACTTAAATTTAATGAGTCACCCTTTTTTCACAATACTAGCCTCGGACGATTTTACGTAACTTAAATTGGTCTTAAACTCACTGTATCTTAAACAATAGATTACCAAATAGACTAATTTTATTATTTTAACCATGGTTTACAACCGATTTTTTTTAGTAGATTAATACTTAGGTCTATATTTAATTATTACTAATTATATTATAATTAATAACTATACAATGACTACTATAGAATTGTTATAGTAGGGTACTATAGTATCTAGTTATAGTAGGGACTAACTAAAGGAAGTTGACATTGTTACCGGATAATTTCCGACACTAATCTGTGGCTATACTAACTAAGGTAACTATTATTACTAAGTAAGGCTAAGAGTTTTAGTTTTGCCGATTCTAGCCAGAAAAAGATATGCATGCGCAATGGAGAGAAACTGTTATTTTCTTGCAGGTGTTTACAAACGAAGCGCAGAAGTCTAACCCTATCCCTAACCCTAGCACTAGCACTAACCTAGCTCAGCTATTGTCATTGCGCATGTGCAGAACTATCTTTTGCCAACCAAATGGAGACGCTAGGGCGAAAAATCTTTTTTCCGAGTAGTCACTTCATTTAGTTTTACCTAGATCTAGCTAGGCCTTTAGGCCTACTATTTATTTATTTATTTATTTGTAGGGCCCTATTAGGCCTAAATATTAAATTTATAATTAAATATAAATAGAATCTAGATCTAGATTCTAGCTTCAAATACAAAAGATTTAATATAAATTTAACTGATTAGCCTAATCATTAGGCCTAAAGCGATTAATAAACCAACTGGGTAATCTATCGATTTAGGAAATTTAGGTACGTAAAATCGGCCGAGACTAGTAATGTGAAAAATAGGTGACTCATTTCATTTAATTTTAGTAGGCCCCTAGATCTAATTAGTAATTGTTTCACATTTTTAGGCGGATTTATCATAAAGATTAAAGACATAAAGTTAAAAGTAAAAAGTAGATCTTAGGTAGATCTACCCAGCTAACACAGTATGTAATACCAGGGTCGGCCCTAGCTTGGCCCAATGTTGTAATCATGGCCAAACATTGGACAAGCTTACGCCAGGGTACAGCCAAGATTTGTACATGCTTGCATCCCTTGATACCTTGATATTTAACCGTTTTTACCTTGGCTGCCAAGATTACACTGATTTATGTATTCACTGCAGAAATTTTAGTTAAATATGCTTGTTAAACTTAATATATGTTAACTAAAATTAAGTTATCTTTTAATATCATGCTCTAATGTAAACATAGCATCAATAACAGACTACGTTGCATGTGTTAAACATTTTGTTAATCTTTTTAAAATTGTGTGCGCTACTGCCACCGGCCCCCTGTCGCCCATTGTCCCTTTGTTCACATTCCTTCCTATTGTTCGCAAGCCAGCATCCCGGTGCTTCGCCATTTTTCTTAACAAAAGACTTTGTATCCAGTCACAGTAAAACAGGTAGGCCCACTGTAGCCATTTTAGTTCAACAGTGAGAAGTAGTATAACTTTATTTATGCAGAATCTGGAAAACTCGTATTTTTTTGTTGGAAACTTTAACTTTATGGGCCTAAGTCATCAAATAAAAGTTATAAAAGGTAGATCTAGTCTAGATTCTATATATTAATAATACTAGATCTAGAGTCTATAACTATTATTCTGTTTATTTTGGCATTAGGCTATAATTACATTTTACAATAATCTCCTTTATGATAGATCTAGATCTAGATAGATCTAGAGTAAAGTGGCGTCTGCGGACAGTCGTAGCAAAAAAAACGGAAGTGCCGATTTCCATTGAGCGCCATTCAGTAACCGCTTCACATAGAAACAAACCGAAAGTACCGTCTCACTCCGCATTCTTTCTAGTTTAATCACGTCTGATTCATTTTGTATTCATACGCATAGCATTGAATGTATTAACATTTTCAGTGGTGAGACTCTGTGCGGACAGTAAGTGCACTTTTTTTTACATTTTATTTTCTGTGCGGACACTTGCTCCTTATGCGGACAAGGCATATTTTGTTCATTTTGTTTCTATTTAAATGATTGAAATAAACATGTTACATACATAAATAGTGTTGTTGATTGTTTTATATATTAATATATTGGAAAACAAAAAATATGAAGAAATATGAAATAAGTTTTAATTAAATTAAAGTGATGCCTGAAAGAAACTCAGGACCCAGTTGAGATTTTATTTCACTTTTTGCTTAGTAGACACGTTTGATGATCAAAAATATTTTTAAAACCTAAAAACATCACTAAAAACTAATAGATCTAGATTTAGACTTAATTTAAATATAAATCTGGAGTATCAAGATTAGTTTAAAGCTCCTTTTTACTTAAAGTGTAAGAAATATACTCTGATTTTTCATTAGTGTCTGCAAAAGGTTAACCCTCAAAAAAGATGCGGACACCCCAATTTTTCCTCTAAGATGGCTTAAACAACCTTAACTATGATATTTATAGCTTTCTATATATATATATAAGCTATTTATAGTTAACCCAGTTAACTAAGCTATGATTGGTTCGATTTATTCCTCTAATCCGGGGACTAGTGCTCTTCATCCGGATGAGGTTTCCTACCATAAAACGTCATACATCGCAACTTTGAAAAATTCCAATTAATCTCCCTATTGAGTGAAATAGAAGAAATGGACTCAGATGTGTTTAAAAATGGACATGCTTTGTGTTGTTTGCGTTAGTTTCCTATAAAATATTCATACAATTATTGTTTTAAGCGAAAAACAGCAAGGTGTCCGCACAGAGCCGGACAGAGGCAACTGTCCGCAGACGCCACTTTACTCTAGATCTAGATTCTAATAATACTAAATAACTAAAAATCGTAATCAGAGGGCGGTTAATTTTGATAGCACTTTTTTTGTATTGAAAAGTATGCAAGTACGTTTGGGGTTATATTGATTATTGATAGATCGATGTATTTATTGGTTTTCAACTTTAGGTGTAATTATCACGCACAGGGGAAGGGGGGGGGGGGCTTAAATGTTTATAAATTAATAAATAATCATTCACTTTAACTTTTAAAAAAAACTTAATTTTATTGTTCTAGGCCCATTTGTGTAAGGATTTGAAACTGTCTTTAATAATTAATTCAGAGAGAGAGAGAGAGAGAGAGAGAGAGAGAGAGAGAGAGAGAGAGGAACAGTAGACACAATTATAATTATAGAACAAATTTCTACATGTTAAACAAACAGTCACAGTGTATTTTGATAAGTATTAATTTTGAAAAAAATTAGTCAACTAGAATTCTAAATTGATTCAAGATTGTCATTCAAATTTCTATTACTGTTACAGCTCCCTATGGGAGAATAAGATGTCATCATCATCACTCCTTTGTGGCCCCTGGGGAGCAAAGGGCTGCAACCACACATCTCCAGCGGACTTGGTTTTGGGCTGCTCCTCTAATCTTTGCCCATGAGAGCCCAGCTGTTTTCGCCTCCTCCTCAACCGTTCTCTTCCATGTTTTCCTTGGCCAGCCCACCCTCCCTGGGGATTCCAGTCTAATGCATGTTTTGATGAATAAGATGTAAGTTGTGTAAATAGTAGTGTGGAGACCTCAGAGCAACACTTAATTTCATGACCAACAGTGATAAGATGGTACTATTCGTAAGTCCTACTTATTGATCAACACTACTCATATTATCATATAGAGGACAGAGTAGGCAAATGGTTGAGGACACTATTGCTAAACATAAAGCCAAGTTAGTAGTACATTCATCAGTTCACCTAAGTCTGATATATACCCAATTAAAGACTATGAAATAAAAAAGGTGGCTAGATATAGTGTTGACTACACAAATCCTTTATATACAGAGATCAAATAAACAGAGATACTTAAAAATTAGTATCTAATCTGGCTATCATTTATTGTATCACTCACTCATTTTATTATTATATTTAATAACTAAGAAAGCCATTTATTTTCAGGCCTCCAGGTGTTGTGTATATCAATCAGCCCACTGGAGACATATCAATCTTTTAATAAATTATAAGGTCCCCACTGCTTGATACTTCACCAAATACTGGCTACACCAGAAAATGACTAAATGTTCTTAACACTTAACAACTGTAAGTTTACATTGTTTCAAAGTGAATAATAATTTTCATTTAGTAATTTTTGCTTGCATGTAATGATCAGCATGTGTAGTTAATGCCTTTACTGATATTAGTAAAATAATTTCAGACCACAAGCATTACTTCTGGGTCACTCTGAAGGGTCTAATCGTTCAATTACTGAATTGATAAAGTTGATGAAATTGCTCAAAAGTTTTCTGGCACCTTCTTAACTCAGAGACATAGGGTAAGGGGTTTATAATATTTATATACATACTATTATTTTTTTTTATTACCAGGTCTTTTTTTTTCACTTTTGTTTATAAAAATTATATATATATATATATATATATATATATATATATATATATATATATATATATATATATATATATATATATATATATATATATGCAGTATAAGTGTTACCTGGGTAGCATGAACACCCCAGACCACGAGTCTTTATACCTATATAATATATCGTTACAAACATGATGTTAGGGGCTTCTTGTTGTATGTTTAGTGCAGTGCAAAATAAAATAAACATAATAAATTTAGTGCAAAATGAGCAGTGTATGGTTGTAATTATTTCATAAATGACTTTTAGTGTGTAACTTTTCTTTTTTAGAATGTGGATGGATTATGACATACCTTGCACAAAATCAACAACCAGGCTTTTATTGGATTTGAATCCCAAAGGAAAGAGAAAGTTTGTTATCCAAAACAAACATGGAAAATATCAGAAACCAACAAAACACAAGCAGGCAGAGTGTTATGGACCCAACTTTGGGGAATCTCCTAAAACCAAGTATAAAAATAGAGAGGTGTGGTTGTGTCTCTCAGCTCCACAAGGGTCCACAAGAATGAGGACAACAGTGATTTTCGTAATAATTTTAGATCAGATTTAAAAAAAAAAATTTGATCAGATGGATCAGGTTAACAGTTTAATACATATTGCATTTAAGTGCTTAACGAAAAGAAAAGATGCTCTTACCAAAATAGTCTAAGAACAATGCTGATTTTAAATTAATAAATTGTTTCCTTTTGTAATAATATAATAATTTAAGTTGGCATTGTATGTATGTTTAGTGTAGATTTAATGTCCTAAATGAAATATACAATTGACATTTTTTTCTTTAAAGAATTAGTTGCAAATTTCTTTCATTATTTAGTTTCACTGTACAATCTGAAAAAAGCTTGCAACATTTGTATTGACAATACTTCTGCTGGTGATATTTATTTCTAATTAATGAAGTAAATTAATATATATTCAGTTTACTATAATTAAATACCTCATACTCGAGACAAAAAAACATGTATTGAATATCGCAGTGATATTCCTGTTCTACACAATGCGTATAAACCCTCGAACCATCTGTCTTTTGAAAGATTGTACATTTTGTATACACAATGGCATTCATTTCAACACTATTTAACCACAATTATAATCTAGAGATCCTGAACATATTTTCGTTCTGTTATTTATGGACAAGGCAGACTGGTCCAGCATTAAAATGTAAACCCTAATTAGAATACTTAAACGAGCTATGCAATTAAATGTTGTTAGACAAATATTTTATACTTTTTATTTTTAATTTTATGTTTACGTATCATAGTAAAAGACAGCTTCTGTATTCTTGTACAGTAAATTAAGTTTTTACATTAGTTTAATTTAAACTGTAGGCCTGCTTAACATCTGTTACATTATATGAAAATGTTTTGTATATTTGTTTTAATTTGTTTGTATAAAAGTCAAAATGAAAGTTACTACACTATTATTTACATATTCTTATTCAATCAATACTTTATAGTATAGTTATAATTTTCTTACATTTGAATGGATGGTATAATACAGATTTTAATAGATGAGCAGTTCTTGTGTATGTATTGCTGCTTTACTACATTTTGATTAAAGTTTCTTTCACATTTTGAAATTACCTTTGTAAATATTATGACTGATATGAGAATGGATCTTTTTGTATGCTAAAAATAAAAATTTGAGCCAAGATGTAGCCAGGATATAATACAGGCTGAGCCAAGGTATAGCCGAGATATAGCCATTATTGGGCCAAGATGTAGCCAGGATATAATACAGGATGAGCCAAGGTATAGCCAATATTGGGCCAAGATATAGCCATTATTGAGCCAAGATGTAGCCAATATTGGGCCAAGATGTAACCATGATATAGACAATATTGGGCCAAGATATAGCCAATATTGAGCCAAGATGTAGCCAATATTGGGCCAATATGTAGCCGGGATATAGCCAATGTTGGGCCAATATGTAGCCGGGATGTAGCCAATATTTGGCCAAGATCTAGCCAATGTTGGGCCAATATGTAGCCGGGATATAGCCAATATTGTGCCAACATTGCGCCAACATCATGCCGAGTTTCACTACCAATGTTTCGCCAAGGTTAAGCCAATGTTGCACCAAGATGTAGCCAATATTGGTAACCAATGTTTAGCCAATATTGGGCCAATATATGTGTGCTGACTGGGTAGTAGGTAGGCCTACGTAAAATCACATACAGCACAATTTCCTGAATCTATATAGATCTAGATCTATATACTATAGATTCAGTATAGAATATCTATAATATAAGCGGGCTGAGCGTGTGTCAGTCCTTCCGTCCGTCATCGCTATAGATTTTGGGACTATAAAAGTAAGCTGCGCACCATGCTGTGCTTTTCAGTGCACCGCAGTGTCTTATTATAAGTAATTGAGTAGGGTTTGTTTATATAACGGCATAGAGCTATTTTATAATTTCCACTGTTTGTACAATTTTGCATAACGTAAAGAGAATATTAAATACACGCACATTGCTAAAACATATTAAAAGGATCAATGTCAAATATAGTTTTCGTTAATATTCCTAGAAAAAGTGGATACATTTTAATAACATAATAACAGTACGGTAGAAAAATCAAATTAATTTAACTCTTTTTTTCTAATTTTGACAAAGGAGGTAATTTAAAAATACATTAAACTCACGCTAATAAAAAATGTAAATGCAAATATACGTTCGTCATAGAAGGAATTAGTGTTGCAATAATATAATTAGCAAAATGTGAATGCAAATTATTCGGATGTGTAAGAGGAAATTATTGTTAGAAAATTATAATTAGCATGGATTGATAAAAGGCAATCTTTTATTTATTTTATTCACTGAATGTAGGCCCTACTGTTTATTACTTATAATTTTTAATCAACTATTCAGCACTATTATAGACGCGTCATCACGTTCATTAGGTGCGCATTGGTTTTAGTTATGAAACTCTATTGTAAATTTTTAAAATTTAAAGTACTGGAAAAAAAATGCGTGAATGGATAAAGTGAAATAGTGTAGGTAAAACACGGTATTTTAAATACTGCCTATTATTTATACTGTTTTCTAATTATTATTCTATCTTTCGGGTTTTATAGGAGAGGCGTAGCGAGGGGGGGGGCATATGTCCCCGGGTGCCGACCTTAAGGGGCGCCAAAGTGGGTTGGAAAAAATTTGCGAGGGGGGGTGGAAATCGAAAGTTTTAGGGCGGGTGGGTGGAAGGGGTGCAAATTGAAAGTTTGAGGGGGTTGCAAATCACCGGAAAGGGCGTGAATTGGCGCTACGATCTAGACTGTGAGCAATATGCCTTTATGATTGCATTTAAATTGTGTTTATGTTATGAGTGTTGTGTTTGTTTTTTCGTTTGTGTTTTTTTTTTGCGTTCGTTTGTGTTGTGTTTAGTTTTGTTCTTTTCCCAAGTTGGTACATTTAAAAAAGATTTACCGTGGCGGAGCACGGGATGCAGCTAGTATAGTATATAGAGGTAAAACTCCATTTTAGCGTATTTTATTTCTCCGCTGCTTGTTTACCTCCAGTTGAGCGTATTTTATTATAACAACCGAAACACACCAAAACACGATTCATTTAATTGTATTTTTGTTTTAACAAATTAATAAAAATGAATAAAAAAAACAAAGAGACTGACTTTGTTTTAGATTTTGATAATTTAGTTTTGTTAAAACTTGAGAAAAATCCAAACTTAGAATATTGAATGTGCAATGTTCGTGTGTCAGAATTTTCATGGCAATGGGTGAAGTACGTGTCGTAAACGTAACTCACAATTGCAAGGCGGTTAAGTTTGTATTGTTACAAGGTTCTCCCAGGCATGATACTATAAATAAACATTAATGAACTTACAATGACCCCAAAACTGAGGCCAACACAATTTCAAATAGCAATTGCCCGAGCTATGACGTATGCTGATAATTCAATGTCAATGTGAACTCACGGTGAACCCGCTACCGTGTAAGGATTTTTCTCCCGCTGACGATTACACGAGATTCGATATTTAATTGGAACAGTTCTAATGCTTTTTATGTTGTTTTTTTTTTACCTTTTCTAATTAAAAATCACATTCATTAAAAAAATAAGTAGATCTAGTGTTTTCCTGACGTTTTTGTGTGTTTCGGTTGTGTTTATAATAAAATACGCTCAACTGGAGGTGAACGTGAAGCGGGGAATAAAATACGCTAAAATGGAGTTTTACCTTATTATTATTATGGACTCTAATATTATACTATACAGTGGCCATCTGTAAATTTGAGAAAAATTTCTAAATTAGAGTGGTTTCCCCTTACAGTAGTTAATAGTACAGTTGCTATTTAAATTTATTAATTATTTATACAATAAATGGTTAAATAGCATTGTAACCTAATCACTTTGATCTGTGGTATAATTGTATAAAATTACTAAAAAACCCTGATTGATACTCATATCTAGGAAATATATATGTCGGCCAATGCTAGGATTGGCCGGCCAATCCGTGCATAGGCCAATATCGCCTCCCATAGGTCGGTCAAAGTCCGAAACTTTGCTTGATTTCGGCCTTTGGCCGGCCAATCCGCAGACTGGCCATGGTTGACCGGACAAAGTCTGAAATAGCTCTTGATTTCGGCCTTTGGCCGGCCAGTCCGCGGACTGGCCATGGTGGACCGGCCAAAGTCTTAATTAGAAGATCAATCTATCAATATTATCATTTGTTACAACAAGTTGAACTTTTATGGCATTTAGAATTACATAGCAGCTTGTTATTTTTACACTTGCAGCGATTTGTTGTGCACTTAGTTGTGCAATTGCAGCGAGTGTAGCCTTGGCTCCCAGTCAATGATTGTGAAGATGCGATGGTTCGTAGTGATTTTTCCTCAGTGCCAACTGACGACAAACTGAGCAGTTTTTCGTGAAGCATTGAAAACTCACTTCTAGCATACAGATGTTTTGGAACACCATGTTCCGTTCCTAATTTGTAGAAACCGCCCTCGACGCTCATGACAACTGCAATCACGCTTCGGGGATCACCGTGACCTCTGTCAACATCTGGAAAACGGATGCGTACATTGTCACCCACTTCACCATCTTTAAATTTTGTATTTGATGTTTTAAGCATCTTAGCACTTTGAGCTTGCAAGCCAGTATGAGCTGCTGATCTGTGCTCCATGATGTCTTGTTTGTTGTGACACAATCTACAGGTAATGTTCCCTCCGTACCCTTCGTCTGCTTCACTGGGTATTCCACAAATAGCAATGACATCGTTGCCACAGGATCCACAAGTTGCACTACAATGTTTTTCACAAACTATATAGAATCTGTTGGCCACATTATTGTCACGTAACTGGTCTGGGCGTTCCGCCACGGCAGTAGATGTGTTAGCTGAGGATGTCGTTGCATTTATGGCAACCTCCATTTCTTGTTCAATGTTCTCAAGATATTCTTCAGTAACTATTTTATCGAGAGCCCGTATATGGAAACTTAACATTGATTTACATTTTTTTTGACAGCCATATGCTATGTCTGTCTCATGGTCTGACGGCCCTTTTGATCCATGTAGCCTTGCATATAGAATGCTATACAAACAAGAGCTAAACAATACGTTACTCTCAATGAAAACGCACCCAGAATAAGGAAAATGCGATCACAACTTAGTCTAGATAGAACATTGGCCAGGACATCCCGGCCAGTGCGCGCATTGGCCGGCCAATGTACAAAATACGCTGTCAAGTTTAAGCGCTTCGGCCGGCCAATGTACGAAATACGATCTTAGTGCTAAGTTCTTCGGGCTTTGGTCAAGAGAGCCGGCCAATGCGCGGATTGGCCGGCCAATCCGCGCTTTGGCCGCACTTCGGGCTTTGACCGTAACATATATATATATATATATATATATATATATATATATATATATATATATATATATATATATATATATATATATATATATATATCAGAGGCGTAGCGAGGGGGGGGGGGCGCAACGGGTGACACCAATGCCGGGGGGGTGACACCAAGGTAAAGAATAGCAATATATAAATACTAAAAATGATAATTATCCGTAATTAATTGATTAAGGTGGGTGAATTAAATAGTCTTTTATGCGCTATGTTGCCTAATCCCGACACGGGTGGAGGGGGGGGTGTGACACCATGTCGTAAAGTAAAACCTGGTAATGATACACCCAGCTGTATTTATAACCGAATATAGATAAAAATCGTTAGTATTATCTGAGCACAGTTTAAAGCAATCACCGTGCCAGTGACGGGG